TAATGCACCACCGCACAAGAAGACTATATTTGCAAACATATACAAACATTCATTATACACAGAAGATTTGAAGTACAATAATTTATTGTTGTAAGTTGTTGTATATTGATAATCCAGCATCTAGCACTTTAGACTTTTCTTTGAGTGACATTTTGCCATTAAGAAAGAATTAAAAGTTTGTCTTTTGTAATTGTAGATATATTTTCTCTAAGGAATTCCATTTACTAGAGATTTAAAAAATGGTAAATGATTTACACCCTCACTTGAAACGTGTTTAAACAAGCTATATTCTGAATAATCACTCATCTTTGTTTTTTTTTTTTTTCAATGAGAAACTAATGTCATTAAAATTCCAACTGCATTAAAAATAGCATTATTTGCATATAGAAATTGCACTTACATTATTCAAAAAATAAATGAATACAGTCAAATGGTATATAAATGAGATAATCATTTAACATCATACAATAAATAAAACAACAACTAGAGCCCTCATAGGGGTCACGAATTTCCCATCATCCCTTGTGCATTAGGTATTCTATCAAACCATTTATCATTATTTTTGAAGGTGAACACTTGAGAGAAAGTTCTTTAATGGGTATAGAATGTATAGTGCGGCCACGACATTGACAATTGACATTGACCTTGAGCCAGCACAGCAGAGACAAGCCTTCTGTAAATATGTTATTGACGCTAAGTTTGAAAAAAATCATTCAAAGGGTATACAATTTATACTGATGACACAAAATGGCAACATTCAAGCGAAGCTTTGACCACCAGGCAACACAGTGGCAGCACGTGTCCTTATTTGTGAACATTTGGGCCATGATTGAAGAAAATTCAGGGATAAAATATTTATAGAGCAAACACGAACTTGTCTGAAATTTAACGGTCAAGGATGACCTTGACCTTGCACCTTATGATTAAAACACTGTTCCTTGAACCATCTCAGAAATAAATAAATTGATTCAAATATTTTGACAACTGCAGTGTACTGTCAATTGTTCAAATATATAGCTATATCAAAAGATCATATAAAGGTATGCAAGAAGAAAATTGGCCCCTTTAACAGAAGAAATAACATTTTTATGGAATATTTATTAACCTTCTAACTATAAATTACCATTATTTATTTTCCAGAAATTCTACTGTTTCAAAAGAACAATCTAAAATAGAAAGTATAATTAAAAAGATACTAAAATAGTCTCAATAGACCGTTAATACAATGGTGCAATTACAATTTTAAGTGCATTTCATATTCATTTATACTTGGTATTAATTAGATTTAGCCCACAAACATTAAAAGGAAGTTATAAGGTGATGATGGAATCATCTTCGAACCGATAATTAGTTATAATATGCCATCATCTCCTTATTTAATGATATATATTTTGCTTAAATTTGATATTTGAGTGTCCTGATTATCTCTATACAAAGTCTTAAATGTAAATCAAACATTTTCTGAGCACACACAGAAAAGATATGTCAAGTTTTAAACTCTAAATACCAGAAAAGAAATGTCAGGTACATGCACACAATGTGAATCCATAGTGACATTAAAAAACTGGAATTGTTTTCTTTTTAAATAAAAGAACAAGTAAACTTGAACAGTTATGGGAAATGCAGCTTCCCAATGTGCATTTTCTTTTTCAAATCAAATTTTATTTTGCCTATAGATGAGTATAGTATATAAGTATGATAGCATGAACTCACGAACTAAAAAATCATTTTCATTGTTGGTTCATGCTACTGGAGTATCAATGACACACGTGTTAAGATGTCGATTTACAATCTATAAGAAACGATTGGATAATGAAATTAAGACAATACAAAGATAAGATACAAAACTGTTTGTCTCTGATAGCATATGAATAAGTTGAACTCTGTCATATATACTGCCAAACATAAGCGGATAGTTCCATAGCTAAAATACAAAACAGTACAGTTGTCACAATAACGCCTTAGCTTAAACATTTCATAGAAAATTTCAAGAATTCAAAACAGATAGCAGACAAACACGTTCATGGTGAATTTAAACTTGGAGAGTTGTAAGTCTCCTAAAAACGTTGCACATATTTAAAAGAAATTTGCAATTTATTTATTCTAAAAAATGTATCGATTGAAATCAGTTTACACATGTAACAAGTATTTGATGTCAGTTGGGTGTTCAATCAAACTATAAAAACGTTCAATTAAACTTACATTATTCGGAAAGACACGTGTAATTTAGAAAACAAAATGGAGAAAAATACAATTGTGAATGGTATAATGAAAGGCAAAGATCAATTAAGAAAACCGCGTTAAACTTGACGAAATAATCATTTCTCCAAACTAAAGATATCACAAGGTGATAAATAACAGATCTTTAAAGCCATTAAACCTCCTGCTAATAAATTTAAACAACTCTTTAGATGGAAATTGAACAGGCAAGATAAAATATTCAATAAAAATAAGCTAAGATAGATAAGTATTTGAAAATAAAAGCGATGTAACAAGTTTGGAGCAGCAACACATATACAATAACGTTTAATTACATTCCTGAACGTTTACACTAGTTTTGATAACAAAACACTGTTAGGTTCTTATTAATGAACGTGTATGCTGAAAACATGGCTCAACAAAAGTAATCACGTTATATTATGAAATTACTTAATAAGTGTCATGGCAAATATTTCATAAATTTGCTACTTAATAGTCAATGACAAAATTGTATAAAGTGGCAATTCAGATTACACGAATTATAAAACAATAATTTACGGACTAAATTAAAGTATGGGACTTGATCCACCATGTTTGTTATTGTACACAGTATGTATAATACAGCAATGTAGATATTAGAAATTATACGTTTATCTTACATTACAAATAGATTGCCCTAAATAAGTTATATTTCCCTTTGTACAAGATTCTGCACTACATTTAAGTGGTTACAATTATGTGACATGTTAACCACAATCAGTTATATTTGCTTGCTTGTGCACAACACACATACTGCTTTCTATACTAAATGTAAAATAAAAGCTGCAAGAGGTTTCTAAGAATAGGGAGAGCATTGGTACTCGGCGTCGCACTTTAGTACACGCTGGTATCTTATAGGTGAAGCGATAGCTCAGTTTGTTAAACCACTGGCTGCCACTCCCGATGTACCGGGTTCGATCCTGGGTAACAGCCTTGGGATTTTTTCAGGGATACTTACAGTGTTTCCCACCTAACTGGAGGTGTACTGTTAAGAAATTCAGGTTATCTAGGTTATCCTCGCATATATCAGTGCTATACACTGGGCATGTAAAAGAACCAAGGGGTCTTGTCAATAAGAACTAAGGACTGTTTCCTGGATTCCCTTGTATCTCATATCTGTCTCTGATTAGTCTAGAGTCATGTCTACCAAATCGACCTAAGAAGCTTAGCTTAGCATCCTTGATGATGTTTCGGCCTGAATACTATATTACATTACATCTCCAAATCTACTGGAAGGAATGGACTGAAACTTTTATACTGTTTGAGAGCATAACTTATGGATTGGACATAATTATGGCCCTTTTTGAACTTACAAAATTTTACATTATCCAGGCTCTTATTATACGAGTACTATCAAGCACTGAGAATAGTCGAGCACGCTATCCTTCTGACAGCTCTTTTTCCTACTTTGGTAATGTTAAGCCTTATGAAATAAGATTGCTCCAAAACATTCTTTCGCGATTGGTATCTTGCCTAAATTGATAACAAGTAAAATGCCCTAATGATGCGATTGTAAGTTCATTAAAAATTATTACTGTTTTAAAAGAACGCTAAAAATTTCATATATTTGATACTGGAGATGTGCCACTTCTTTAAAATGTTTAGCCCACGAATCTCTGAACCTCGTGATATTTTGTTAAATGATATCATAGAATGTGATTTATGTATTATGTTTGCAGAATATATTTGGGAGGAGAAGAATACCTCGGTATTCGGATGATTTCCTCCAAGATGTGGACTGAAAAATACAAGATGACATTCTATAAATATCTCAATTTTAGTCATATCAAAAAGCTAATACCAAGTCGAATCTTATTCAAAATGCTTTTGAAAGTTCACTTCAATTTCATTTTAGTATCTGCTTTAATAAAGTTGCCATCAAATACACGAATTACAATATATGCATAAAAGAAAACCATTCTTCCCGCATTTTTTATATGACTTTACGTCTTGCTTTCTAATTACTTCGTTGTTTAATGCATTTGAATCCTTGACATTTCGTTAAGAAATATGAAAATATTTTTAGATTTAAAATTATCATTCACTACGAATTGCTTTTAATCAGACATATGTTAAATTAAAATGTACGTTGTTTGTTGTGAATTAATCTGTTAAATTTGTTTGATGCTGTGTGTTAACTGACTAATTAGCCTTTCAACTTTATAAAAGTGACAAAAATTAAACTGAATTGAAATTAAGTGGTTAAAAATACAATTGAATGCATATTTTCAAGCATTTTTTTTCTTTATGTTTCATAGCAAATATTGTATAATTATATAATTTTTCATTTTAATCAGAAAGCAACATTTCAAGGTTATCATTTCATGTTTTTGTGACATTTAAAGACACTGCACGTCTTAAACAGATTGTTTATAATGTTAATATATTAAATATCTTTTGATATTCTATCTCAGCATTGGTGAAAAAAAATGCAAATAAATTTGTTTATAAACTGCTGAAAGATATATTGAAATGATTCCCGATTAATTTCATGACAAATGTATAAAAATGTGGTTTTAGTGGTTGAAAATATTCCCACACAAGTTTAATCCCGAACATGACTGCATGACGTTGCTTTTGGTTAACAAGTAACGTCAAAACAATATCTAAAGCTTTTAATCGCCATAGCTTTTGAAGTGAAATTTGTGCGTAAACAAATAAAAAATCTGAAAAATATTGTACTATTTTAATGTTTTTACGCTAGTAACATGCAAAGATAACAACTTATTTTTTTGCCATTACGTGACTATATTACATCTTTTTGTCCAAACATCGTAATGGTTATTGCCTTTCTACAACTATAAATTACATGCGGACATCATTCATGATATACGTATTTACAGAAAGTTATAGCGGACAAAGTACATCAATCATATTTTGAAATATTTTGAAATTGACACATCCCACATCTTTAAACAGGTAAGACCATATTTTTTTCTGTCAATATTGCTTTCTATATCTATCATCTAGATATCAAAATAACATCAATTAAATATACAAATATTGGGATATTTATACGTTTGTTTCTTTCTTCTGAATAATATTGCATTGTTCTGTTCTGTACAACGAGAGTTAACTAAAACAAAAAACTATTCTTATATAAAATTCTGCAACTGATGATTCGTTAACTTCATACGGATCAAAGAAGAGTTTTAAAAATCTACAATTATAAATTTAGTTTTACGTTTTTATCTTAATGGATGAATACATTTTTAGTAATTATGCATGTCTGCAATATTCGATGCTCTTTTTAAACAATAGATACAAAACTATACATTATCTAACGAGCCTTACTAGTTTACATAAAATGCAAAATAGTTAGAATAAAATGTAATTGATTATGATGTTACAAACTATCGTTTATATGTGGTGTACGAGCGATTGTATTTTTCTTGATTGATAACATCAGCTTGAGGGTCTAATGGTGAGTTAACAGTTATTCAAGTGAAAACAAACAAAAGACGTTAATTTTAATGTATTTTCTCATACTGTTTTCTTTCCAGAAACCTTTCGGAACTTTATAGAAATCCACTGATGAAAACCTAGGGTACGTTACATTATTTTTCTCTAGTATTTTTTTTATTTCATCGAGTAATATTGTTACAATTAAACTTTGTTTTTATTGTGCTTCCTATTAAAAAGAAGCAGTAACTATGAAATATTGTACATTATTTAAAAAGCGTCTACAAACAACGTTTATTTAATGTACTGCATATTTAATGTTTATTTCATAAAGTACATTGGTCATTCAAGTTACCAATGACATTTTATGAAGCAGGATAGTTGAGAAAAACCTTAGCAAGTTAAGTTGGACTTCTTGCTAAAGTGAATGATGATACAGTAAGACAAAGAGTAGTATAATTATAGAGTTTGGCAACACACAAACTTTGTAATATAAATGTGACTATATAGTCCTGCTAGAATAATAACACAACCAACAGCTTGTTTGTATTGTAAATCCTTCTTGGAAATATATTCATCAATATGATTTTTCATGTCCCTTTGAAGTGTGGACCTCTTGGTATCATAATGCTTTTTAGTTTTATAAGTGAAATGCTCCATCACCAAACTGATATTTATGCTACATTTCTTTGTTCTTGATTCACTTGTTATGATTGTTTTTTTTAAAGTTTTAATTATGATGAGACATGACATTTTGACAGCTTAATTGAATCAATTTACTTCATTTTTTAAGTTTTGTCGCAAGTTACATCAAAGACTAATTCTTGTTTTCTGTTTTCTAAACAACTTTCTCTGTTTAGAAGTGCTCTGACAACAATTTGTCATTGTTATTTTTGAATTATAAATTATAAACATTTGTCAAATTTTCATAATTCCAAAAACAATACTACATTATATTGTCAATTACACTACATTACACTCTATATTATTTGTGACATGATGAGTGAATATGACATTTTATTGCCTTGTATTATTATTATTAGACGGCGCGTGCACGCGCCGTCTAGTAGATATGCATTTGTCCGTATAGCAATGGGGAAAATTTTAGACTTGATTTTGTGCACTTTTTTTTGTTTCAACAAAATCACATTGTTTTCAAATTTTCTAATACAAATAGCTTTTCTGATGTACAACATGTCACGGAGCTTTAAGGGATTAAAATAAACGTTTAACTGAAGTAATAGTGTCATGTTTGAAAAAGTTCTAAAACTTTACCGTTGAGAGAGGTGACGACTGAAGCAGTGTCACTCACTCGCCAAATTTAATATGCTAGCATTTAGTTTTCGTTGACGGGGTGGGGGGACCAGGACAACTATGATCAATATAACTTGACGAATTATTAAATTACAAGTTACAAAGACTAAACCTTGCCCACTATCAGAGAGGCAGTTCTACCTCAACCCTTAGCTCAACACAGACCCGTCTATAGTCTAATGACGGGAACCAAATTCGGGCAGGGAACAAGAGGTATCATTAAAATACGCAACGGAGATTATTTTGGCGCTACGGACGCAGCGGAAATATTTTTGGCAAAACGTGTGCGACATGTAATTCATGAAAATAATTAACATTTAAGTTATAAGAAAGATCAACTGAATGAAAAAAGTACGTTCATTTCAAAATGTATCACAAATTTTTGCAATAGGTTATTTTAAAGGATTCTGTGCCTGACGATTCTTCTCTTTTGCGTAGATTTGTTTATTACATTTAGTGGTCCCAAACCTAGAGTCTAGGCGAATATGCAATCTTTTGTTAATTCAAGTAGTTAAATCTTTTATAAATAATTAAACAATACGTAACAAAGAATTGATTATATATATATATCAATTTATTCATAACTATAATTTGATATTACAGACATATTTCGCTATTTGTAAAATAACAGACAGTTTGTCCTCAAAATCATTTGAACATTATGCAATTCGCACGAATATTTAAATGGACATATTCTCGGCATATATTGTCTTGAATTAATTTTAAGGTTACCAATCATTTATCAATTTCTTTTGTTATCCACTTTATTTTGCTTCGACCAGCGCAACAGACAAACATTTCAGAATTTCAGACACATACCAAGAACATGGAGAAAAAATTGATTAGTGCTTCGGATATTCAACTGTAATAGAGAACGATTTTCAATTCTGATTTTGTACATTACCTGTGACTGTTCACATCATTTGGCGGCGTCTTTGATGTGCAGCATCAACATTTAACTTGTTTAACCGTGTAATGACATATCGATGGCGACATTGGAATGGTGTACTGTGATTTCAAGCATTTTATTTATCCTAATATTTACGTTGCATAATCAAATTTGTAAAGTTAGTTTTGGTATGATGAAAATATATTAGCTTAGTGAACCATATTGAAACTGTTTGCTATACAACGTAAAGCAATAAAAGTATAACATTAAATTAAATTAATTACGTGTCCAGAAAACACTTCAAACACGTGTATAGGCTCTAAAGCCATTAAATTAGATTAATGTTTTCATAACAAATGCAGAAAGACAATTATCAAGAGGCATATCCAACAATTAATTTTGTTTTGAGGGTTAAAGTTATTTTCTTCAAGTTTTACTTATGATGTGGCATTTTATGTTTCGCAAATGCTAACTGACACATCTTATTGTGTGCTTGCATGTCTGAGAGAAGAGTCAAATATTGGTTATAACTTAAATTTTCTGGAGCTTTCATTGTTTGCCACATCTGAATATTTCTTCGTAACTTTGCACTATATCATTTTATTGAAAGGGGTATGTATATTTTACACATGCGACTTGTTTTTTTTTCTTTACTGATTAAACATCCGGAAAAATAGATATGTATATACGAGTCATTTGCTATCTATAAGGAAGCATTATGTTTACTTGCAAAGGAGCACATACAAACATAAAACTTTTAAAGAAAATGTTACGGCAAGCGTAGGACTGCTGAATAGCTAGACTGGACAAAGTGCTACAAAGGTAACCATAAAGGCACGTACTATTATAAACTTTAATATATCACAATTGAAAGCTCAAATCGGTGCATAATTATAATGTCAATACGAACCGCAAACAGAATTAGAAATGAAAAGTATTAGAAAGAATTATTATCTCGAGGGGAAATTGTCTGCATTCTATTAAGATTCTTATTGGAGTAACTAGTAACGGTAAAAAAGAAGATTTATACTTAACAGAACAGAACAGAACAGAAAATTTATTTGTCTAACTTGAACATTTACAGTTCATCGTTACATACATACATACATTTATTTACATACATGAAGTAATGTGACATTTTATATAACATATTAGTAGATTATTATATACAATTAATACATATATATAAATATGTTGCTGTATTTAATTTTTAATTCATTTTTTTTCTTTAAATATATGTTTGAGTACATTCTAGTGATAAGTCATTTATTATGTCTTTTTTTTAATGATTTAATGAATTCCTTCGAACATCAAATGCTTTTTTACAATTATTGGCTAATTTATTTAAAATGTTTGCATTTGTACACTGTAACAATTCAGAAAATTTTAACATACTTGGGCGTGTATAATAATATCTAGGAATGCATTGTTTCCTTAATGTTGTATAAGCTGAGCAAATTAATACAAAATGAAATTCATCTTCAATATCATTACATTGGCATAGTTTGCATTTCCTATCATTTCTATCAATATTTCTATGTCTTCCAGTTTCAATAAAAAGTTGATGAGACGACAAACGTAATTTAGCAAGAGTATATCTTGAAATTGGACATTTTACCTTTGTTAAATATTCTGATATTTCAAAAACAGGTTTTATTTCTTTGAATAATAAAAGTGAAGATCTGGATGAGATATCCTGTCTCCAGTTATTAACATATATATCCTGAAGTCGTGTACGAAAAATTACTGTAAACTTATTTATATCTACTGAAGAAGGAAACAACCAAACATCATTAAAACCAGCATTTTGTAATAAATCTCTTACTTTTGAAGCCCAATTGACAACATTATTATCTTCAGCATCCTGTCTTAATTTACTTATGGTACTTGATAAAATACAATTATTATTTTTTTCATCATGTAACTTTAAAAAATACTTAACAATCCTTATTTCTCTATCTATATACTTAACGCTCATCATGCATATCTTCTCTTACTGCAGAAAGAAAATGTCCTGGTGTATCATTACGCTGTTGGTGACGACAGCGGTGTCGGCTGTGACGTCACAAGGAACGGGAATAGACGGAAACTCCGGTGATGTGATAAACAATATGCTGGCAGGAGGTAAACAGCATTATAACACAAATAAGTAGGCCAAAAACAGTATTACATTTTTAAGTTATTATTCTTAATTTCAATAAAGGTTGCAATGTACATGTTATGTTCAGAACAGCTATGTATCAAAGATACCTTAGCACTTCATTTATTATCTTATAACTAATATAGCAGTATTTATTTGTTTTGCATAAATTCTTATTTGTTTATTCAAAGGTCATGTTTCGTCCGACAATCTCCTGAGTGCTATTGGAATCGGTAAGGCTTTATTTTTTTTCCCCAAAACATAATTTAAAGTAACTACATTATGTATAAATGCTTGAAGAAAATTTTCACATTTTCTGTACTTGCGATATATTTATCAGTAAAATCTAATCCATTGTTCCCGGTGATATTTCACAAAACTAAACTCGAGCAATGAGACCTTTGTTACTATTAACATGGTTATCAACATATTATAAAGGTAGTTAGGTTAAGTGTTTTAATAAATTACTTTGTGAAAATTAAGTATGCTTACAGTTTGAATAGAATAAGTTCAAGTAGTTAATTTATATATTGTTTTGTCCCTACCAATGGAATGATTTATAATGACGATTGTCCTCATCATTTGATATAGTATTATATGACGAAAAGTAATTTATTTCTTTAGGAGACAGGACCAACGCCCAGTCGGGATCGTCAAGTCAAGGTAGGGGCATACTATTGTATAATATTGTAGATTCATACTGTGCTGACTTTACATATTTTGCATAGGAATTGATAATAGCAGCAAAATATACAGTCAACTTAATTCATAAGCTGATAAAACTGGTTGATGGAGAAGTGTTTATTAAATTATTCTGCCTATCTGATACAGGCGAAGAAAACAAATGGTTTGAAATGATTGTCAGCTGCAGGGATAGGGAATTCGGGGCGTAAATTGACTGTGTTGTTGTTTCTTGTCTTTCTTTTGTTAGTCTCCTCTTGTTGATGTTTAATGTCCTGAAATATGATATATAAACTGATAAACAATTCTCCCGCGTTTGACAAAGCACAGTCAACACTTACACACACATGATTTGATCTGATATGCTTTGAATTACTTTGTTCTGGTTAAGTTATAGTTATTTGGCATTACAATGTATGTTTACATTGATGTTCCTTTTTTGTAATTTCACTTACACACGAACACTTAGACAAACAGTTATCAAGATGCTCATTTATTCATAGTCAAGTTAGTTGAAACAAATTTCTTTTAATTCGATTGTGTTGGAAGCTATATGCTTATTGAAACCCAAGTGAAGTTTAACTGAATTGACTATATATTTCAAAAGATTGACTGTAATAATGGCGATTGCCCAAAAATTTATATTAGACAATGTTATGGATAAGATATAAACCTGTCTAATTATAAAAGGACTGCAGAAGAACGTTACAGAGATTCCGACGGATATATAGAGAAATGTCCTTGGGCCATATTGCGAAGTTAGTAGGAATGATGGCAAAACATAAAGTTATTTTGACTTTCACCTCTTCACTCATTATATACCATTGGGTGGGCACAATGTCACCTTAAGACTAAAAAGTTTATTACTGCATCACAGTAAATTTAAACTATACACTACACGAATATATAACAGACAATTTCCGTGCGAATAAAGGCATTAATGCGTTAGAGCAATAAAAACAGCTAACGCGTCAGAAAACTTTGAGACAAGAAAGACGTCATCACAATCATAAATAACACACCCAACAGAACAACACAGGCGCCCAAACCACCTTTACGGCAAACACGCATTTTAGAAGTTTTAGGCAACGCACGCGGCACAACATTTTTAGACAACACACTCATTAGAACACTTTAGGACAATACTTGCGCCAGGATACTTTTTAATAACAAAGCGTAAAAACATTAATTTTTAACTCATGCGCAACACCTAGAAATCGGGCAATTTGAAACAAAAAATGCCCCAGAACTATTTGGATAACATACACGTCGGAAAACTTTAAGAAACCTCTCGCGCTTGTCAGACATATATGTGTCAGAACATAGGCGCCATCAATCATGCCTCGACAACACACGTGTGACGGTTCTCGACAAGAAACATATTTTTTTGACAAACACATAAGAATAAGAGCGTTCGAAAACATTCGTATATATATTAATGCAATTTCCAGTGACAAATCATTTTACTGGTTAAAGTTTTGTTGACGTATGTACGTATGTATGTAAAATAAACTTTAAATACTAGGTAGTACAGTGTAAACGTAACAGCTACAATTACAATGAAATATGTACATGTTTGTACACAGTGAAAACGTCATTTAATGCTAACATATTGAAGCAATTTCAATTTGCTAGCAATTTGCTATGTTTTTTTTTTATCATTTTTTAATTTTTGAACATTTTAATAAAACAGTCCTGATTTTTAGAATCTGTTTCTTTGACAGTTTGTATAAAACTGTTTAACATATATACACAGTTAACAAAATATTTGCTTTAATAGCTGGCCCGATGAAGAAGTTCACCCTAAAGGATGTACAGACTATGTTAGATGGAGCCAAAAATGGTTTCCGGTATAAATATGACGGAACTGTTTCCAATGACATGAATGATGTAACCATAACGGAAAGTCAACTCATAGCAATGCGTGACCAACTTATACAGATGGGCAGAGGTAAGGTTATCAGTAGTAGATGATGAAACAATGTTAAACCATCTTATAACTGAAAAAATATATCGTTACACTATCGAATATATCCGCAATCAAGCACGTTTTGGTGATTTATATTTGTGCACCAACATTTCGTTATCGGTACTTTGTTTCGGTATAAGATATACACGTACTCAACCTTTCCTTTCATTAACAAGGAATGACGACACTTTTGAATTCATGTTAAAGTGAAAAAGATTGTAGTAATGAATTATGTACACTAATTATAAAACATACCTTATGAAACCTGTCGTAGTAAAAGCGATTTTTACATACGAAAGTTCTGTATAACAAGGCGTTGACGTGGTGATAGTGTAAGGCTCCAGATCAAGTCAGTTCTTTCTCCAGCAATAGGAAGATGATTGTTAATTGACCTTAAAGCGTAAATATAACCAAAAAAAAAACTAGTAAACAACAATATAATGTACCTCTTTACACATGTATGAAACATGTTGAAACTTAGTACAATGATTGCAGAATCCACAACAAAACAATTTTCTACGAATGAGTTGCGCACCATGATAGACGGGATGAACAATGGTTTGTTTTATAACCGACAAGGTCAGGTCACGACACAAGAATCAGGTGATGTATTGTATACACTGAAAGAGCTTCAAGATCTACAAACACAATATCAAGCTGAAGGTAAGAATGTTCAACTGCTGATGTATATATTTTATTTGCCACTGAGTTCCTGTTGATGTTTTACTGTATTTATCATACGTATCTAATGGAACTTTGAAGGAAAATTATAGTTATATGTTGTTTATTTATTCCTTTAGCAGTAGTACGGTCATTTAATGTACTATGTAGGGTTAGGTATTCTAATACATTCATGTCACACATGCTTATCTAGTTATCTTTTTAAGATTTTTCTAAAAAAATATTTTTATTGCACGATAAAGCAGCGAAATCTTCGTAGAAACGTAAACGTAACGTTGTGATATATAGAATAAGTTAAATCATATATAGCACGTATCGAATATGTTACACAAGTTCGACAGAATTTATCACATTAATTTGTAACGTATTGATTGAAAAATCACGTACGAGTACTTATAATTTGTGTAATGAATGTACTTGACTCGAAAAAATCATAAGCACACCGAAGCGAATATGCTAAAATGGACAAAGGAAAATTATGGTTTTATCGAATAGGTAACATAATCAAAGTTTTATTATCATAAAAATGTGTTTGGTTGTTTAATTTATATTTAAATAAGTTTTACAAGTTACCTTAACAACTGCACAATCTGCTTGATAACTTCACATATTTGACCACTTAGACTTTATATTTCCTGAACTATTGGGACAATGATGTTTGAGTGTGTCGTAGAATGGTCAATCTTATTTCAAAGTTTGTATGTCTGTCCGTACTTGCATTTGAGTTTTATGTGGCTTTGTAACAGTAAACTGTTTTTTTTAATGTTAATCATTCCTTGAGAGATTAATGTGGCTAATTTGATTCTATGTGGTTAAAAAAACTTATGGGATAGCAAGATAAAACCAAAGGCTGGCGTAATCGAGTTTGTAAACAACTTAAACATAAAAGGTTCGTTCGGTAAAAACCGCAATGTGGTCGAGTTGAAATTTGTATATTTGGACTTGAAAAAAAAAGAAGAAAAATGTTATTTTAAATGCTTAAATGCCGGTGACAGATGACTTTTTTTTGGTGGGGTGGGGTACAAGTGCTCTTATAATAAGAAGACATGCATAGTTCAGGACAATAGCGATAATTTTCATTGTTAACTTAATGTATTTGAACGATTTTATGCATTAAATAGAGGTTAGTACTGGGATTTAGTATCACCGACTGTTGCTTGGAGTCGTAAAAGAGATACATTTGAGCGTATTTCCTTCATCCATTTAAGCTAATAGATACATGTTATTTGAAGTTTGTATGAATGTCCGGTAACGTATGTATATTCGTCTCAAATGATGAAATTTAAAAAAAAGAGAAGACCTGACAAACCTGTCACATAAGAAAAGCGTCAATTTAACGGCCAAATATATGGAGCATGTGTTTATATATCCAGTCCATGCTACAAATGGTTCATGTCGCTATGTTAACGTAAGTGTTACGTTGTGATAAATATCGCAGTATCTGTCACATCTTGTGATCTAACTTAACAATACTATAACATTGTGATATATAAGTTGACATGACCGTCATGTATTAACGTACGTGTCACATTGTGATCATCATTAAGTGATTACTTAACGTCACGTTGTAATAGCTAGGTAAACTTATGTGTGAAATTGTGATAATTATAAAAATCATTATTTATTTAACGCCACGATTTATATCTAGGTTAATATAAAAATCGCAACATTAAGTTAATTAGGTGAACTTAAACCGCACGGTGCGGCGTGTGTCGTAATATATGTAAGAAAAAAATAATAATCACACAAGATGAACATAGGAATATCTAATTATGCACACCCATAGACTTGACATAAATGCGTTTCCAATAACTATGATGACTTTTTCTGATAAGAAAACTGATCGAGGGTATGAGAGATTGGGGTGAAAGGGAAATGTCCGGAAAAAATGTACAGTTCCGTAATATATTCTAATAATCATACTTCAGAACAAGCTCTTCAACAATTTAAAATTGACGACATCAGACGTATAGCGAAAGGTATGGAAAGTGGTCTGAAGTATAATTATCAAGGTCAAATTGCATCTGAGGGTCAAAGGACATTGTCTCAACCTGTACTTAGAAGATATCTACAACAGATTGAAACTACAGGTCGGTTTTTGAATTAAAGACAAAATTGATTAATTTTATGCCGACTGTTTTTTTAACTTCAGTAATTCATCAAGTTCATTGCAGAAATCAATTAAGGCAACGAGTAATTAATGAATTAATGTTTAGTTGACGACTGGACGAGACAACGGGAAACAAAGTTTATCTTTTTTTTCTTACCGTACAAATATAATAGAAACAATATAGATTTTACGTTTTCGGACAAAAAATGTCCATCTATCAAAAACTTCATTACCATGTACTATTTATATACAATTTTTCTTTAGCCGCCACTTTATTTGATCATATACTGTTTGATAGAGATATAAGAAAAGATAATTTTAATATTGAATTGAGCGGTTCACTGTCCATTTCTGCTTCAGTGTTACAAAAAAAAAAGAAAACAAAACGACGTGGTATGGAAACACAGAGAGTTAAAAACTCGGAATATTAAAACATTCTCTTTTAACAGTTGATATATATCCAAATTATGATCTTTAACAAGAAAATTAAAGAGTTTCATGTTATGACAGTCATGTTGCACCTTCTTACCACTTTAAAACATATAATCTCTACAAATCTTATTTATTCACTTTAAGCTGGGCCATCTGGACTTCCTACAGATGTGCAAACAATGCCAGATATAAATAAAGGAGGTATAGATTCAGGTTAGTTAAAATTTTATATTTTATTTACATTTGCTTATTGCTTGCTTTATATTTTTATTGTACGTCAATGTGTGTTTGAAACATGTTGTACGTTCATGTGTGTTCATTGTCCGCTATGGCATTTTGTTCATTGTTGCTTTTAATTTTGATAAAATTATATTTATAAGTATGTACCATGTTTTTTCTTTCCTTTTGATTTTTTTCCATCATGTAAACTGTTTACCTACATTCGATTTCTAAACATACGCATATTTAAAGGCTTGAAAAGTATCGCCCAGTTTACGTTATCACAAGTTGAGAGCATGATAGCTGGAGTGGAACAAGGCAAGCGCTATAATTATGAAGGCAAACTGACAACACTGCAACAGCAAACGTTAACCTTGGAACAGCTGCAACGATTTCGATCTGAAATATTGTCCCAAGGTTGTACATCAAAATAGTGACCAATAGATAATTATCTTCTTAATAATTATACTTAATCTTTTGTATGACGTGTGTCTTTCTGTCTTGCTTTCATCGTTGTGTTTGTTTTAGCTTAAGCTAGAAATTCTTTAATTATAGTATTATGGACAAAAAGAATTTAGCCTTAGCTTAGAATCTGATGTTCTGAGCGCATAAAATGCTGCTTTTTGCTTAAGCACATGCTTGCGAAATCTCGAAATACTGATTTTTAGAAATGGTCAGTTTCATAAAGTAATGAAATACTAAAGTTAAATAAATTTATGGTTAAGATTTTATGTCAAAACAATTTCATTCATTAAGATATTGTTTTAACTCTCTGTATATTTCAACGATATAAATTTTAGTTTAATGTAACTTGAAACTCCATGTATTGATATGTATTCACTTGCGTAATTGTTTATTATTTTAAAAATATCCTAATCACAGAACATTAATTAATTTTGTGAGAATTTTTTTTTCTCAAAAATTTACATATTAAAGAAGATAACTTAGTTTACAAAAAGTCATGAGTAGAGATAGAGTTAGACAGCATACTTTAATTGGTAATTTAGTAGAAAGAAGCTTTTAATATCTTTGCTTTCATTCAACTTTTCCTCCAGGAATAACTACGACAAAACAATTTACATTGGCCGATCTTGAACGCATGAAACAAGGTATTAAAAATGGTTTACAGTACAATTATCAAGGCCAAATGGCTACACAAGGACAGGCAACTCTAACTGCGGGACAAATAGATGAGCTTATAGCCAAACTGAAAGCAAAGGGTACGTGCAGTGCATGATTCACATATTGTTAAAATAAATCTATGATACATCTTAGAGAAATAAAAATGAGATTTTATAAATTGCGAATATCTATTTGTAGGTGTGTTTGTTTTGGTCTGTTTTTATATCTATATATTTTATTTTTATTTCTTAATTTCTCAGTAAACACAAACATATATTATAAGCACATATTTATCTTTAAAGTTACATGTCTGATAATAATGATTTCTTATGAATTCCTGTCTTAATTACACTTCTATTTTTAAGTTTTAAACAGTTGAAAAACTATTGATGTAACATTAGCAAAATACAAATTTTACTTTTTATAATATCAGTTGAAAATTTCAAGGGATAAAATCTTAAAAACTGTTATGTTTTAGGTCCAATGATTGGCACTGGACAAAGCACCAGCTTCACGTTAAATGATATTAACAGAATGCTGTCAGGTATGGACGGAGGAATGTCGTACAATTATATCGGACAGGAAGCTCAAGCAGGAGAGCAAACACTCACTAGAGATTATTTAACAAGACTATTAAATCAATTAAATCCACAAGGAGGTAAATTAACCTTTCTAATCTTCTTATAAAAAAGGTTTGACTCAGAAAATTGTTAAACAAAGTGAATAATGTACCATACTGTTTTATTGTCTTTTACCTATTTTAAACGAGCATTTTGCGTTTATCGTAACAAAGAATTTTGTTCATGTTATATATTTTTATTATTTCATGTAGCATATTGACCCTTTTAGTCTATAAAAATTATCGATTCAGTTCTCCTGTGAAATCATTTTAGACATATGAGAAAATATCTCAATTTAAACGGTGACAATGTTTCGAATTCAGCCACCCCAAAAAAGCTTAAGTAAGATTTTATAAAATACAATTAATATAACAATTGACTAATATTTGTCAACAAAATTTAAAAAAAACTACAATCGAAAATCTGTTATGAAAAAAATCATTCTTTGTTCAACTTTTCTTCCAGGAATAACTACGACAAAACAATTTACACTGGCCGATCTTGAACGCATGAAACAAGGTATTACAACTGGTTTGAAGTACAACTATCAAGGTCAATTGGCTACTCAAGGTCAGGCAACTCTAACTGCGGGACAAATAGATGAGCTTATAGCCAAACTGAAAGCAAAGGGTACGTGCTGTACATGATTGACTTTTTGTTAACAAAAATCTATACTACATCTTGTAAGAGTTGGCAAAATAAAATGAGATTATAAATAGTAAATATTTGTTGGTTTGTTGGTTTGTTTCGTTTTATTTTTATACATTTGTTTATAATTTTTATTTTCTCAGTTAACACAAACATTCATTATAAATACATGTTTATATATCTGATAACGATTTCTTATGATTTCTTGACTTAATTTCACTTCTATTTTCAAATTAATTAAAGTTTTAAACAGATGCAAAAGTTATTGATTCAACATAAACAGATAACAAATTTATTTTTTATAATATCAATGGGGAAGTTCAAAGGAAACGTCTTAAGAATAGTTATGTTTCAGGTCCAATGATTGGCACTGGACAAAGCACCAGCTTTACGTTAAATGATATTAACAGAATGCTGTCAGGTATGGACGGAGGAATGTCGTACAATTATCTCGGACAGGAAGCTCAAGCAGGAGAGCAAACACTCACTAGAGATTATCTAACAAGACTATTAAATCAATTAAATTCACAAGGAGGTAAATTAACCTTTCTTATCTTCTTATAAAAGAGGTTTGACCTAGAATATTGTTAAACAAAGTGGACAATGTACCATACTGTTTTACACATTTTAAGCGAGCATTTTGCGTTTATCGTTATAAAGAATTTAAACAAAAAAAAAAAAAACAAAAAAAAAAAAAACACAAAACAAAAACAAACAAACAACAACAACGAAAACAATATAAGAATCGGCTAATATTTGATACTTAGACTAAAAATTTGAAGGTACTACACACTAATATTCAAAATACTGAAAATATAGTCATTTAAAATATTTAGACATTATATAGTTGAGAGGTGAATTGTTTATATATCTTTAAATTGTAGGAATGGGAACAATGCACCAAACTGCGCGATTTACACTACAAGATATTGACAACATGTTACAAGGAATGGACCAAGGTCGGTCGTATAACTACCAGGGTACCGAAGCAAAACCAGGAGAATTGACGCTTACTAGAAAACAATTAGAAAAGTTTAGAGCTGAGTTACAGGCGAAAAGTAATTTTCAATTTCTGTTTGGAAATATATAAAAAATATTCAATAGGTGACGAGTTAAACGATCTTTGCATGCTAGAAACTATAAATTGATTCACACGAATGACATCTAAAATATATATTTGAGTTTGAATAATCAACAAGAGTGGGTTACCTATCTAAATTGGCAAACATCATTTAAAAAAGTCAACCTTATAGACTTTTTACACAGTTTCGGCTCATTTAAGACTTCCTAAATAGATTGAAGCTTAACATGATTTTACTTTTGAAATATTAAAAATTTAAAAAAGAAAGAAAAAAAGAGATAGAGAATAGAGAACAGGAATCTTTAGGCATGCTCCTTTTAAACTGTCTTGATTCACTGCTGGTTTATGGAACACATATTTTCAGTTCGAGTACTGCATATTACATATGAACGTACACATGGGTGATGAGTAAATGATATTATGGAGCCAAAGTCATCACTTAACTATCTCAAAATCTCAATGTCATTCATTAGGCTGGCACTAACCATATAGACATGGGTATATTTTTTTATAACTAAGATGCTGCTACGAAATACGTATTGTATAAGTTAATGATTTTTGCTACGTATATAAAAAACCTGAAATGTTATATCTATAATAAGGTATGGGTGGTTTGGTGACAACACCAAAGTTCACACTGAGAGATTTAGAAAGAATGTTTAGAGGTATGGATCAGGGGATTAAATATAACTACAATGGGCAAGAAGCTAAACGCGGCGACAAAATACTCTCCCGATTGCAGCTCAATGAATTTCTTGCAGACTTGAATCGAAAAGGTTGGTTAAATTTCCTGATTTAATTACAAAATAGCATACTCGTATATACAAAAGTTTGTTTGTTTGTGTAAAATATCGCCGTTTTCTCCAGTTGATTTTAGCATCCGATTCCAGATATTTTTCTAAAAGATAGTTTTAAAAAATTGTACTTTTTCAGGTCTATAATCAATTTTATAAAACAATCATAAAGTTCATTTACCTTTATTGGCCTTTGTTTGTTGGACATGAAATATTCTATAACGTTGCTAAAATTTGTATTTTCGTGTTTAAATGATATACTTTTGTGGTTTTCATATAATATCAAAGGTATGGGTGTTATGCTAGAAACTGGGCAGTTTACCCTTCAAGATATTGACAGAATGCTGACTGGAATGGACAATGGATTTATTTACAATTATAATGGACAACAGGCACAACCAGGAGAAAAAACACTTTCAAGGAATGAATTAAACCAATTTAAGAAAGAGTTAGCAGAAAAGGGTAATTTGATTAGAAATATTTATTGATTTAAAAAAAAAGTAGGAAAAGAGATTAATGTGAAATATCAATTTGATCCAATATGAATGCTAGAACATTAAAGAATCTACACTGAGGTCCACAAGCCTAAAAACAGTAAAAATTTGAATTTCCTACCTAGATCAGCTAAGGCACTTAAAGCAGAAAGATATGCAAAAATATTCAAGACATATACTCAGAAGAAATTAAATATCGTCTTTTTGTTTGGTGCTATTTGAGCCCATTATTTAAAAAAAAAATAAGATAATTAGTTTGTGGAAAAGTGAGAGTGAGCGAATGATCTGGAAAAAAAATCAGTGGAGTCCATTTTAAAGATGCTGGCTGATATTTTCAATGGTTGTCAACAGTATTTATGCATTTTAATCGATGTTTTCATAACTCTTATAATAATTTTTAGTACATGAACATTATGTTGAAGCTTTCTTTTTCCTAGAAAGAAACCTTTGTTTTTATGACTTTCTCTGAAAGACATGTATATTTTGTAGTGTGACTTCTATCTCTTTTATTTGTTTGTTATTTAAGTTACTGGCAGAGAGTTTGGCACTAAATATTTTACAATGGATGACATATTTAAAATGTTAGAAGGGATGGATAGAGGTTTAAAGTACAATTATCAAGGTACTATCGCAAAGGAAGGAGAACAAGCTCTGACAAGAAATCAGCTTGAACAACTGATGTCAAGGATAAACAAACAAGGTACAATCAAATCATAAACAAGAAACGATCAAATGATAAACAAGGTACGATCAAATGATAAACAAGGTACGATCAAACGATAAACAAGGTACGATCAAATGATTAACAAGGTACGATCAAATGATAAACAATGTATTATCATGTTACACACTCAGAGACTCAGATTCATGATCGCATAATAAACAAAGGAGAAGCACTTAATTAAAAAGGTTCGAAGTTCTATGAAACAAAGTATAAAACAAAGTTCGTCATTTTTTTTATTTGGTTTATGTCGCACCAACAAAGTTGAGATCATATGACGACTTCCCATCATTACCGTTTGAGGAAGACTTCAGGTGCCACACTATTTATTACTTTAGGTACGAACGATCACATGAGTGAAACCACCGAAATTTCATAAGGTAAATTGATAGCTTCCTGACATGAAGGAATCCAATTACCCTGGCGGGATTCAAACCTACAGCTGTGAAGGGTAATGTTTGTGAAGTCAACGCCTTTACCATTCAGCGCCCCATAGCTTTCGACAAAATAACGAAGAACGATCACAAAACAAATCAGATACTTTTTCTAACCAAGTATGGATGACCACATAATAAGGTTAAATTACAGAACATGAAAGATACCACATACCAAACAAGAAATGAATTCATAACAAGCAAGGCAATATTACATGACAAATAAAAGACACTTAAAAATCAAGGAACTACGGAATAAAATTAATGAAATCATATGTAGTTTTGGTTATAACCACATTAAAAATGGTCTTATACATTACTTCACAGGTAATAATTATAACAGAAGATATGAATTTTTTTACGTTTGAAACAATTTTCATATCTTGAAAATGGTATTATCATTAAAAAAACTTCTAGTTTGTTGGATATGCATAGGGAGACACTTATAAGCGTACCAATATAAAGTTATTTTTTTAATCTATACTTTTGAAATGTTCAAATAACTGCTTAAAAATGCATTATTAATGTATTAATTACTTATTTAGATGTATAAGATATTTATTTAGATGTTCCTACAATAATTTTGCGCTGGAGTTGTAGCTTAACTATCAGCAAAAATGCACATAGAACTTATATAACAAAAACACTTGTGCATATATAGTGTGAGCAATTCGGTAATGCTGCTCAGTGTGCCAAAACAAAAAACGTGCTCTCTTAATTCCGAGACATATGCAAGCTAAAACATCTTAGTTTTAAAACGAGATAGATTATGTTTTTTCCTTATTAACCATTTTCTTATAAATAATTTTAATTTTGTAAATTTTTTGTCAAAAAAAAGGTTACCTAACGTTCTATATGCAAAATATCTTTTTAAATGCGCGGGTGGCCATATTAAACGTAATGTCAATCTTTTGATATTTATTAACGAGCTCTATGTCGAAATAATATCCCTTAGCCTTATGTGTTGTTGATGAGGTCACGATTCTTTTTTGTAATAAATGCAGATGATGGGCATATATGGCTCTTTCTCTGTCTTTCTACATTCTGTCAAATGTGATGAGACTTTACAGAAAAAAATATACTTTGCAATTTCTGTATTTTGTATTGCTCAAATGCTTTACAAAAATTAGATTATAATTCAATAATTTGTTCGGAATTTGTATTACTTCATCATTATTCAACTACCAATTAAAATTTAAAGATACCCTTTATTAAAACCCACAGATATATATCTTTATAGGTATGACACTTTAAGTTCTCCATGTGTATAATGTTTTTTTACAATAAAAATACAATAACTAGCAACAGAAGTTATGTTTGATACGAAAAACACTCAGATCAGAACAAAGAAAATAAAAAGGAATTCATTGAAACGATAAAGTTGAACAGTTTACTAAAATACAAATTATATATCCTAGTTTGATGATAAAAACAGTATGTAATGGTAGTATGAAGGAACTGTATGACAGATGAAAGCATTTCATGAAATAAGATAATATAAAAGAAATGAACAAACTATATTTTATATACGTTACATGTCATACACCTGTGCATTACAGGTTCTGGAAATCCAACTGAAGCCGTGCCGTTCACACGTGAGGAAATAAATAAAATGCTTACTGGAATGAAAAGCGGTTATACATATAATACAAAAGGTCTTGAAGCGAAGCCAGGGGAAGAAGTATTGACGACAAATATATTGAACAAATACTTATCAAGTCTGCGTCTTCCAGGTAGGACTACCTTGTTCATGTTCTGTGGCGGTAAAATAATCATTTCAGTCAGCTACACATAAATAAGTCGTTTTATAAAAAAAAACTTCTTGACTCTCTACACTCTCATTATGCACGTTTTTCACTTCTGGACATATCTAACTAAGTTGTTAGACAATATAGGGTTAACGCACGTTTTTTCGTGTTATAACGTCTGCAGAGTCCCGAGGAACGGTTGGTGCCCGAGCCCGGTAGGGCGAGGGCGGGACACTGCAGACTTTATAACACGAAATAAACGTGCGTTGACGCTATTATAGCATAAAATTTTTAAAAAAGATTCATGATGTATATTTAATACAAAACACATACATTAAATCCTTGTGCTTGGACGGTATATACCCAAATCTACATGTTTTACGTATGCGTTTTATTTTTCCGGGGCCAACTACTTGGGAAATTCAAATGCGCAAAACCGTTTGAAAATTCGAAATTTAATTGATTTAACAAAGCTTATCATTGGAGATTTATTAACTCAAGAAAAAACAAAACAAAAAAAACAATTAAATTACTCTGCCCAAGACAAGACAAAACATGACCCTCAGAAATTCTTAGAATGATTTCAGATTGACCGTAGGAAAAAGATCAGTGACATCAGAATCGTTTTTTTTTCAAGCTCACAAGTTTATAAAAGAATATCAGGCACTAAACATTATTCTCTCAAAGAAATATAAATAGCATTTATCAATATAAACATCAATAAAACAACATGTTTTCATATTCATTTTGTGTTTTCTTGTTCTGTTAGTTAATTTGAGGGTTAAACTGAATGACATTTATTTGTTTACATTGACAACTGTCTGTTTCTTAGAAAGGGCGACAACCAAGATTAGCGGCGATGTATATACGCCGTATTTCCGTCATAGTTACTTGAATGCTGCTCGCCGTTATGCGATTGAGGCCATCGAATCAATAATTTCAATATAATACATTGGCAAACAGGTCAAATCCTCATTTTTTGTTTGTTTACTTGGCCCTGTATGTATTGCGCAGAGGTAAAACCGTGCTATAACAAGAGCGCGTGACTATGTTAACACATGGTTTTGGTCCCGTTATAACATGGGCAAAAGAGGGAAAAATAGTCGATTTTATGCTATAATTTCATTTAACATATAAAATGACAAATATGATTATGTACATGTAAAGGTTACACTAATATTAAGCATAAAGTTGGTCGCTTAGTTTTAAAATGGCACAGCTGATATAGAAATAAAAAATGGCAAGCAAATATCGAGCATTTTCATAGTATTGATTCACAAAGTATCTGATAGTGTTTTAAAATACGGGACATGAAATGCTTTAATCACCTTAGCATTTTTTTCAGTTGTAGTTTAAACAAATGTGTGGAGCTACTCATTCTAGTGACTTGGGATATTGTCAATTTGACAAAAGTTATAAATTTTATAGAAAGAATATGTCTACAATCTTCTGTAATAATATCATCAATACACTTTATTGGTTCACTATTAAAATCAAGATGATACAAATTCCAAATGAATAGCACATTAATAATACCTTGCTCCATATACTTATATATGTGTATGGATGGTCATATAATTTGCACATTTGTGAGTAAAATTCAAACAATTAACAGTTCGTTCTGCTGTAAGATAAGTATACTTATATTGACTACCAATACAAGAACCGTTCTATTTCTGTTTCATTTAAGTTTCCAGACTTGAACGTAAGCAAGTTCCTATCATTTATGTAAAATGTACTATATTCTATTACAGTGAATAACCCTGGCTGTTTTATTACTAAAACGAGGACTGTTTTATTACTAAAACGAGATTAAAACCATAGCGGTTTATTCCAGAAAAAATGTTATCAATCACTTTATAATCAGTTCCATAATGTACTGGTGATTACCCGCGTGATATTCAACATTGAGTAGAGAGACAAAACTTAACTATATGAAACTTCCTCCTGTCCGTTAATTGAAAATAAAATGAAATACATATTCTTTAATTAATCAATAAGATCATGTACAATTAATCACATTTAATCGTATCAAAACGTTCCACAAAGTCTGTTCTTCATTGAAATATGTAACATATATTACATGTTTTAAAACACTTTTCGCATATTCCCGAAACACAATAGTGATAAAATATATCTTGTTATGTTAAATAATTGTCTAACAGAAATATAAATAGTACGATATCAACTTAATAATGTCATTTTACGCCCTTGTCCATTTACATTAAAGGTTATCTACAGAATATGACAGGTCAGTTCTCCGTTGCTGATCTAGAAAATATGATAAATGGTATGCAAACTGGGCAGAAATTCAACTATCAAGGTCTGCCCGCTGCCACCGGGGAACCTTATTTGTCAACAACAGATCTCAATCATCTTTTGGAAAAGTTGCACTCTACATCTGGAATAAACCGTTAAGTTTGTTTAAGAATACTCCAAACTTTGGAATTAAAAAGATATTTAAATTCACTTTCGTAAATACATACATGTATATATTTTCTTTACATAATGGTAAAATGATTCAACACAAACTAAAATTAATATATACCTTAATATTTACCTATGTCAGATAGTGTTTAATAACAAATAGTTTACACATTGATGGAAATATTACAGGAACTGGAACTATAGATACCACAGAATATTCCTCAAGTTCTAATAAAAGTTCAGGCGGGCAAATAAGCGGAACAGGTCCTATGGGTGGCACTTTCGAATCTACCTTTTCAAAAGAGTCGTCACAGTCTAATACATCTTCCGAAACTGTTTTTACTTTTGGAACGGGAGGTATAATCTCAGTCGTGTTTAAATATGTGTATATATATTATTCATTTCATTTCTTTTCATTTAACCATTTTTGTGCTAACACTGACACCGGCATATATTTAGATTTTCATGCAATTTCATGTATCTAAATTGAAATGAAATTCGATATATCTAAATTGGAATGAAATCCTATTCACTTAAATTAAAATGAAATTCCATGATTTACTCTAAAATGATATTTTTCATACGTTTTATTAAAGTCGTACATTAAAAATGGTTACCGAATGTTTACAACTTAGTTTATCGTTGTTTTCGGAATGAAACGAAGAAATAAATGTCATTGCCATTAGAATCTGCTATTTATTTCTTTATGTGTTTTGTGTATGTATTTGCCTTACACCCATCGATTTATAAACTTTAATAAAGCTTTCATATCAACAATTTGAAGCATACAATTAGATTTAACTCTCCTGTGTTATAACTGATCGCAGGTTCCAACGTGGTAGATTTGAACCCTGTCGTTAAAGGTAAGTTCTGTTTTACATAAATATGTTTTTCTGAGAAAAAATCACAACTGTGCTTGGTTTCTTAGATTCAGAGCATTTAAAGTAATATTATTAGTTTTCGCTTTATATAAGCATGCTACAATTCAGCTAGTATTGGCGCTTTTTATTTTGGTATCTATCCTTATTGTACACAAAATTGGAAGGTTTCAACGATTTCTGTAGATTCATTATACATGTAGTTCTATCATTATATTTAGCTATACCTATATTAGATTAATAAATGAAAAGCGATGTAGAAAAGTACTTAAATTAAATGAATAATTGATTGTTGGAAGACACACGTTTATTTTTTGCGAAGATTCTGGACATTTCCGTCGAGAAACATCCCCCATCGGTTCAGGCGAGAATATTCGGACAGATTCTGGAAAAGTGTCTGGATTTACTGATAGCTTAAGAGAAAAATCTGTGGGTGCATCAAATAAGAAACTAAAAAATGCAACCATTGTCATAGCAGAAAATGGATCAACAACTATTCAAGCTGACGAAGGAAGGTTGTTAAGCAATATCAAAGCATCACAACGCAAAAATGACTCAACTGCTAACACTAAAAAGGATCGAACAAAAAGTAACATTACAAAAGGACTTACTCAGATTGGACAACTTGCTGACGAAATTGGAACCGTGAACATAATCATCCATACTGGATCTGATTCACTTAGTACCGATTCTAGCGAGAAAGGTGTGAGCGGCAGGCACGAAACTATTGTAGAAAAAGACATACGAGAGACGACGAACATAACCGAAACAAGTCGGACACATTTTATTCATTCAAGTAAGCAAACGAATACTAACCTACTTCACGGGATGGAACGATAACTCTGTGTGCTGGAAACAAAAATAATTTATTTGTATATGTATGTTTCTAACATAACGCATCATTCTGTCATTCTGTTTATCAGGTTAAACTGTTATCTTTTGGGCGGTTCCCTACAGCCCTGTTCAAACATGTTTACTGTACTATAAAGATATAATCTTGAAAAGGCAATTTTGCTCCTGCTTGATTTAGTTAACAATAGCTTGAATTCAAAGCCATGCCGATATGTCATTTTGCTCTTTGTAAAATTATATTTTTAGAAAACGTTTAGTTTGTACAACATTTGTCTACGTAAGCACGGTTCCAGGAAATCTAGGTTTCATAACAACATTAATGTTGATGACAATCATTTGTCATTTTTCTGGGGAAAAAGCAAAAGCGGATTTTATAAAGATTGTTTCTCTTAGAGATAAAGCGATGACTATATAAATAAGTTAGAGTTCACATTGCCTAACATTAAAGCGCACATACATATTGAATGTTTCATCTAACATATTATGCTATAAAATGATGATAATTCAATAGTTCAAAATTCAATGTACCTGCGTTTGAAAGTCAATTTACTTTATAGCTACACAATGTCATTGAGACAAATGTTTCCTGGATCCGTTTAAAATGAGTTCTTAATATTTCTCATGTACTGATGCAAACTAAATGAGAAAAAAATCTTTGAACTTTTGTTGCAAATTAACCTCTGTATATTTCGGTATAAGTTAGTTAATATTTTAAACTGTGTAAGTTGGTGATATAGAGCATAATATTGCTTGCACTTCAGGGAAGAGGTTCAATCAAACAAAACATGCATGCCTTTCAGCTTTTGGGTTACAGATTATTTTATATGCACCGGAATTTGATATAAATAATATAATCCACCGCACAGAAAATAAAATATAGATATTAAGTTGAAATAATTTTATGCATAATGTAAAAATAATGATATGATTATGCTGTTTAATTTCGACCAATTAATAATGCATAGTTTTTTTAAGTACATAAGTACATACTAATCTTTATTCTGGTATGGAAACTTGAGATGTTAAACATTAGTTTTTGCGATAAATTAAGTACAAATTGTTTAATAGTATAAGCCAAATGAATGTTAATTATTACACTGAGCAATATATATATATCTAACAAAAAAACTGATATACTGTACTTTCCTAGGTTTTATTTACATTATATTTTATGTTATTCCAAAGTGAGCATTGCCTGGCATTATTCTATATTATGAAAAAAATGCATTATTATAAAAAAAAGTTCGTGCCTATTAGCATCGTTAGCTTTGTATCTTATTTACAGATACCTTGATTCCCCGTTTCACGGTTGAAGAGATTAGGCGATTGATGGAAGGTATTAGACAGGGTTTGAGATATAATCAACAAGGTGAACCAGCAAAGTCAGGAGAAAACCCTCTAACAATGGATCAGCTAAGCCAATATTTGTCAAATGCGAAAACAAAAGGTGAGGGTGAGATATAAAAAGTTTTAGTGAAAATGTTAGTGTTCAATATGTGAGCATCGTTTTGGAAATTATATTATATAAGGTGTGGTAAGCATTGCAATAAAGAATCAAATAAAATGTTAAAATAATTTTATTTATAGAATGAACATTAATGTTTATAACTTTCTAATTTTATCTTATACTAGCATCTATTTTATATATTGAATATACAGACGAAAGCAGACCTGATATTCCGGCTTCTAGGTTTACAAGAGATGAAATTATCCGTCTGAGAGATGGCATCAGTAATGGTCAAGCTTATAATTATATGGGGTATCCAGCAAAACCTGGCGAAAAAACACTCACAGTTGAAATTCTCAACAGATTACTTAATGATATAAGTGCTACAGGTAGTGTATTGTCATACCAGATGTTCACTTAATCGTTAAATGAGTTTGAAGGAAAAAAAGAATAATGATAGTAATAAACCTGGTCATATTGCATGAATTAAAACAGAAAAGTAAAATTATTTTTGTTACAAAATTATATACAAATAAAGAAATGAACAGCAAAAAGCAAACAAACAGCAGGCAAAAACGAAAACTCAATAAATGTATTCGTTTCGATAATCGCTCTATTCGTGAATGACATATTTGACGACTAGCCTTTAAATCATGTGCATAATATTAACCAAACGAAAATATGGAAAGAATATTAACAATTTGAAAGAACAAAGAGGCCATAATAACGTTCTTTTTAAGCTACTGCTCATATTTTGGGAGTGTAAGACGGTTAGTGATATAGTCGGCAACTCTGAATTTTCTTTCACATTTATTGAAAAACAGATGCATCACATCTGCTAATAACAGACAATATTTCAGGAACACGATATACAAGAGAACAAATCAATAAAATGATAGAAGATACGAAAAGAGGCCGATATTACAATCGTGATGGAAGCCTAGCTGTTGGAAATGAACCAAGAATGACTTTGGATGATCTCTATAGATACCTTCAAGATATTGATACCACGGGTAAAGCAGCTAGAAAGAGTTTAATTTATTATTTTGATTCGATTTTTATTTTTCTAACAATTTTTGTCCTATTTTACTTCTTTTCCTGTTTATTGAATGCCTATTAAAAGGAATGCAATATGAAACTGTATTAATTTGAATTTTAAGGAATATCTCAATTTCCTAAACCATGGTTAATCATAAGTACTTCAATACACAGGTAACATTCCAAAATCACGATTTACAAGAGAACAAATCAACAGAATGATAGAAGATACAAAAAGGGGTCGATTTTATAACCGGGATGGAAATCTAGCTGTTGCCAATGAACCAAGAATGACTTTAGATGATCTTAACAGACTACTTCAAAATCTTGATTACACAGGTACTAAACATGCTTAATTTAACAATCATTTATAATACATAGAATTAGATAAAAATTCGGTGACAGTTGAGTATCAAATTAAAATTCGTAATGTTTCTTCAGTAATACTTTTTTTTATTAAACTAGAAATGTGTCCATAGGACACAGGTACCCCCACACTTCACTGTTTTTTTTTCAATCTTATGACTCTAGGTCAATTCTTTTGGGGGGCTACATGTGCCATAAGTTGAAAACTAAAGATCTTTTGCTAAGTAAAGGGCAAGGACTTTACAAAAACTGAATAAATCCACAGGCAAACAGTACACAAGCTGACCAACATTCTTATAAACTTTCAGGTACACAGGTCAAATACTTTTTTGAGTTATGCATGAACATGTTGAACTAAGACAAGGGCAATAACTTAACAAAAACTGGTTAAATCCAAAAGCGAAACCCAAGGTGTACAACTACACATGCTGACCAATATTTCTATTAAGTTTAAAGATTCTAGGTTAAATACATTTTGAGCTACGCACGACACAAATTAAAAATTGCAAATTTTCACTTGGTCAAGGGCAATAACTCTGACACAGGTGCACAACTACACATGCTGATCAACATTCCTGTAAAGTTTCAAGACCCTAGATAAAATACTTTTTGAGCTACATGTGACACAAATTGAAAATTGCAAATTTTCACAAAGTCAAGGGCAATAACTTTAACAAGTAGTATCTTTAAAAAAGATCGTCGGCGGAAGTAAAACAGATAAGCATGCAAAATTATTTTACTTGTAAGTTTTCAATACAAAAATAATGTAAGCATTATTTGCATAACAATGCCATAAAAATTATTTCTTGTAGCTATGAAAATTCATAGTTTGTAAACATTGAAATCAAATCATAGCAAAATAGCAAAGCTTCTATTTAATGTGTCTTTTCAACTTGTTTAACGTTTTATTTTATATTTTTTGGAATCATTTACAAATTAACCTTAAAGTTAAAGAAATATCCTCATTCTTGTACATTTTATTTCAAAAGTATTCTTACATTTTGTTTCATAGTGGCAAAAACTGTCCATTACATTTTATTTTAGAGCTATCCTTAAAATTTAATTTTTGAGTAGTAAGAACTATCCTTTTATTTTATTTTGGAATAGTTAGAACTGTCCTTAACATTTTATTTAAGAATAACCAATGAGATACACCGATTTCAGTTTGCAGTTCTAAAATGACCAATGGAGATTCGTTTTGTATTCAGTCCTTCTCTGTTGATTTAACAGGAAGTCCAACTGATAACATACGGACTTCGTCCGAAACATACTGAATAAATCCACACGAAAATACGCAGGTGCACAACTTCACATGTTGAACAACATTCTTGTAAAGTTTCATGCCTCTAAGTCAAATACATCTTGAGTTACTTGCGACACAAGTTGAAAATTGCAAATTTTTATTAAGTTAATTGCAATAACGCAAATACCCAGGTGCACAACTTCACATGCTGAGCAACATTCCTGTAAGGTTTCTTAACACTAGGTCAAATACTTTTTTACCTACGTACGACACAAAATGAGTACGGACGGACGGAAGGACGGATGGATGGAAGGACGGACAGACGGACAAGGGTAAATCTAAATGCACCCTTTAAAGTGGGGGTATAAAAAGTGCAAACTTAACAGAAACAAGGGAAGTGAAGGGCTGTGGTTATGAGCGATGCAATATTATTTTAAGTAGTTACTCCCAATACATCAAAAATAATAATGATAAAATGAACTTATTAATATTTCGATCTGGATAGCAATGTAATTAAACTTCGGAAAACTTATTTAGGAATGTTAATTTTTCATACAGTTAAATCATTTATTTCATTATTACTAAATTAAATCATTTTGAAGAGGGAAATTTGCCAGATAAAAGCAAAAGTGGCTTTTTATGATGTAAACAATTTTTTATGATACCTTCACAATCTTATTATATAAGGTACTTAATTGGATTATGTTTTTACAGGCATTATTTTCCTCTTTTCTTCTTTTGAAATTGAAATATAAATTATTTGAAAATAAATGGTGTTAAATGGTGTACATACATGTAATATTAACAGGTCCTCAAAGATCAAGATTAACGCGGCAACAAATTTTGAATATGATCGAAGGTATGAAAAGAGGTCTATATTATAACCAAGAAGGAAAAGAAGTGCTTGGGAATGAACCAAGGTTGACTTTGGATGATCTCAATAGATATCTTCGAGATTTTGATAACACAGGTAACGAAAACGCTTTTATATAATTTATCAAGCAGAATTATTGAACAATCTTTTCATGAATCTTATACTACATACCGTTCCAAGATGTTTTTGATACAATCACACTTGTCCTGTTAACATTTGCTTTACCTTCAAAACATTGATAATATCGGTATAAAACCTTTTTTTATATTTCATTTATTAAATATAATATTGATAAGAAATTAAAATAATTTCTTTTAAATTTGATTTTAGGATATTCTTGATAAAATATTGTATTGCTTTTGACTTTTGATTTAAGACATAATGTAATATAGAAGAAACAAAAACATGTTGATATTATAACAGAGATAGAAATTTAGTGGTTGGCAACTGACCAGAAACGACTTTTCATTTTAACCTCAAAAATGTTAATAACCTAAGTACATGTATCGATTGAAGTTATTCAATGGATAGATCCTTGACCTGCCCAATTCTAATGATCACATTAGTGGATACAATAAGAATTTCACCACAACATGTTTCTTAACAAAAGAGCAAAAATAATTTTCCAGAGAGTTTAATTCTAACAAATCATAATTGTTTTTCATACTGAGCGTTCATAACCTTTTTGACATAAGATAAACAATATAATGTAAGAAGCAGAATATTGTTTTATTGTTTCTATTATTCATATAATTTAATATTTATGCTTTAAAAACATTTATGGCCACCATTTTGTTTCGAAGATATATGATATCAAAACCACTCAATATTCCCATTTTATGTTACAGCAACAGTGCAAAGACCAAAATTTACAAGAGAACAAATCAATAGAATGATTGAAGATACGAACAGAGGTCGATATTATAACCAAGACGGAAAACTAGTTGTCGGCAATGAACCAAGAATGACTTTGGACGATCTTAATAGATATCTTCAAGAGATTGATAGAATAAGTAAAGAAAATAACTTGATAACAAATATAATTAGCAGTTGAATTATTCGTCATTTATTTAACAATTAGTTTCTCCTCTGCTTATGCGGTGAATTTCTGATATTAACGGACAAATAAATTTTATAAAGTTTGTGACAAACAGAAAACTTAAGTTTTAATGTAAGAGATATGATCATGCCTTATTCGGTATGACTGGCCATTATTGCAATTTTAAAGATTTCTCCAGTAGATTTTTAGCTTGTACAAGAAATATTCCGAAAACATTTTCGCTTTTTTCTTTTATCCCTTAGATAATTTTACTGTTTGTAGAGGATAAATATAACGAAAACAGTAACATTTATTGTTAAAAGATCAACAGTGATACTCCTACATTTGAAAAAAAGGTTTTAATGTTTTGTATTTGTAATTCTATTCCAAAATATAATTTCCTTTACTTACTCAGTCAATATCCACTATCTTGTTACAGCAGGTATACAAAGACCAAAATTTACCAGAGAACAAATCAATAGAATGATCGAAGATACGAATAGAGGTCGATATTATAACAAAGAAGGAAAACTAGTTGTCGGCAATGAACCAAGAATGACATTGGACGATCTTAATAGATATCTTCAAACTATTGATAGAACTAGTAAATAAATGAGCTTATTTACAAATAATATTACCTATTTTTTAACAATAAGTTGATTTTTTCATTATCCGGTGATTTTTTGCAATTAACGGACTTATAAATATAAAGTTTATGGCAGACATAAAAGTTAGTCTAATTGTAAGAGATTCTGTTTCATCAAGTTTGGTTGTTTTTTATATAGAATCCTAAGATTTCGCCAATAAACATTTTGTTTGTTTCTCCAGGTGATATTCCGAGATCAAAATTTACAAGAGAACAAATTAATAGAATGATTGATGATACAAGAAGAGGTCGATTTTATAACAAAGAAGGAAATCTTGCAGTTGGCAATGAGCCAAGAATGACTTTGAACGATCTTAATAGATACCTACAAACTCTGGAATATACAAGTACTTTTACTTTTTTAAAATACAAACTTAATTTGTTTGAAAATTTTCATCATTCTCTTTTTGTTTTATCCCCTAGATAGCTTTTCTGAATTTAAATGATATAGATAACGGAATAAGTAAAATGAATAAGAGAACAAATATTACTCACATTTCTGTCTAAATTAAATATTGACGCTTAAATCTCTTCATAACATAAATTCTTGTCAAATACTTTTATATATTATTCTCTAACTTGGTCAATATTCCAATCGTGTTACAGCAGGTATACAAAGACCAAAATTTACTAGGGAACACATCAATCGAATGATCGAAGATATGAACAGAGGTCGATATTATAACCAAGACGGAAAACTAGTTGTCGGCAATGAACCAAGAATGACTTTGGACGATCTTAATAGATATCTTCAAACAATCGATAAAACAAGTAAATAGATTAGCTTATTTAAAAATATGATAATGAAAAGAGCTCGATTTTATAAAAATGAAGGAAATCTGGCAGTTTGGCAGTAAACCAAGAGACTTTGGACGATCTTAAAAGATGAATGCAAACTCTTGATTATACAAGCACTTTTACGGCTTACTTTATATCAAATATAAAACTAAGTTTACATATATTGCTTAGATTTTTTTCATAAGATATTTCAAAAATGTTCACTTTTTTCATTATCCCTCAGATAATTTTCCTGCAATAAGATGATTAATATAATGAAAACAGTTATATTTATGGTTTAAAGATCAACAGTGCTTCTAAAACTTCTGTCTCCTACAGTTTAAAAATAACGCTTAAAATGATCTGTATTCATAATTCAATTCCGAATTATTTAATAATGTTTCACTTTCTAAGACAATATCCACTATCTTGTTACAGCAGGTATACAAAGACCAAAATTTACTAGAGAACAAATCAATAGAATGATTGAAGATACGAACAGAGGTCGATATTATAACCAAGAAGGAAAACTAGTTGTCGGCAATGAACCAAGAATGACATTGGACGATCTTAATAGATATCTTCAAACTATTGATAGAACTAGTAAGTAAATGAGCTTATTTATAAATAATATTACTTATTAGTTTATTTTTAATCTATTTCTTAACAATGAGTTGATAATTTTCATTATCCGGTGATTTCCTGCAATTAATAGACTAATAAATATAAAGTTTTTGGCAGACATAAAAGTTAGTCTAATTGTAAGAGATTCTGTTTCATACAGTTTGGCTTTTTTTTATGGAATCCTAAATATTTCGCCAATAAACATTTATTTGTTTCTCCAGGTGATATTCCGAGATCAAAATTTACAAGAGAACAAATAAATAGAATGATTGATGATACGAGAAGAGGTCGATTTTATAACAAAGAAGGAAATCTTGCAGTTGGCAATGAACCAAGAATGACTTTGGACGATCTTAATAGATACCTACAAACTCTGGAATATACAAGTACTTTTACTTTTTTAAAATACAACCATAATTTGTTGGAAAAATTTTCATCATTCTCTTTTTGTTTTATCCCCTAGATAGCTTTTCTGAATATAAAGGATATGCATAACGGAAAAAGTAAAAGCAATGGATAAGAGATCAACTATTTCTCACATTTCTGTCTAAAATGAATACTGTAAATACTGTTGCTTTTTTATCGGAATCTGAAGTTCGAAAATGAGATAATGAAATTGGTAATTTTAAATTTCTAAATACCTTTGAAAGTCTTGTATTTAGTTAAAACTTCGTTGAAATTAATGTATGTTATCCAAGAACAACAATTGTTCCTTTAAATCATTCTCACCACATAATGCTTTCATTTTTTGTATCTCTTTCTCTCTTTATCCCTTATTTATCTGTGCGGATGTTTTTAAATTACTATTTTGTAGATTACTTCATGTCAATACCCGGGCGTGCACTTAAATATAGTAATCCTCTAGTGTTGATATTCTTTCTCCTTTTTCTCAGTCTTGTATCGGGAATAACGTAATGTTTACTGAAAACAAAAAACAACTATACACTAGAAAACTCCATCTTAAGATTGATTCAAAACAAGCAACTAGTATCCCTATTTGCATGGTATGCCATCCTCAAATTTGTACTTTTAATACTCTTGATCTCCTTCATCATACAATTTTATCTAGCAGTCAACATTATTCATGTTTGTTCTATCTTAATTATATAAAAGGACCCATATTTAACATGTTTCCGGAACAGAACTGGGACTTCTCTATTCTTATACTGCGGTCAGGTGATGTTCATCGTAATCCTGGCCCAGCTTCTAGAAGTACGTCAACATCCTCTTTAACATCAAGCTTAAACGAGTATATTGATCTTTCAAGAAATCTGTCTTTGGTTCATTACAATGTTCAAAGCGTACTCCCAAAACTTGATATACTTTAAGCTGAATTAAATGACTCTGACATACTTGTTTTCTCTGAAACATGGCTAAATGTGAATACGCCCTCTTCAGATCTTATTCTTAGCTCTTATTCGCCACCAGAAAGAAAAGATCGAATCGATAATTACGGAGGAGTAATACTTTATGTAAAAGACAATATTAGTTATACGAGACGACTTGATCTTGAGATAAGGGGTACTGAATCTATTTGGATTGAAATCATATTCTGTAATAAACATATTCTACTTGGTGCTTTTTACAGACCTCCAAATACCGATTCTGTTCATCATGATTTGAGTGTTGATTCTATGCATCTTGCCATTGACACCCACATAGATAACATTTCAACTTGAATACTCAAAACCCTCCCTCTGGTAGAAAAGTAAATGCATTATGCTCACAGTTATCACTGTTTCAGGTAATAAACGCTCCAACACACTTCACGGAATCCTCCACATCAACAATTGACTTGATTTTCACAACTAACAAAAACCTTATACACTCGAGTGGTGTTGGTGACCCTTTCCTTCAACAAGACTTAAGATATCATTGCCCAATCTATTGTTTGCTAAATCTTAAAAAACCTAAACGCTCTTCTTTCTATCGTCACGTTTGGATATTTGACAAAGGAAATTATACCATGCTTAGACAATTAGCCGCTGAATGCGACTGGGAAAATTTGAAAAATAATGATATAAACATTTATACTTCTAATGTCACAAATGAAATTATCAACATTTCTAAGAAATGTATACCAAATAGGAAAATACTGGTACGCGAAAATGACCCCCCTTGGCTTAAAAATGATCTTCGAGTTCTTATAAGGAAACGTAAACGCTTGTATCGCATTGCCAAAGTATCAAATTTACCGCGTCACTGGGCAAAATTTCGTCTTCTTAGAAATCAAATCACTACACTTATTCGTGAGGCAAAGAAAACTCATTTTGACAAACAATCTTAAACATAAGCTTAAAGAGGAAACATGTAATTCCAAGAGTTGGTGGACCTGTCTGAAAACCTTCAGTCTCCTCTTCTATACCTCCACTCGTAAACGGAAATGATACTATTACAGATGAAACACAAAAGGCAAATTTTCTTAATGAATACTATGTGGCTCAAACAGATATTAATACAAATGCAGCACCTATTCTTCCTGATTTATCTAATTCTAGTGGTTCAACATTATCCGACATTTTCATCAGTCCAGACGAAGTAAAATCGGTCTTAAAATCACTTCCCCTTGGAAAAGCATTAGGCCCAGACAAAAATAAATAATAGAATCCTACGAGAACTCTAAATTGAACTCAGCGGCCCTCTTTGCTCTCTCTTTTCAACTACTCTCTCCAAATGTGTCAAGTTCCTGATGTTTGGAAAGAAGCAAACGTCTCTCCACTTTTGAAATCCGATGATCCTTCTCTAGTAAATAACTATCGTCCTATTTCTCTTATTAGCACTATCAATAAAGTTTTTGAAAGAATCATATTCAAACATACATTCAATTTCCTTCATTCTAATACAGTGTAACTTCCGAAAACCGAACACCCATGGGACTTGTCAAAAAGTTCGGATTTCAGAGGTTTCCGGAATTCAGAGGTTTATGATAATGTGGACAAGACTAAGCCACTTAATATCACTAAATGTCAAGGACGATGTGGCCATTACTGTAATATCATATCAGTTTGTAAAAATGTTGTTAATTGCATAAACTTACATATCGTCCGATGCTAGTTAATTAATTATTACATCAAATGCAATAAAATCCCTAAAGACGTTTGATGCATACATTGTCCCATTAATTGTCATTTAATCCGCTAATAAACACTTCAAATTAACTGACTTCCGTAAATTACTTTGACTAACCGCATCACTTCAAACATACTATTTCAGTTTGTGATTTTAACGCGTGTCAAATTACACGATCACCGCTAATTAGTAAACAATCGATAGGGAGATTAAATCTTCCTGCAGGGTTTACAATGTATTTCACACCTTTGGATATTTCCGGTTTTTGGAGGTAAAATTGCATTGATTTGACTCTAATTTTTCGAAAATATCGTCTGGAATTCAGAATTTAGAAGTTCCGGAATTCAGAAGTATTATATTAATAGAAAATAGAAGGGAAAAATCGGGACCGAAAAAATTGTCGGTTTTTAGAAGTTTCCGGATTTCAGAAGTTCCGGAATTCGGAAGTTACACTGTAATATTCTTACCCCATTACAATCAGGTTTTGTTCCTGGTGACTCTACAATAAATAAACTGACTTACATATACAATTTATTTACTCAAGCCATTGATTCTGGCAAAGAGGTGAGAACAGTTTTCTGTGACATCAGTAAAGCGTTTGATCGTGTATGACATAAGGGCCTTATCTATAAACTTAATAACATTGGAATTTCCGGTCGTCTTTTACTCTGGTTCACTTCCTATCTTGATAACAGAAAACAAAGGGTTGTTCTTAAAGGTTGTACATCTTCTGATAATTATATAAATGCTGGTGTCCCTCAAGGATCCATATTCGGGCCACTTCTTTTTCTAATATATATAAATGACATTGTTCTTGATATCAAAGCAAACATCAGACTTTTCGCTGATGATACTAGTCTAATCATTATTGTTGAAGATCCGCTATCAGCTTCAAATATTCTAAATACAGACTTGCAAACAATAGACAGGTGGTCAAAAAAATGGTTAGTCAAATTTAAACCTTCAAAATCTGAATCAATGTTAATATCTCGTAAAACAAGACAAGTAATTCATCCGTCCGTTATTATGCAGGGTCAACCAATAAATGAAATAAATAATCATAAACACCTAGGTATAATTCTTTCAAATGATCTTCGCTGGTCGGCACATCTTGATTACACTAAAACTAAAGCCCAGAAAAAAATAAATATAATGAAAAACTTAAATTTACACTTGACCGGAAGTCTCTTGAGATCATCTACCTTTAATTTATTAGACCTATCCTTGAATACGGCGATGTCTTATTTGATAACTGTACCAAATTAGAAAAAACGGAACTAGAACAAATTCAACATGAAGCCGCAAGAATAGTGACAGGAACAACCAAACTCGTCTCTATTGACAATCTTATGTCTGAAATTGGCTGGGAAACTTTAGAAAAAAGGAGATACAATCATAAACTTATCTTATTTTACAAAATGAAAAATAATCTCACTCCAGACTATCTCTCTGATCTTGTCCCTTCTTCTGTTGGCTACAAACATCGATATCCCTTCAGGAATGCCCAAGACACACAGACCATTCGATCATGCACAGATTTTTACTATAAATCCTTTCTACCATCTGTAATAAGAGACTTCAACACCCTTTCAGTTCAAACCCAGAATGCTCCTACGCTTGCCGCTTTTAAGCGCAGTCTTAAAAGTGAAGTATCAAATATACCGAACTTCGTCTACTATGGTGAGCGAAGAGACCAAATAATGCAGTCCAGACTTCGAACCAATTGTAGCTCTCTTGCATCTGATTTATTTGATAAGAATATTGCCGAGTCTCCATTGTGTGATTGTGGGGTGGTTGAAAATTCCTATCATTCCTTCTTTATTTGTCCAAAATATGTACATCTACGTCCCAATCTACTAAACACTCTTTCCAACTTTTGCACTCCAACTTTGCATGTTATTCTTTATGGAGACCCTCCTTTACCTGCGGACTCCAACACTGCTACCTTCGCCGCTGTTCATAAATTTATAAGAGATACTAGAAGATTCTAACATGTAATTTACTAGTTGTCATACAACATAGTGTTCACACAAGTTTTTTTTTCCATACATGATGTTCGTACCAAAACGACAAATGATATAGAAACATCCGCAAACTCCTCTTTTCTCCATCTTTCTCTTTATTAATTTCTTTCAATTGCATATATGTATTTGTATTTTTTTATTCTTTCTTCGTTTTTTTCTTTATAGGGTTTAATTAAAATTATGATAAGCCATGTATTATAAAAACATATTGCTTTTGTTAAAGGAGAGGACTACCATGAGCTATTGTAGCTCTTGGTCCAATTCCTTTCTGCTTAAATTGTAAATTATTAACATATATATATTATCTGAATAAAAATATGTTTAAACCAAATGAATACTGCCGCTTAAATCTCTTCATAACATAAACTCCAATTTTCTTTTATATATTATTCTCTAACTTGGTCAATATTCACTATATTGTTACAGCAGATATCTTCAAACAATTGATAGAACAAGTAAATAGATTAGCTTATTTACAAATATGATTATGACAAGAGGTCGATCACATAAGAAAGCATGAAATCTGGCAGTTTGGCAATAAACAAAGTGAATTTGAACGATCTTATATGATACCTGCAAAGTTTTGATTATGCAAGCATTTTTTACGGATAACCTTATATTACATGTTAACTTACGTTTACATTTATTGCTTAAAATTTTTTCATCAATTATTTCAAAATATGTTCACGTTTTTCATTATCTCCCAGATAATTCTCTTACATGATAAATATAACGAAAACAATCACATTCATAGTTAAAAGATTAAAAGTATTTCCAAAACTTCTGTCTCTTACAGTTTAAAATAACGTGTATAATGATTTGTATTCATAATTCACTTCCGAAATATATAATAATTTTTCACTTACTAAGACAATATTCCCTATCTTGTTACAGCAGGTGTACAAAGACCAAAATTTACTAGAGAACAAATCAATAGAATGATTGAAGATACGAACAGAGGTCGATATTATAACCAAGAAGGAAAACTAGTTGTCGGCAATGAACCAAGAATGACATTGGACGATCTTAATAGATATCTTCAAACAATTGATAGAACAAGTAAATAAATGAGCTTATTTACAAATATGATTATGAAAAGAGTTTGATTTCATAAGAAAGACGTAAATCTTGCAGTTTGGCAATGAATCAAGAGTCTTTGGACGATCTTAAAAGATGAATGCAATCTCTTGATTATACAAGCACTTTTACGGCTTACTTTATATCACATTATAAAACTGCGTTTACATATATTGCTTAGAATTTTTTCCTTGAGATATTTCAAAACATGTTCACTTTTTTATTATCTCTCAGATAATATTCCTGCAATAAGATGATTAATATAATGAAAACAGTTACATTTATGGTTAAAATATCAACAGTGAGTCTATAACTTCTGTCTCCTACAGTTTAAAAATAAAGCTTAAAATGATTTGTATTCAAAATTCAATTCCGAAATATTTAATAATGTTTCACTTACTAAGACAATATCCACTAAATTGTTACAGCAGGTATACAAAGACCAAAATTTACAAGAGAACAAATCAATAGAATGATTGAAGATACGAACAGAGGTCGATATTATAACCTTGACGGAAAACTAGTTGTCGGCAATGAACCAAGAATGACATTGGACGATCTTAATAGATATCTTCAAACTATTGATAGAACTAGTAAATAAATGAGCTTATTTACAAATGATATTACCTAGTAGATTACTTTTTTTTTATCTTTTTTAACAATTAGTTGACTTTTTCATTATTCGGTGAATTTCTGCAATTAACAGACTAATAAATATTCAGGTCATGGCAGATATAAAAGTTAATCTAATTATAAGAGATTCTGTTTAATAAAGTTTGGCTTTTTTATGGAATCCTAAAGATTTCGCCAAAAAATATTTTGTTTGTTTCTCCAGGTGGTATTCCGAGATCAAAATTTACAAGAGAACAAATTAATAGAATGATTGATGATACGAGAAGAGGTCGATTTTATAACAAAGAAGGAAATCTTGCAGTTGGCAATGAACCAAGAATGACTTTGGACGATCTTAATAGATACCTGCAAACTCTGGAATATACAAGTACTTTTACGTTAAAATACAACCTTAATTTGTTTGAAAAATTTTGATAATTCTCTTTTTGTTTTATCCCCTAGATAGATTTTTTTAATTTAAATGATATACATCACGGAAAAAGTAAATTTAATGGATAAGAGATCAACTATTTCTCACATTTCTGTCTAAATTAAATATTGACGCTTCAATCTGTTCATAACATTAATTCTTGTCCAATAATACTTTTATATATTATTCTCTTACTTGGTATATATTCACTGTCTTATTTCAGCAGGTATTCAAAGACCAAAATTTACTAGAGAACAAATCAATAGAATGATCGAAGATACGAACAGAGGTCGATATTATAACCAAGACGGAAAACTAGTTGTCGGCAATGAACCAAGAATGACTTTGGACGATCTTAATAGATATCTTCAAACAATTGATAGAACAAGTAAATAGATAAGCTCATTTTCAAATATGATTGTGAAAAGAGATCGATTTCATAAGATAGCATGAAATCTTGCAGTTTGGCAATGTACATAGAGAATTTGGACGATCTTAAAAGATAGCTGAAACTTTTGATTATACAAGCACTTTTACGGCTTACTTTATATCAAATATAAAACTGCGTTTACATATATTGCTTAGAATTTTTTTCATAAGATATTTCAAAAATGTTCACTTTTTCATTATCTCTCAGATAATTTTCCTGCAATAAGATGATCTATATAACGAAAACAGTTACTTTTATGTCTGAAAGATCAACAGTAATTCTAAAACTTCTGTCTCCTACAGTTTAAAAATAACGCTTAAAATGATTTGTATTCATAATTCAATTCCGAAATACTTAATAGTTTTTCACTTACTAAGACAATATCCACTATTTTGTAACAGCAGGTATACAAAGACCAAAATTTACCAGAGAACAAATCAATAAAATGATTGAAGATACGAACAGAGGTCGATATTATAACCAAGAAGGAAAACTAGTTGTCGGCAATGAACCAAGAATGACATTGGACGATCTTAATAGATATCTTCAAACAATTGATAGAACAAGTAAATAAATGAGCTTATTTACAAATATGATTATGAAAAGAGTTTGATTTCATAAGAAAGACGTAAATCTTGCAGTTTGGCAATGAACCAAGAGTCTTTGGACGATCTTAAAAGATGCATGCAAACTCTTGATTACACAAGCACTTTTACGGCTTACTTTATATCACATTATAAAACTGCGTTTACATATATTGCTAAGAATTATTGTCATAAGATATTTCAAAACACGTTCACTTTTTTATTATCTCTCAGATAATATTCCTGCAATAAGATGATTAATATAATGAAAACAGTTACATTTATGGTTAAAATATCAACAGTGAGTCTATAACTTCTGTCTCCTACAGTTTAAAAATAAAGCTTAAAATGATTTGTATTCAAAATTCAATTCCGAAATATTTAATAATTTTTCACTTTCTAAGACAATATCCACGATCTTGTTACAGCAGGTGTACAAAAACCAAAATTTACTAGAGAACAAATCAATAGAATGATTGAAGATACGAACAGAGGTCGATATTATAACAAAGAAGGCAAACTAGTTGTCGGCAATGAACCAAGAATGACATTGGACGATCTTAATAGATATCTTCAAACTATTGATAGAACTAGTAAATAAATGAGCTTATTTACAAATGATATTACCTAGTAGATTACTTTTATTTATCTTTTTTAACAATTAGTTGACTTTTTCATTATTCGGTGAATTTCTGCAATTAACAGACTAATAAATATTCAGGTCATGGCAGATATAAAAGTTAATCTAATTATAAGAGATTCTGTTTAATAAAGTTTGGCTTTTTTATGGAATCCTAAAGATTTTGCCAAAAAATATTTTGTTTGTTTCTCCAGGTGGTATTCCGAGATCAAAATTTACAAGAGAACAAATTAATAGAATGATTGATGATACGAGAAGAGGTCGATTTTATAACAAAGAAGGAAATCTTGCAGTTAGCAATGAACCAAGAATGACTTTGGACGATCTTAATAGATACCTGCAAACTCTGGAATATACAAGTACTTTTACGTTAAAATACAACCTTAATTTGTTTGAAAAATTTTGATAAATCTCTTTTTGTTTTATCCCCTAGATGGATTTTTTTAATTTAAATGATATACATCACGGAAAAAGTAAATTTAATGGATAAGAGATCAACTATTTCTCACATTTCTGTCTAAATTAAATATTGACGCTTCTATCTGTTCATAACATTAATTCTTGTCCAATAATACTTTTATATATTATTCTCTTACTTGGTATATATTCACTGTCTTATTTCAGCAGGTATTCAAAGACCAAAATTTACTAGAGAACAAATCAATCGAATGATCGAAGATACGAACAGAGGTCGATATTATAACCAAGACGGAAAACTAGTTGTCGGCAATGAACCAAGAATGACTTTGGACGATCTTAATAGATATCTTCAAACAATTGATAGAACAAGTAAATAGATAAGCTCATTTTCAAATATGATTGTGAAAAGAGATCGATTTCATAAGATAGCATGAAATCTTGCAGTTTGGCAATGTACATAGAGAATTTGGACGATCTTAAAAGATAGCTGAAACTTTTGATTATACAAGCACTTTTACGGCTTACTTTATATCACATATAAAACTGCGTTTACATATATTGCTTAGAATTTTTTTCATAAGATATTTCAAAAATGTTCACTTTTTCATTATCTCTCAGATAATTTTCCTGCAATAAGATGATCTATATAACGAAAACAGTTACATTTATGTCTGAAAGATCAACAGTAATTCTAAAACTTCTGTCTCCTACAGTTTAAAAATAACGCTTAAAATGATTTGTATTCATAATTCAATTCCGAAATACTTAATAGTTTTTCACTTACTAAGACAATATCCACTATTTTGTAACAGCAGGTATACAAAGACCAAAATTTACCAGAGAACAAATCAATAAAATGATTGAAGATACGAACAGAGGTCGATATTATAACCAAGAAGGAAAACTAGTTGTCGGCAATGAACCAAGAATGACATTGGATGATCTTAATAGATATCTTCAAACAATTGATAGAACTAGTAAATAAATGAGCTTATTTACAAATAATAATACCAATTTGATTACTTTTTATCTATTTTTTACCAATAAGTTGACTTTTTTATTATCCGGTGATTTTCTGCAATTAACAAACTAATAAAGTTTATGGCAGATATAAAAGCTAGTGTAATTGTAAGACATTCTGTTTTATAAACATTTGCTGATTTTTATATAGAATCCTTAAGATTTCGCCAATAAATATTTTGTTTGTTTCTCCAGGTGATATTCCGAGATCAAAATTTACAAGAGAGCAAATTAATAGAATGATTGATGATACGAGAAGAGGTCGATTTTATAACAAAGAAGGAAATCTTGCAGTTGGCAATGAACCGAGAATGACTTTGGACGATCTTAATAGATACCTGCAAACTCTGGAATATACAAGTACTTTTACGTTAAAATACAACCTTAATTTGTTTTAAAATTTTCATAATTCTCTATTTGTTTTATCCCCTAGATAGATTTTCTGAATTGAAATGATATTCATCACGGAAATAGTAAAAGTTATAGAAAAGGGAATAACTATTACTCACATTTCTGTCTAAATAAGATATTGACGCTTAAATCTGTCCATAACATAAATTCTTGTCCAATACTTTTATATATTCTTCTCTAACTTGGTCAATATTCACTATCTTGTTACAGCAGGTATACAAAGACCAAAATTTACTAGAGAACAAATCAATAGAATGATCGAAGATATGAATAGAGGTCGATATTATAACCAAGAAGGAAAACTAGTTGTCGGCAATGAACCAAGAATGACATTGGACGATCTTAATAGATATCTTCAAACAATTGATAGAACAAGTAAATAAATGAGCTTATTTACAAATATGATTATGAAAAGAGGTTGATTTCATAAGAAAGGAGGAAATCAGGCAGTTTGGCAATGAACAAAGAGACTTTGGACGAACTGAAAAGATATCTGCAAACTCTTGATTACGGCTTACTTTTATGTTTCTTGTAAAACTGCGTTTACATATTTTGCTTAGTATTTCCTTCAATTATATCAAGACATGTTCACTTTTTACATTATCCCTCAGATAATTTTCCTGCATTAACATAATAAATATATTGAAAATAACCACATTTATAGCTAAAAAATCAAAAGTATTTCCGAAACTTCTGTCTCCTACAATATAACGCTTGAAATGATTTGTATTCTGAATTCAATTCAGAAATATATAATAATATTTCACTTACTAAGACAATATTCACTATCTTTTTACAGCAGGTATACAAAAACCGAAATTTACTAGAGAACAAATCAACAGAATGATTGATGATACGAACAGAGGTCGATATTATAACCAAGACGGAAAACTAGCTGTCGGCAATGAACCAAGAATGACTTTGGATGATCTTAATAGATATCTTCAAACAATTGATAGAACAAGTAAATAGATTAGCTCATTTACAAATATGATTATAAAAAGAGCTCGATTTCATAAGAAAGAATGAAATCTTGCAGTTTGGCAATGAACAAAGAGAATATGTACGATCTTAAAAGATAGCTGCAAATTTTTGATTATACAAGCACGTCTACGGTTAACTTTATATTATATGTTAAATTGCGTTTACATATATTGCTTTTAAACTTGTTCATCAAATATTTCAAAACATGTTCACTTTTTCATTATCTCACAGATAATTTTCCTGCATTAACATGATAAATATAACGAAAACAATCACATTTATAGTTAAAAGATCAAAAGTATTTCGAAAACATATGTCTCCTACAGTTTAAAAATATAAAAACTTAAAATGATTTTTATTCATAATTCAATTCTGAAATATTTAATAATTTTCTCTTACTAAGACAATATCCACTAAATTGTTACAGCAGGTGTACAAAGACCAAAATTTACAAGAGAACAAATCAATAGAATGATTGAAGATACGAACAGAGGTCGATATTATAATCAAGACGGAAAACTAGTTGTCGGCAATGAACCTAGAATGACTTTGGATGATCTTAATAGATATCTTCAAACAATTGATAGAACAAGTAAATAGATTAGCTCATTATGAATATGATTATGAAGGAGTTTGATTTCATAAGAAAGAAGGGAATCAGGTAGTTTGGCAATGAACAAGTGACTTTGGACGATCTTAAAAGATATCTGCAAACTCTTGATTACGGCTTACTTTATGTTAATGTAAAACTGCGTTTACATATTTTGCTTAGTATTTTCTTCAATTATATTAATGTATGTTCACTATTTTACATTATCTCTCAGATAATTTTTCTGCATTAACATAATAAATATAATGAAAACAACCACATTTATAGTTAAAAGATCAAAAGTATTTCCAAAACTTCTGTCTCCTACAGTTTAAAAATAACGGTCAAACTGATTTGTATTCTTAATTCAATTCCGAAATATTTAATAATGTTTCACTTACTAAGACAATATCCACTAAATTGTTACAGCAGGTATACAAAGACCAAAATTTACAAGAGAACAAATCAATAGAATGATTGAAGATACGAACAGAGGTCGATATTATAACCAAGACGGAAAACTAGCTGTCGGCAATGAACCAAGAATGACTTTGGACGATCTTAATAGATATCTTCAAACAATTGATAGAACAAGTAAATAGATTAGCTCATTTACAAATATGATTATGAAAAGAGCTCGATTTCATAAGAAAGGAGGAAATCAGGCAGTTTGGCAATGAAAAAAGAGACTTCGAACGATCTTAAGATATGCTTGCAATCTCTTGATTATACAAGCACCTTTACGGCTTAATTTATATTACATGTAAACCTGCGTTTACATACATTGCTTAGAATTTTTTCCTTTAGATATTTCAAAACATGTTCATTTTTTTCATTATCTGTCAGATAATTTTCCTGCATTAGATGATCAATATAACGAAAACAGTAATTTATATTGTTAAAAGATCATCAGTGAGTCTAAAACTTCTGTCTCCTACAGTTTAAAAATAACGCTAAAATGATTTATATTCTTAATTCAATTCCGAAATATTTTATATTTTTTTACTTACTAAGACAATATCCACTATCTTGTTACAGCAGGTATACAAAGACCAAAATTTACAAGAGAACAACTCAACAGAATGATTGAAGATACGAACAGAGGTCGATATTATAACCAAGACGGAAAACTAGCTGTCGGCAATGAACCAAGAATGACATTGGACGATCTTTATAGATATCTTCAAAGTATTGACAGAACAAGTAAATAGATTAACTCATTTACAAATATGATTATGAAAAGAGATCGATTTCATAAGAAAGAATGAAATCTTGCAGTTTGGCAATGAACAAAGAGAATTTGGAGATCTTAAAAGATAGCTGCAAACTTTTGATTACACAAGCATTTTTACTGTTAACTTTATATTACATGTTAAATTGAGTTTACTTATATTGCTTGTAAATTTGTTCATCAAATATTTCGAAACTTGTTCTCTTTTTCATTATCTCTCAGATAATTTTCCTGCATTAACATGATAAATATAACGAAAACAATCACATTTATAGTTAAAAGATCAAAAGTATTTCGAAAACATATGTCTCCTACAGTTTAAAAATAACACTTTAAATGATTTTTATTCATAATTCAATTCTGAAATATTTAATAATGTTTCACATTCTAAGACAATATCCGTTATCTTACAGCAGGTATACAAAGACCAAAATTTACAAGAGAACAAATCAATAGAATGATTGAAGATACGAACAGAGGTCGATATTATAACCAAGAAGGAAAACTAGTTGTCGGCAATGAACCAAGAATGACTTTGGACGATCTAAATAGATATCTTCAAACAATTGATAGAACAAGTAAATAGATTAGCTCATTTACAAATATGATTATGAAAAGAGGTTGATTTCATAAGAAAGAAGGAAATCAGGCAGTTTTGCAATGAACATAGAGACTTCGGACGATTTTAAAAGATATCTGCAAACTCTTGATTACGACTTACTTTATGTTACATGTAAAACTACGTTTACATATTTTGCTTAGAATTTTTTTCTTCGATTATATTAAAACATGTTCACTTTTTACATTATCTCTCACATAATTTTCCTGCATTAACATAATAAATATAATGAGAAAAACCACATTTATAGTTCAAAGATCAAAATTATTTCCAAAACTTCTGTCTCCTACAGTTTAAAAATAACGCTTAAAATGATTTGTATTCTTAATTCAATGCCGAAATATCTAATACTTTTTCACTTACTAAGACAATATCCACTAACTTGTTACAGCAGGTATACAAAGACCAAAATTTACAAGAGAACAAATCAATAGAATGATTGAAGATACGAACAGAGGTCGATATTATAACCAAGAGGGAAAACTAGTTGTCGGCAATGAACCAAGAATGACATTGGATGATCTTAATAGATATCTTCAAACGATTGATAGAACAAGTTAAAATTAAAGCTTTTATAAATATGATTCTGAAATGAGGTCGAGTTGATAAGAAAGTAGAAAGTCATGCAAATGGCAATGAAGAAAGAGAATATGTACGATCTTAATAGATACCTGCAAAGGCTTTATTTTACGAGCACTTTTAAGGCCAAACTTATATTACCTGTAAAACCGCGATTACGTATTTTGCTAAGAAATTTTCATCAAATATTTCAAAAATATGTTCACTTTTTTCTTTATCCGTCAGATAACATCCGTGCAATAGATGAAAAATATAACGTAAAATAGACACATTTGTAGTATAGTGATCAGCAGTGGTTGTAAACCTTCTGTTTTATATGAAATAAGAATAACTTTTAACGTTCGAAATATTTAATAATGTTTCACTTACAAAGACAATATCCACTATCTCGTTACGGCAGGTATACAAAGACCAAAATTTACCAGAGAACAAATCAATAGAATGATTGAAGATACGAACAGAGGTCGATATTATAACCAAGAAGGAAAACTAGTTGTCGGCAATGAACCAAGAATGACTTTGGACGATCTTAATAGATATTTTCAAGAAATTGGTAGATCAAGTAGAAACATAGCTCATTTACAATTTTATTCCAATTAGATCACTTTTTATTTATTTAAACAATTAAAGCTTTATTTTTTGTATTAGTCAAGTGATTTTCGGCAGTTAAAGGACTGAAAAGCATAAATTTTTTGACAAAAATAATCAATTCATTTAAATATACAGTGTTCGTATTAGAGATTTGATCATGTCCGCCTTGTCCGTTTGTTTTTATGCAATTTTAAAGATTTCGCCAATAGCTATTATGTTTCTACAGTTGATATTCCGTGATCAAAATTGACAAGAGAACAAATTAATAGAATTTGTGATGATTCGAATAGAGGTCGATTTTTATAACACAGAAGTAAATTTTGTAGTTGACAATTAACCAAAAATGATTTTATTACGATCTGAATAGAAACCTGCAAAATCATAATTTTACAATCACGTTTACGACTAAATTGATATATTACGTGTAAAACTGCGTTTTTTTTTGTAAAATATTTTTCAAACCATTTTCACTTTCTTTCCTATTTCCCTAAGATATCTTTCCTGCATCTATATGATGAAAATAACGAAAACTAACACATTTATGGTTTAAAGCTCAATGGTATTTCAAAACTTCTACAATTTATAAATAACGCTTAAAATATTATGTATTCTTAATTCAATTCTAAAATATTTATCAGTTTTTCACTTACTAAGACAATATCCAATACTATAACAATATCTTGTTACAGCAGATATACAAAGACCAAAATTTACTAGAGAACAAATCAACAGAATGATTGAAGATACGAACAGAGGTCGATATTATAACCAAGACGGAAAACTAGCTGTCGGCAGTGAACCAAGAATGACTTTGGACGATCTTAATAGATATCTTCAAACTATTGATAGAACAAGTAAATAGAATAGCTCATTAACAAATATGATTACTAATTTGATTACATTTCATTTATTCTATCAAGTAGTTGTTTTCTGTATTTCTCCGTTTGACTTTTGCAACTGACGGACTGATAAATATAGCGTTTGAGAAAAAGATATAAAAATATGTTTAAATGTAAGAGATTTAAAAATGTCCGCCTTGTCAGTTCAGATTTCTCCAATAGATATTTAGCTTCTACAAGTTATATCCTGACATCAAAATTTACAAGATAAAAATTAACAGAATGATTGTTGATATGAAAAGAGGTCAATTTTATAAGAAAGTCAGAAATCTTGCAGCTGGCAATGAACCAAGAGACTTTGGACGATCTTTATAATAAATGCAAACTCTTGATTACGGCTAAAATTTTATGTTACGTGCGAACTGCGTTTAAATATTTTGCTCAGAAATTGTTTCATGAGATATATCAAAACATGTTCACTTTCTTCTTTATCACTCTTATAACATTCCTGCTTTTAGATGATGAATATAACGGAAACAGTAACATTGTTGGTTAAAAGATGAACAGTTGTTCTGCATCTTCTCTCACACATAATTTATAAATAACCTTGAACTTTTAAAATGTTTTGTATTCCTCATTCAACTCCAAACTATTTATTTATGCTACACCTAATGTTATACCATCTTGTTACAGCAGGTATACAAAGACCGAAATTTACTAGAGAACAAATCAATAGAATGATTCAAGATACGAACAGAGGTCGATATTATAACCTAGACGGAAAACTAGCTGTCGGCAATGAACCAAGAATGACATTGGACGATCTTAATAGATATCTTCAAGATATTGGTAGAACAAGTAAAACACTTAACTTATTAACAAATATTATTACCAATTAGATTACTTTTTTTTTTTAACAATTGATGCTTAATTTTTTTTTTTAATTCTGGTGATTTTCTGCAGTTAAAGGACTGAAAGGACAAATGTTAACACTTTATTTAAATTTACAGTGTTCGTTGAAGTGATTTTATCATGTCTACCTTAAGTTAGATTATTTTTTATGCAATTTTAATTATTTCGCCGAAGATATAATATTTCTACAGGTGATCTTCTTAGATCAAAATTTACAAGAAAACAAATTAATAGATTTTTTGATGATACGAGAAGAGGTCGATATTATAACAAAGCAGTAAATCTTGCAGTTGGCAATTTACCAAGAATGATTTTATTACGATCTGAATAGATACATGCAAAATCTTGATTTTAGAAGTACATTTACGGCTATTTTTTATATTACGTGTAAAAGCACGTTTAATGTTTTGTTTAGAAATTGTTTTGTGATATAGACCATCCTTACGGCCACTATACGGAAACATAGGTCAGATATATACCTTAACGGACAGCTGTATGCAAAATTTAAACAAACTTTACCTATCGGAAATTGAGTCATGGCAACTTTACTAAATTTAATCTTGGATGTTAGAAGGGCCCTTTTTTCAGAAATAAGTAACCTTTAAATAATCTACAATATCATCCTTATGAAAAATATTTTCCCAAGAAATAAGATTTAACATTCAGCTAACAATCCACTTAAGCAAAAAATTATTGTTTCTACTCAAGATTTATGAAATAAGTATAAAAATGTTACCCTACCCACCCATTTTTATAACGTGTCTGATCAATTTCATACTTAGAGAGCCTTATCAAAATATCCAAAAACATTTACTTAAATGAGAGACTGTTTTTAAAGTTCCCCTAAATTTTTATCAAAAGATTATTTGTTGATCTTGTAAATATTAAATACTTCGACTGTATAGTTTTGATTTTGCTGCACTATGACAATATCAGGTACTAAATTTGTTATTTGATTTACCATTATTTTGCCAATGAATATCTATATTAATTAAATCATTAAAATTATTTTTTTCCCCGAAAGGGATGTGAAAGATACATAAGTAATAATAAAAGAAATGGAAAATGACCCTTTTGGGGCTTAAGACCCCGGACCTATATTTCAATGAATTTAACAATAGTTCTAGCCTATTTGAATACTATTCAAAGCTAAGGTAATGCATTAGGATGGTCATACATTTAAAGATATTTCAAAACATGTTCACTTTTATGTTTTATCCCTTCGATATCTTACTTGCATATAACGAAAATAGTCACATATACGATTAAAAGCTTAAAAGGTTTTTCTAAAACTTCTGTCTCCTACAGTTTAAAGATAACGCTTAGCATGTTTTTTTATTCTTAATTAAATTCCAAAATATTTTTTAAAAAATTCACTACCTAAGAAAATATCCACTATCTTGTTACAGCAGGTATACAAAGACCAAAATTTACAAGAGAACAAATCAACAGAATGATTGATGATACGAACAGAGGTCGATATTATAACCAAGACGGTAAACTAGTTGTCGGCAATGAACCAAGAATGACTTTGGACGATCTTAATAGATATCTTCAAACTATTGATAGAACAAGTAAAATAGATTAGCTCATTATCAAATATGATTACCAATTAGATAACATTTCATTATTTTCAACAATTAGTTGTTTTCTGTATTTATCCGATGATTTTTTGTTATTAACTGATAAATATAACATTTGTGAAAAGGATAAAAAATAATTATGTTCAAATATAAGAGATCATGTCCGCCTTCTGTTTAATACAGTTTATCTGACCTTTTATACAATATTAAAGATGTCTCCAATAGATATTTAGCTTCTACAAGTAATATTCCGAGATCAAAATTTACAAGAGAACAAATTAAAAGAATGGTTGTTGATTCATAAAGAGATCTAATTTTATAAAAGAGTAGGAAATCCTGCAGTTGGCGATGAACAAATAATGACTTTGGGGTGATCTTAATAGATATCTGTAAAATCTAAATTATACAAGCACTTTTACGGCTTGATGTTTTTATTAAAACTGCGTTAACATATTTTTGTTAAAATTGGTGTATAAATATTTCGAAACATTTTTACGTTTCTCCTTTATCCCTCAGATAAGGTTTCTGCATGTAACGGAAACAGACACAATTAATTGTTAAAAGATCAACAGTAATTATTAGTTCTAAATCTTCTCTCTCCTACAGATTATAAATATGGCTAATAATATTCTTTATTTTTATATTCGATTTCAAAATGCTTAATAACTTTTCAATTACTAACGCAATACCCACTATCTTGTTACAGCAGGTATACAAAGACCAAAATTTACAAGAGAACAAATCAATAGAATGATTGAATGATACGAACAGAGGTCGATATTATAACCAAGACGGTAAACTAGCTGTCGGCAATGAACCAAGAATGACTTTGGACGATCTTAATAGATATCTTCAAACTATTGATAGAACAAGTAAAATAGATTAGCTCATTATCAAATATGATTACCAATTAGATAACATTTCATTATTTTCAACAATTAGTTGTTTTCTGTATTTATCCGATGATTTTTTTGTTATTAACTGAATAAATATAACATTTGTGAAAAGGAAAAAAAATAATTATGTTCAAATATAAGAGATCATGTCCGCCTTCTGTTTAATACAGTTTAACTGACCTTTTATACAATATTAAAGATGTCTCCAATAGATATTTAGCTTCTACAAGTAATATTCCGAGATCAAAATTTACAAGAGAACAAATTAAAAGAATGGTTGTTGATTCATAAAGAGATCTAATTTTATAAAAGAGTAGGAAATCCTGCAGTTGGCGATGAACAAATAATGACTTTGGGGTGATCTTAATAGATATCTGTAAAATCTAAATTATACAAGCACTTTTACGGCTTGATGTTTTTATTAAAACTGCGTTAACATATTTTTGTTAAAATTGGTGTATAAATATTTCGAAACATTTTTACGTTTCTCCTTTATCCCTCAGATAAGGTTTCTGCATGTAACGGAAACAGACACAATTAATTGTTAAAAGATCAACAGTAATTATTAGTTCTAAATCTTCTCTCTCCTACAGATTATAAATATGGCTAATAATATTCTTTATTTTTATATTCGATTTCAAAATGCTTAATAACTTTTCAATTACTAACGCAATACCCACTATCTTGTTACAGCAGGTATACAAAGACCAAAATTTACAAGAGAACAAATCAATAGAATGATTGATGATACGAACAGAGGTCGATATTATAACCAAGACGGTAAACTAGCTGTCGGCAATGAACCAAGAATGACTTTGGACGATCTTAATAGATATCTTCAAACTATTGATAGAACAAGTAAAATAGATTAGCTCATTATCAAATATGATTACCAATTGATAACATTTCATTAATTTCAACAATTAGTTGTTTTCTGTATTTATCCGATGATTTTTTGTTATTAACTGATAAATATAACATTTGTGAAAAAGATAAAAAATAATTATGTTCAAATGTAAGAGATCATGTCCGCCTTCTGTTTAATACAGTTTAACTGACCTTTTATACAATATTAAAGATGTCTCCAATAGATATTTAGCTTCTACAAGTAATATTCCGAGATCAAAATTTACAAGAGAACAAATTAAAAGAATGGTTGTTGATTCAAAAAGAGATCTATTTTATAAGAGAGAAGGAAATCCTGCAGTTGGCGATGAACAAATTATGACTTTGGGGTGATCTTAATAGATATCTGTAAAATCTAAATTATACAAGCACTTTTACGGCTTGATGTTTTTATTACGTTTAAAACTGTGTTAACATATTTTTGTTAAAATTGGTGTATAAAATATTTCAAAACATTTTTACTTTTTTCCTTTATCCCTCGGATAACGTTTCTGCATGTAACGGAAACACTCACAATTAATTGTTAAAAGATCAACAGTAATTCTTAGTTCTAAATCTTCTCTCTCCTACAGATTATAAAATATGGCTAATAATTTTCTTTATTTTTATATTTGATTTCAAAATGCTTAATAACTTTTCAATTACTAACGCAATACCCACTATCTTGTTACAGCAGGTATACAAAGACCAAAATTTACTAGAGAACAAATCAACAGAATGATTGATGATACGAACAGAGGTCGATATTATAACCAAGACGGTAAACTAGCTGTCGGCAATGAACCAAGAATGACTTTGGACGATCTTAATAGATATCTTCAAACTATTGATAGAACAAGTAAATAGAATAGCTCATTAACAAATATGATTACTAATTTGATTACATTTCATTTATTCTATCAAGTAGTTGTTTTCTGTTGGTTTAAACATATTTATTTAAGCTCGAGTGCGAAATAAGTTCTTGCAACTTATATTAATCACTTTCGAGTCTGTTTCCTGGAACCAACCAGTACTGGTGTCGTATGAAGAAACATGGTCGTGTATTTCTACGTTTGACCTTTGCAACTGACGGAGTGATAAATATAACGTTTGAGAAAAAGATATAAAAATATGTTTAAATGTAAGAGATTTAAAAATGTCCGCCATGTCAGTTCAGATTTCTCAAATAGATATTTAGCTTCTACAAGTTATATTCTGACATCAAAATTTACAAGATAAAAATTAACAGAATGATTGTTGATATGAAAAGAGGTAAATTTTATAAGAAAGTCAGAAATCTTGCGAATGGCAATGAACCAAGAGACTTTGGACGATCTTAATAGATACTTGCAAACTCTTGACTATACAAGACTTTTACGGCTTAAATTTTATATAACGTGTAAAGCGCGTTTAAATATTTTGCTCAGAAATTGTTTCATAAGATGTTTCAAAACATGTTCACTTTTTTCATTATCACTCTTATAACATTCCTGCATTTACATGATGAATATAACAGAAACAGTAACATTGATGGTGAAAATATCATCAGTGGTTCTGTAACTTCTGTCACACATAATTCAAAAATGACCTTTAAAGTTTATAATGTTTTGTATTCATCATTCAACTCAAAACTATTTATAAATGCTACACCTAATGTTATACCATCTTGTTACAGCAGGTATACAAAGACCGAAATTTACTAGAGAACAAATCAATAGAATGATTCAAGATACGAATAGAGGTCGATATTATAACCAAGACGGAAAACTAGCTGTCGGCAATGAACCAAGAATGACTTTGGACGATCTTAATAGATATCTTCAAGATATTGGTAGAACAAGTAAAACACTTAGCTTTTTAACAAATATTATTACCAATTAAGTAACAAATATTATTACCAATTAGATTACTTTTTATTTATTTTAACAATTGAAGCTTAAGGTTTTTTTAATTTATTCTGGTGATTTTCTGCAGTTAAAGGGCTGAAAGGCATAAAGTTTGTTACAAATGTTAACACTTTATTTAAATTTACAGTGTTCGTTGAAGTGATTTTATCATGTCTGCCTTAAGTTAGATTATTTTTTATGCAATTTTAATTATTTCGCCGAAGATATAATATTTCTACAGGTGATATTCTTAGATCAAAATTCACAAGAAAACAAATTAATAGATTTTTTGATGATACGAGAAGAGGTCGATATTATAACAAAGCAGTAAATCTTGCAGTTGGCAATTTACCAAGAATGATTTTATTACGATCTGAATAGATACATACAAAACCTTGATTTTAGAAGTACATTTACGGCTAATTTTTGTATGTTACGTGTAAAAGCACGTTTACTGTTTTGTTTAGAAATTATTTTATGGTATGGACCATCCTAACGGGCACTATACGGAAACATAGGTCAGATATATACCTTAAAGGACATCTGTATGCAAAATTTAAACAAACTTTACCTATCGGAAATTGAGTCATGGCAACTTTACTAAATTTAATCTTGGATGTTAGAAGGGTCCTTTTTTCAGAAATAAGTAACCTTTAAATAATCTACAATATCATCCTTTTGAAAAATATTTTCCCAAGAAATAAGATTTAACATTCAGCTAACAATCCACTTAAGCAAAAAATTATTGTTTCTACTCAAGAATTATGAAATAAGTATAAAAATGTTACTCTACCCACCCATTTTTAAAACGTGTCTGATCAATTTGCTACTTAGAGAGCCTTATCAAAATATCCAAAACATTTACTTAAATGAGAGTCTGTTTTCAAAGTTTCCCTAAATTTTTATCAAAAGTTTATTGGTTGATCTTGTAAATATCAAATACTTCTACTGTATAGTTTTGATTTTGCTGCACTTTGACAATATCAGGTACTATATTTGTTATTTGATTTACCATTATTTTGCCAATAAATATCTATATTAATTAAATCATTAAAATTAATTTTTTCCCCGAAAAGGGATGTGAGAGATACATAAGTAATAATAAAAGAAGGGGAAAAAATTACCCTTTTGGGGCTTAAAACCCGGACCTATATTTCAATGTATTTAACAGTAGTTCTAGCCTATTTGAATACTCTTCAAAGCTAAGGTAATGCATAAGGATGGACATACATTTAAAGATATTTCAAAACATGTTCACTTTTATGTTTCTTCCCTTAGATATCTTACTTTCATATAACGAAAATAGTCACATATACGATTAAAAGCTTAAAAGGTTTTTCTAAAACCTATGTCTCCTACAGTTTAAACATAACGCTTAACATGTTTTTTATTCTCAATTTAATTCCAAAATATTAAATAATTTTTCACTACCTAAGAAAAGTTTTTCGAAAACATATGTCTCCTACAGTTTAAAAATATAAAAACTTAAAATGATTTGTATTCATAATTCAAATCCGAAATATTTAATAATTTTCTCTTACTAAGACAATATCCATTATCTTGTTACAGCAGATGTACAAAGACCAAAATTTACTAGAGAACAAATCAATAGAATGATTGAAGATACGAACAGAGGTCGATATTATAACCAAGACGGAAAACTAGTTGTCGGCAATGAACCAAGAATGACTTTGGACGATCTTAAAAGATATCTTCAAACTATTGATAGAACAAGTAAATAGAATAGCTCATTATCAAATATGATTACCAATTTGATTACATTTCATTTATTCTATCAAGTAGTTGTTTTCTGTATTTCTCCGTTTGACTTTTGCAACTGACGGACTGATAAATATAACGTTTGAGAAAAAGATATAAAAATATGTTTAAATGTAAGAGATTTAAAAATGTCCGGCTTGTCAGTTCAGATTTCTCCAATAAATATTTAGCTTCTACAAGTTATATTCCGACATCAAAATTTACAAGATAAAAATTAACAGAATGATTGTTGATATGACTAGAGGTCAATTTTATAAGAAAGTCAGAAATCTTGCAGTTGGCAATGAACTAAGAGACTTTTGACGATCTTAATAATAAATGCAAACTCTTGATTATACAAGACTTTTACGGCTTAAATTTTATATAACGTGTGAACCGCGTTTAAATATTTTGCTCAGAAATTGTTTCATAAGATATATGAAAACATGTTCACTTTCTTCTTTATCACTCTTATAACATTCCTGCTTTTAGATGATCAATATAACGGAAACAGTAACATTGATGGTTAAAAGATGAACAGTTGTTCTGCATCTTCTCTCACACATAATTTAAAAATAACCTTAAACGTTTAAAATGTTTTGTATTCCTCATTCAACTCCAAACTATTTATTTATGCTACACCTAATGTTACACAATCTTGTTACAGCAGGTATACAAAGACCGAAATTTACTAGAGAACAAATCAATAGAATGATCGAAGATACGAACAGAGGTCGATATTATAACCTAGACGGAAAACTAGCTGTCGGCAATGAACCAAGAATGACATTAGACGATCTTAATAGATATCTTCAAGATATTGGTAGAACAAGTAAAAAACTTACTTTTCATTTATTTTAACAATTAAAGCTTTAGTTGTTTTTTTTATTCTGGTGATTTCTGCAGTTAAATGACTGAAAGGCATAATGTTTGTTGCAAAGGTGAACAGTTTATTTAAATTTAAAGTGTTCGTGTAAGAGGTTTTATCAAGTTCGCCTTCAGTTCGATTATTTTTATGCAATTTTAATTATTTCGTCAATAGCTATTATGTTTCTACAGGTAATATTTACAAGAGAACAAACTAGTAAAATGATTGATGATACGCACAGAGGCTGATTTATAACAAAGAAGGAAATCTAGAAGATGAATGTAACGGAAACAGTTACAATTAATTGTTTTAAGATCAACAGTAATTCTTAGTTATAAATCTTCTCTCTCCTACAGATTATAAATAACGCAAAAATGTTCTTTATTTTTTTATTCGAATAACTTTTCAATAACAAACTCAATACCCACTATCTTGTTTCAGCAGGTATACAAAGACCAAAATTTACAAGAGAACAAATCAACAGAATGATTGATGATACGAACAGAGGTCGATATTATAACCAAGACGGAAAACTAGTTGTCGGCAATGAACCAAGAATGACTTTGGACGATCTTAATAGATATCTTCAAGAAATTGGTAGAACAAGTAAAACCATAGCTCATTTACAAATATTATTATCAATTAAATTACTTTTCATTTATTTTAACAATAGGAGCTTTTGCTTTTTAGCTCACCTGAGCTAGCCGAAAATGACTTTGGGCGATCTTAATAGATACCTTCAAAATCTAGATTATACAAGTAACTGTTCTGATTTAATTTAATCGATTTCATGAAACTTGGCGTGTTACAGAAAGTAATTATTTTAGAAGAAATGATTTGATAATTTTTTTCCGGTATATTTTCTGAAAAATAAAGGACGAATATAATTTTCGAATTAGGAAAGCATTTATACGGACCCATCTGCGGTCCTTGGATTAACTGTCCGACGCGTTCACCCCTAGTCTCCGATATTACTTATAATCAAAACAGGAAACTAGTTTTCGGCAATAAACCAAGACTGGCATTGGAAGATCTTAATACAAGCCTTCAAAATCTTAAAAAACTAAAACTTATCTAAAAAACTAACCTTACTGAAATTCTTTTGTTCTGCATTATATTCTTTTTCCTTAATTGAAATTCTAGAATAGATATATCTGCCATAGTTTCTGTAATATTTCTGATGCAATTTATAAAATTGTTAAAAAGAGGAAGTCAAATTTGTATTTTCCGTTCTTTCATTAAATTTGAGAAATTAACTTTGTAAAATGTAACAATATAAAGCTTTCGTGACTCTTTTGATATTATTGATAAAGTTTGTACACAATACCAAATTAATTGTTTTTAGCAGATCCTCAAAGGTCGCGTTTCACCCGGCAGCAAATACTGGATATGATAGAAGGTCTGAAAAGGGGTCTTTACTACAACCTGGATGGAAAGGAAGCATTTGGAAATGAACCGAGGTTGACTTTGGATGATCTTAATAGATACCTTCAAACTTTGGATAACACAGGTAATTGAAACTTCATAATGTCATTTATCAAATAAAATTTGATCATCAAATAGATTTGTCTATATTTTCTTTTTACTATACTTTCAAGATATTCGTAACATAAATGAGTTTGATTTTGAAAGTATAAACAAATACATGTAACAAGCTGAAGTTCTTGGATTAATTGCATTTTTCAAAATAATATTGATAATAAAATATTTATTCAATGAGTAGTAGGCTAAAACACTAACGAATCATATGCTGGAACCAACCTGTATTTAACAATGCCGAAAAATTCTTACTAAGGAAACAACAACATGGTCTAGACAGGGCTTTAACTAACACGGTTAACTACCCAGCCACGCCGCAACATTTATTTTTATGATATCTACTTAGAAGTGCATCATGAAACCCTTATTCGAAAAATTGACATAGCATATACATTGCATACATTGACACATAGTCAATTGATACAAAATTACTTTTAGGTTATACAAAATTACTTTTAACAACCTAAATCAATTTAAAAAGTATAGCATATTACCATCGTCTTGCTGCCATGTGATACAATGTGACGTTAAACCCAAATTATCTGAAAGACATCAATGTGCATAATACATTTCAGCCGGAATTCCAGGTGGTACGACACAGTATACATTTACACTTGATGATATAAATAGGATGTTGACGGGGATAGGCCAAGGTGTGGCCTACAATATTCAAGGAAGAAACGCAACTGCTGGAGAACCAACACTCACAAAGGCACAACTAAAGCAAATGGCAAAAGATTTACTTGGATCTTGTGAGTTTGAGTGTGTTTTTGTTTATGTTGTTGTTAACTGATAGTTGATAAACTGCTTTGATCGGAAAAGTTGTCACAAACAGGCTTTTTTAACAGAGTTTCGCTAGAAATTAACCAAACAACGTCCGCCAACCTTAAAGTTCACTTCAAATGATTCACAAAATTGTACAGATGTACATTTTCTCTTAATCCACCTACTCCAGTGACTTTTACAAACCCATGTTTAGTGTTTCTCTTTGTCTGATTATGTTGATGTTCAGATAGTTTAAAGCAAAATATGTTGTTTTCTTTAACAACTGACGGGCTATAATTGTATTATAATAAGTTAAATTTTATGTATGATTCAAATGAAATAGTCACTCATTAATTATCTCAGTTTGTTTTTTATTTCATAAGTCATGAAAATTGGTAACTTATATAATTATGATGAGTTTGTTTCAGCACCACCTGAACCAACTAGAAGGAACTATACTGTAGATGAAATTAGTGCTATTTTAGACGGTATGGACAATAACAAGAGATACAATTATCAAGGGCTTGAAGCAAGTCCTGGTGATCAATATTTAGATAGAGGATATCTCACAAAACGTCTAGTAGATGCCGTTCTGCCTAACTATAATATACAAGATGTTCAAAATATGTTATATGGTATGCAGAATGGTTCATTATACAACTATAGAGGACGGATTGCCTCTCCTGGTGAAAGGACATGGCTCAAAGACCAATTAGAGCTTCTCCTCATTTTCTTGCTCGGTTTGCGTACGTATTTGTAATACTTAAGAAATATATTTTTTTACTAGAAAAAAATTCTGTAGCCTTTTAAATTCATACTGTAAATCAAATAAAATGCGTGAATCAGTCATTATACAGTCAGGCTTATTTTCAGTGCTGCAATAACATTTATATGTGACTTAGCAATTTAAATGTAGTATCAAGAAATGCGATTGCTTATCATGTAAAATCTCTACTTTTAATCGAAAACAACTTTTATAATGCACGATAAAAATGTATACATTAAAACATTTGAAAAAGTGGATGAGTCCGTTTTTTTGTAAGATAAGCACTTACAAACGCATAGTAACACACAACTGCAGAGATAACGACCCTAGGGATAATGGCAATGAGTGAAGAAATATATATACAATATAATGTAGTAAATTTTGCAAACATATTGTTTATTTAAAGTGTACAAACATCATTTTAAACTGTTGACATTCATGTTAATTTAAATATTTCCATTGCAACAGGATATGAAAACGTTGCGGCAAATAAATCTGCAGACATGTCTAGCGTGTATCATCCATCGTGGACTGCTGATAAAGGTGTCGATGGAAATCGAAACCAAAATATGTTCTTCGACTCCTGCTTCCACACAGCTTATGACAAAGATCCATATTTTATTATTGATCTGGGGGCCATTTATGATTTAGACACGCTTGTTATTTTCAACAGACAGGATTGCTGTGGTAATATCTCTAACGTTAACTTACACAATTTGTAACGATACTGATAAATAGCCTTCTTCACACATTGTGTTAATTTGTGAAAACACTGTTAAATAATCTTCACATATTCTGTTTCTTTATATTAATGCAATATGTAAAGACAATGATAAATAATCTTCACGAATTCGGTTTATTACGTTGTAAAACGCTGTTAATGTAACTTAGTAGGAACGTTTGTTCATTGTCCGTTGTCAGTAAATTACCTCTACTGGTTTTGAGGTCAGTAGGTCAAGATCAAAGTGACAGTGACATTGTGTGAAAGCTCTTTGTCTCTCATCACTTGAGAAGGAATACGCCTAAGTTGGTAAAACTTTTTAAGGACATTGTCTATGCCCAGAAAGTGACTCCCATCGATTTTAAGTACATCGAGTACAAGATCTAGGTCCCATTGAAACTGACTGTAAAATCTTTCTCCAATAAAGTACTTTAGACAAGAAATAATCTTAGGATTGTTAAACTTTGAAGGGAACGTCAAATACCAGTATATGGTTCTAATGATTTTGAAGTCGTAAGATCAAGGTCAAGTGACCACATAAATACTGCGTCTATATAAAAACTAAGGCTTACTCCGTCAATATTTTGATACTATTATCATATAGGTCGCTTATTTTACTATTTATAAACAACTTAACGTATGAAGTATGCATACGTTTGTAAATATGCCACTGTGACAAGCCAGTGAAGTTATGCATACGTATCCTCTGCACACATTCCAAGTTTTATAAATCCATAAAACTGTTTTAATGTAAAAGTACCATACATAGTTTGGGTTTATTTCAATGTTTTAATAATTAATAATGTGTCAGTCTAATTCACTGTTGCTATGGTTACAGAGGACCGTGCCAATAATCTTGAAGTATCGACTGGATTAACATTACATGACATGACAATACAGGATGTAATTATTGGCCCAGTGTCATCAACTGCTTTATTGAGATTTAAGCCAAAGCCTAGCGCTCGTTATATAAAGATTCAGAAGAAAGGAGTGAACCCCTCATTTTTCCATCTGTGTGAAGTTGAGTTGTATGGATCGTACAATAGAGAAGGTAATTTATTTTCACAGATATATTGCACCTGTGTCCCATCTTTTTTCATTTTCAGAATCCAAATAATTCATATCAAATGCTTATTGTACTAGAAGAGTTGTACTCGGCTTGCTCCTCGCCAAATATATGTCTGACAGCTGTGTACCCATTTATTCAGTATTATTCACGACAATGTATATTTACCTCATAATATCAAATAAAAGCGTATATCAGATATTTAAGTCTTTTTTCGACACGTTTCATAAAATCCGTGTCCTCTTTAAAAATAGCCCTTTGTTTTATGAAAATATTTTATAACTGAAAGAAAATGGTGTAAATATTGAAAGAACAAACAAAAAAACAAATAAACAAAACAAAAAAACATGCATGATGAAAGGGACTCTACTAAGTTTTATGATTTTTTTTGTTTTTTTTTTGCATAAAGGGACTTAATTTATTTTTTTCGAGATTTGTTTACCACCGTAGGTCTGTACCAATAACTTGTGTGTAAAATTTCAGATCATTCGCTATTTACATTTGTGCAAACTAATAAAAAATGAAAAGCGTTCAGAGGCTAATTATCATCAGAGCTGTTAGTAAATTTGGCACATTTTTACAAGATTTGTTGTTCTCATCAAAATTCTTATTATAAAAGTAATTAAATTTGTTGTCCTTGTTTATGAACTGCAAACAATCCCGTTAAGATTGATGCTTAATATGTAATTCTTTCTAAACGTTTTCCTAGTATGCGGTGTAATAATTTATATTGGTTTTGTATTTCAAGATGCTGAAAATATCGCGCTTGGTAAAAGAACGGAGTTGTCTTCCTTGTATCAAAATAATAATAACTACGCCGGTAATAAAGGTAATGATGGAAATCCAAATGGACAAGTATCTTCTGGAAGCGAAAACTCGTGTTTCCATACCAATCAACAGTTACAACCGTATTGGATGATAGATCTCGGAGATTTGTATGATATACACCGTATAGTTCTACACAATAGATTAGACTGCTGCTGTAAGTTATTTGAAATTCTAACGTTCATTTCAGCGTAATCCAAACATGCACCCTTCGAATTTTAATCGTTGCACTCCTACTCATTTCACTTAAATTAAAAAAACTTACGATTCCGCAATCTGAACATTTACATCGGAAACTTTGTCCAATATTGCTTTCTTATATTCAGTATATAATAATGTTTGCCGTTTGTTTGTAGCTGAACGAGCACATGACCTAGTAATACTTGCTGGTCCAACACATGAAGACACAAGCCCCATATATTACCATGCCGGTTCTCTAGGGCCATTAAAAGAGATACTGCTTCCTCCAGGACAACATGCACAATTTATAAAGATACAAATCAATGACACTTTGCCAGAATACTTACATCTTTGTGAAGTTGAAATATATGGTACATATTCTAAAAAAGGTAACATCATATTCTATGACAAATGTATAAGCTTTTCTTATAACAACTATCACGTTTCATGTTTTTTTCTAAATTCCACTTTACTTACTATTAAGAAAGGAAATTTATACAAGCTAATTCGGGTCTGCATTTTGTCTTTAATTCTAACATGCTTGCAACGTTCAGATGTATGTCTGACTATCACACTTTGACAGTGGATTACTTTTAATATTCTAGGACAATTTATTTATTGACATGAAATACTTACAAATTATACCTAAATATCTTGTTTGATTATATAAGTTCTGATGAAATTTCTTCTGTTGTATTAAAATGCTATCTTTTCCTCTTTAAATGTCCCTATGGTTGTTTATTACGAAATTTGATCTTTAAATTTTACAATTTAACTTCCACTTCAGTTCCTGGTCTTTAAATCATAGATAAAGGTCATTTAAGATCTTCCATTACTATAAATGCTGGAAAAGTTGTATTTAGACGATTACAGTGTTGGTGTGAATTAAAACTAACATAGACATTAGTAAGTAACCAATAAGCAAGAAAAATACTAACTAAAACCTGTCGTATTTTAACATACTCTAATTTTTTAAAGGTTCCGAAAATGTTGCTTTGAACAAAACAACAGAGATGTCTAGTTTGTTCCAAAATAATCCGATCTATGCCAGTGAGAAGGGTAACGATGGCAACTCTCATGGACATATTATTCCTGGTAGCGATAATACATGCTTTCATACTGAGAAAGACATAAGACCATATTGGAAGGTCGACCTGGGTGCCGTATATGACCTTGAAAGCATTGTACTTCACAACAGACTTGATTGTTGCGGTAAACAAGTTCATATTACATTTACCTCAGTATATATAAATATATCATTTTAAAGCTTTATTTAAATGTAATACAGGACATGAGTTGTGTTTGTTGTATTAACTATTCCCCAATACCCACCCGCTTAGCTCAATAGGATAGCATTGAATCGGAAATCCAAATCTCATTGGTTCAATCCGCAGGCGAAACGAAATGTGTCAGTGAAAATTGGGTATTGATTTCTGAAATTAAATCTTATCAATAAGTCAGTTGTCTCCTCCAATAGATTTACTGGTTAGTTCACCAGGAAAGCCGGTTAGGCGAACCTACAGCCAAGATGTGGCAAAAGAAATGAAATCAACGTAATAACCGAGGCAGACAAACAAACTAACATTAGTCCATAATGATATTTATTTAGATCTTGATGAAGACAATATTGTAACATTAAATATTTCTCCATCAAAATGTATATTTTATTATTCTAGGTGATCGAGCACATAATATTGAAATCCTCGCTGGTTATTCTGATAGTAATCTTGTTCCCGTTTATTACAATGCCGGTATTTTGGGACCAATAGAGACATTCTACTTTCCAAACAATACTGATGCGCAGATAATCATGGTTCGAATCAACGACTTGATTCCAGAAATACTACATCTTTGTGAAGTAGAAATTTATGGTGTATACAAAAGACCAGGTAATTTGCATATAGAAGCGTTTAGTATCAGTAAAATCTTATTGTAATTATATAAATATCATATAAACATACATATTTGCATGTCAAAAAAAAGACAAAAAGTCAACTATGCAGATAAATTTGTAAATTATCATTGAAGATTTAAAGGCAAAATATAAATGGTAAAATAAAGAATCAAATGCTTGTAGATTATAATGTATGATGACAAGATTTATTTGCTGGTGATATTTAAATAGTTCATACATATTTCAATGCATTATTAGTTAAATGTACATCAACAAGGGTTAGATAGAAATACATGTAGTTGTTCGCTCGTTTGATCCCGAGAATATTCTCCAACATTTATTATGATATTTATATTCAGTAATACGTTTTTAACAAATCTAAATGATATTTAATCATAATGTGTGGCTTATACATGTTCATGTTATCGCTTTAATTTGAAAAATTATAGGAAACAAGACATTACATATACATTGTACTTGGTTTTGTACTTGATATTTAAACTTTTAAAGTTGGTGAATTTGGAATTTTTATAATTCAATTTTGTCAATGCCAACATAGACAAATATGTCACTATTTTAATGTCGGAAAAACAAATAGAATAAACAAACTTAAAATTATATTTTTATATTTATTAAACAGATCTATGCGGAATTTCACCATGCTTGAACGGCGGTAATTGTACAAATATAGCTGGGGACAATTTATGTGTGTGTCCAGTAGACTGGATCGGCAAATATTGTCAGATAAGTAAGTTATGTCAGTAATTGAAGCAGCTGGCCTCCAGATTCTACTAATGACTTGAAATCTAAAAGTAAAATGAACAAAGAAAGTAATTGACACATTGCAAACGGCAAATGCGATTGACATAGATTACCAAAGATAGATCTAAATAAGCAAAATAAAACAGTCTATTTTGAAAGGAGTGTTTTACGCTTGCAAATGACACGCGCACTTTTTGATTTGCGTTCCAATCGTGTATGATTTGATATTTATTTTGCAAAAAGTTAAACATATACGAATATCACGTTCCGTCATGGATGAATGATCAATTGTAATTATATGCAAAAAAGGACAAATCATATGTGATTACATTCAAGAAAAAGAATTTGACTCGTGTTGCGTTAAGTGTACATCTTGTCACAGTCATGCCTTCAGAATAACGTTTTTAGGTAATGGGGTTATTCTAAATTAAATTGCTCGTGTTATACATAATAACAGCTTAAAAGACTTTGATTAAACTTGCATGTATTTTTTAAATCAATTTTAGGTGCAGACAATATTGCTTATGGTAAACCGACACAACTGTCTAGTCTGTACCTTAATGACCCTATATTCACCGGTGAGAAGGGTAATGATGGAGATTCTAGTGGAAACTTGATGTTTAATAACAACAATACATGTTTCCATACAAACAAGGAGCGCAGACCTTACTGGCAGGTAGATCTCGGAGCTGTATATGATCTACGGAGGATTGTCCTTCATAACAGACTTGATTGTTGCAGTAAGTGGATTAACTAAATGTAACTCATATTTGACAATTCATTAAAAACTAAATGACTGCTCGCATGGTATTGTACTTCTTTTTAGGTGAGGAATATTTTTAACGGCGTTGAACTTTTCTTACGTTATCAAATTGCATTCTGTTTAATACATAAACATATAAGGATTATTTAGCTTTTAAGAAGCTAACCATATTAGAGCTGCAAGATCCGAGTTCAAATGTATTCATTCATGTACAAAGCATTGTATATTAGCGCTTTTATACGATATACTTAATTGTATCTGACAACTGTCAAAATTCGTAGATTCCTTCCTTAAAGTACATTTTATCTATTACAAATATAAACATATTGATTTTTTTAACTGCAAATATGTTTTTATTTTGACTAATTTAGTTTTTATTGTAAGGTTTGTATTGGACTTCAAAACTGAGTAAAGGTGATTTTGCACAGACACGTGTGCATACAAATAATGGAATATATTTGTTCAGTCACATGACGCAAATAAGTATAAGATATAGATAATACTTATTGTCTTACATTGTGTTTCTAATTATTATGTATCTATAGTGTTTGTTACATGTATTTGTAGCACAACGGGCACATGATATAGAAATTCTAGCGGGTCTCACACCTGATGACATGATGTCAATTAACTATATTCCTGGGAATTTGGGAACCTCGAGAGAAATAACTCTGCCATCCGGTCAACCTGCACAGTTTGTGAGGATTCAAATAAATGATCTGTTCCCTGAATACTTACATCTTTGTGAAGTAGAAATTTATGGTAGCTTTTCTAGAGAAGGTAATGTGGCAGTTGAGTTGAAATATTTAACGTAAAAATATCTTTTGCTTGCTTGTAGGGTTTGCATTTTCCGTCATATAACAAAAGATATTTCAGCAGTATTATCTTAAATGATTACAATTTGTTTCACTTGTGGATAGATCTAATATTCAAAACCTTCTAGAAATAAATTGATTTCTTCCATAAGCATGTTTCAATTGTTATTTAATTTAAGAAATTGTTATCAGAATTTTGTGGCTACTCTTTTTCGTTTTGTTTTGTATTGATATTTTTCAACACATATAAAAATTGTTTGTAGTACAATAATTTTCACTGGCTTTAACTCTGATAATACAAACGGTGGTAAAGTCTTGCCAATACGACCCGCTTTAAGTCAAGCCAATCTTCACTTCCAAGCAGTCTAATCTACTTTCTGCTCAATTGTCATTTTGTGATAACCAAACCTCTAATACAATGGACAAATGTAAATTCTTAGACATCATGTCTTATTAACTATGTAAAGATTAAATACTTTCTGACAGTTCTTTTTATTTATCCATTTGTTTATTTAAAAATATATCTATTTGATTAAGATACACGTTACAAATTCACGAATTGTCATTATTTTTTACATTATTCGTAAATATAACTATTTGCTGAGTTTCGGTTATGAACATTTAGAAATGATGTATTTTAGATTTATGTGCAATTTCCCCATGTTTAAATGGAGGAACATGTACAAACAGACCCGGAGACTTCTTGTGCATGTGTCCCGTTGGATGGTCGGGCAATTATTGCCAGATCGGTATGTGCATTATTATGTTACTGTTTAAAAAATGTTTATAGAAACAAAATTCATTCAACTTTTTGACTTGAAAATATTCTAGTTCAGAATAATTAAAATGTAAATACAACATTATTTGTTTACAGTTAAATATATTTATGGGTTATATGAAAAGGTAATGTCCATTTTATGTTTTAAATGTTATCGTTATTTTTAAATCAGAAATGTATGACATTTGTTCAAAGAAATAACCTTATTTAACAATTACCCATACTCCATTTTCAATTTATAGCCCATTGTAGATATTGAAATAATGACCTATATATTTATACGTTTAAAGATTCGAACAACATAGCATATGGCAAGCCTACAGAAATGTCAAGTTTATATCGGAATGACATCAACTTTGCTGGTGAGAAGGGTAATGATGGAGATTCTAGTGGAAACTTAATGTTTAATGCCAACAATACATGTTTCCATACGGACAGAGAGCGCAGACCTTACTGGAAGGTAGATCTTGGTGACGTATACGATCTTCAGAGGATGGTACTCTATAATAGACAAGATTGTTGTAGTACGTATCTAATACATTCCTTTGTTAAAACACATTCCAATATCGAATATCTAATTATTAATTAGAACATGTTCCATTTACTTTTTGTACTTTTTGTTATTTTTTCTATTTGTCAGCTTTTCTATAAATATATTTTCTACTTGAACCAAAAACAAATAGCCATAAGGCATTCGTTAACATGTTTTCATTATGGATAAAATAGTACAGAAAATATTAAATAATAAATATTTGTTTTAATATTGACAATAAAGTGTAATTCGAAAATAATCAAGCTACGTGAGAATTATAAAATTTGATCACCAAGTCTAACAACTATATTGTTTATATTTATCCAGGCGAGCGTGCTCATGACATAGAAATCCTTGCTGGACTTACACACGAAGACCTTAACCCAATATATTATCATGCTGGTATCTTAGGAAATGTACAGGAAATCCAACTTCCTGCTGGTACTGAGGCAAAAGTTGTCATGATACATATCAAAGACCTACGTCCAGAATATCTTCATCTGTGTGAAGTTCAAATATACGGCACGTTTATGAGAAAAGGTAATCTTATAAATGTAGTGCTTGTTTTGTTTGCTTTTATGTTACATTTCTATGTTCAGATCAGATAATAAGATCATCATTATTTGTACGTTTCAAATCCCCTTAATAGGTTAAAAGAGTAATGTACTCGTATATGTGAAAATGCACAAAGCTAATAACTTTGTTTTTCAATAACTGTGAACAATAAAAATGAAATTTCATACGAGTATAAGGATATATAGAACTATTGAGAATAACAAATTAAACGGGAAATATTGTTTTCAGACCGATGTAAACCGAATCCGTGTAAAAATGGTGGAACGTGTACAAATCAAGCTGGAACACGAATCTGTAACTGCCCGATTGGATGGGGTGGCATATTCTGTCTGAGAGGTAATCTACATCTTGAATTTGTATTGTTGATTACGTTAATTAATCCAATATCTTTGTATTTAGAATACTATTGTTAATGGTAAGTCAGTAACTGCTATTCTAGTTTACACCATATTTTCCTTACAATTCTTGTTGTGTTAATTTTCTCACAATGATTGTGCAGTTGAACGCAATTATTCAAGTCGGATGATATTAACTTCTTTATTGTTTATTCCATTGTAATATTTATGCCAATTAACAAGTAAAGTGTTATATTTTTCTCTTTTAAAAAGATGAATCACAAACAGGACCCACTTATCCAACAGTAACAGATTCACCGGAGCCACCATCATGGAATGGATCTAGAGTTGACCCAGGTATTTCTTATTTCGTTAAGCTAAGTTTTACCTTTTTAAGGTTCTGTAAAATTAACAGTAGTTTCACGCTCATATTAAACGTATATATCCCGTATTAAACGTTGTCGATTTCCTTCGGCAATTTAATTCTGCAATCTTATATACACATTTGTCTGTTCACTTATTTCTTTCACGTTATTATTTATATCATTCTTCAGCTGTATGTCGTCGAGCGAAATGCAACCTTCCAATTTGTTACGTGCCATATCCATCTGATTGTAAAAGTTACGTCGTGTGTCAACGTACAGCCATTGGATCTTATGTTGCCTGGAAGATGAGGTGTGCGTTTGGATCGTATTGGGGCTTCGGAAGAACGTGGACATGTGAACGCGTTGAAGACCTTGCTAAACAGGGATATATATGTCCAAATGGTAATAGCAAATTACAATTTGAATAGCAGTATTCGAAAGCGAGTTGATCGGTGACATACTGATTAAGGTTTCTGCTTGTCAAACAAAGGACCGTAAGTTCGAGTTCAGCTGGTGTCAAGACCAAACTTTCTCATATAACATTAGTCCTAGTTAGTTCCAGTAATCAGATAGATTCAAATGTGATACATACGATAAATAGAAATTGTAAGAAATTATTTTACAATCCATCTTAAATCCTAAATGTTAAGAAAGCTAGTTATAAACATTATAATTTCTGTTTCCACTATTATTCATCTGTCAACATTGCCACAGTAATAAAAACTCACAGACTGTTTTATTTCACGATTCTATTATTGTAAACGTATAAGACATGGCATATCAAAATATCATTCACATTTGTGATTGAAATTTTCCGTTTCGTAAGATATGTGTTTAAATTATAAATTAAACATTGTTTTGTTATTTTATATTTTACATTTTTGCAAGCTATTATCCCTTGATTTCATGTATTTATATTCTTCTTTTCCAAAAGACCCATGCCGAAACTCGTCGATCACAAAATATGCAGATAAAGAAATATTGAACTGTCGTACGTTTTGGCAGTGCGAGAATGGTGTTTCCAAACCTGCATGTTGCTCAGCTGGAAAAAGATTCGATCAGATACAACTGCGGTGTGTTGATGATCCACTTGAAGTTTGTCGTGCGCCATGTCCTCTCAAGAGAGGTGTGTATATATTTCCAAATCCTATATAAAATTCAGCTTTAGTACAATTTACGGCCCTTAATTACATGGTTCAAACTTCTTATATGTCAACGTTGTTCCTAGCAATATATACTATAGTATTCGAAAACAAAAACAAAACAAAACAAAAAACATAAAAAACATGATAACGGCTAAAGTGGATTAAACCCGCAAGCATTATTTTTACTTAGAAATGAACATATTCAATAACAAATAACATTTTCTGTACACCAAAATAATCACATTTACGTGTATTTAAACATTCATTTATCTGCCAAGCCAAGTATTTTAAATAAAAAATCTTTCTTTATTGGAATTAGTTTTTGTTTTGTTTTTAATACTGTATATCTGAAGTTTTTATTAAGAGCCACAAAACAAATTGAGTGTATTGTTTTAGATGGATGTTCTGTTCCTGGTGCTCGAACACAACCGTTCTATGATGGAAACTGTCGTACATACTGGGACTGTCAAAGTGGACACGCCCATCCGCTGTGTTGTATGTCAGGCACGTCGTATGATGTTGACAAGGGTAGATGCAAAGATGATCCTATGTGCACTGACTCATGTCCATCTGAATACAAGACAAGTAAGTCTCCCTTCTCATCTATACAAGCTCTCACACGTGTTTATCCGTGTCAGTACAAACAATACATACAGGTATTTGTATGATTAACTTTAGCAAGGTGAAATACCAACTAACATTATAAAATACTTTTTGCTTGATGTGCTTTGAAATTATACATTTAAATACCAGGTTATCTCCGTTAATAGACTGACAAACATAAATTATACATTAAATTTCTCTAAAAAAATGCCAGTTAACGTTCTCACATTTTATGCAACGTAAACAAACTGCTGTTTATATAAACTTGTGAATGCTACGCATATACATAGGAACATTTTAATTCTAATAATGAATGTCAGTAGTTTTCTTTGTGACGTTTTGCATACGAAATACTGAATTTGGGCTTTTAGCGACAATAAGAATAGAAACATATCATGAAGAAGAAAATTTTCTTATAAGCTGTTTTATTACTTGTTCCGGAATTACATTAAGTCCTGGCAGGATAGAAAACATTTCGTTAGTTATCTGTTCAACTTTTCATCAAAACTAGATTAAACAAAGGTCATTTTTATGTTCAAATTTTTTGTTTTGATGTTTTGAAGTAAATATTTGAAATCGTTTTCAAATGACAGAGGTGTGTGGCAAGATAACGGGAGACAAACCTGTACAGTCGTATGCATTGACCGATGGATTGTGTCGTACTTACATGAAATGCACGGCTGAAGGATTTGATGATCCTTACTGTTGTCGTCAAGACTATTACTATGACGTCACTACTGGCCAATGTGAGTTAGTGGAAGATTTGTTTGATCCTTGTCGTCAGGAAATGTGTCCAAGAGGCTATAAAGAAGGTTTGTACATTTTGACGTAGATTTCTTATATATATTAGTGTTTGAAATTATTTTTGTTCAATGGAATTGCAGTATTTAAAATGAATCATAACACATTTACTTTAATAAATTGGCTTGATTTTATTCGTCTAGTAAATCGACAGTTTTATAAAAATAATTTCAAACACTAAATTAGTTAGTATTTATTACTAAGCATTACACAATTAAATTTGTTGAACGGCGCAGCCTAGGGTCGACAAATTTAATGTAGTAAATGCTTACTAAAAAACTCTAGCAAATACTAATTCTATTTTATCATATCAATATCTTAATTCTCATCAAATATGTTATTCATTTGCATATGTGAAAACGTTGTTTACTATAATAACCAGTTGGTTGAATTAAGTAGGTTCTTCAAGCCGGTATAGTCGGTCTAAACGTAAACGGTCAGTCATTACCTTAATATTTAACTATCGATATAATGATTAATTCGGTATAGATGAGTCACATTATCATCATTGTTTCTAACTTTTTTATTGATCTATGAGCTACTATAAGTTTGATATATTTTAGACTGTCGACTTTCGGCTATTGTGGGCAGACCGACGAAGTATTTTGACAATGATGCTATGCAAGAACTGAGCTGTGCGCCTGGTACAAAATTTGCACCAGATATATGTACATGTGATGGTAGTTCCCTAAATAACAGTAAGTACAGCTCTTTTATATCTATTCTGCCTGTTAAATCATATTGAGGTACATGAAATTTATATATAGATCTATTTTCAAAATGTCACATGTTTTATACAAGAAATATTAACGCCATAGGACTTACATGTTTTACAACAAATGAAGTTTTTATCTTTTATTATCTGGATTATGGTCAAGTTTGTTCTTGTAAAATACAAGGATGAACAAAGATGGATTCATTTTACACAAGGTTGAAAAATTTAGATTAAATATCTATCTGGTATAGTGATAATGGTTATACCAATATCTTGTAGCTTTTTTTACAGTGATGTTATGTTTTTATCAAATATTTAACAGTGCTTTCAAATGTTAGTTAGATGAAGCATAATTATATAGGAATTACATATGCTTATTGTTATAAACGTTGTGTAGGTATTAAATGTACTGTAACATTTCAACGTGTAACATGTTCTTCTTGAGAACATTTGTTCACGTCCCTTTTGTTACGAAATTAGTCATGATGTATCTATGTAGATATATGTAGGGAAAATGTATTAGATCAGGTAGTATGTGCGGTATTATCAAAAACAGTGGGTCATATAACAATGACAACGTGATAGAAATATACATGATATATCACATCAACGGATGTCGAGATATAACACATATGATGACCAAAATTCAAGAAATAATACATAAACGGCGGTCAAGATATCACAGATATGATGACTATGGTTCAAGATAAGTCAGATATATGACAACTACGGCGGTCAAGAGATAACAGATATAATTAAGACAACAAAGGTGGTCGAGAAATTACAGATGTATGACAACAAAGGTGGTCGAGAAATTACAGATGTATGACAACAACGGTTTTCGAGAAATTACAGATGTATGACAACAAAGGTGGTCGAGAAATTACAGATGTATGACAACAAATGTGGTCGAGAAATTACAGATGTATGACAACAAAGGTGGTCGAGAAATTACAGATGTATGACAACAAAGGTGGTCGAGATATAACAGATATGATGACTATGGTTCAAGATATGACAGATATAAGACAAAAAGGGGATCGACATATAAAAGATATGACGACTATGGTTCAAGATATGACAGATATATGACAACAACGGCGGTCAAGATATGACAGATATATGACAACAAAGTTGGTCTAGATATTACAGATTGATGACTATGGTTCAAGATATGACATCAAGGTATGTCGAGATATAACAGATATGATACCAATATTCAAAATATGACAGATATATAACGACAACGGTGGTCGAAAAATAACAGATATGATAACTATGGTTTGAGATATGACAGGTGTATGACAACAACGGGGGTCTAGATATAACACCATGATGACCAAATTTCAAGATATAACAGATATAATGATTACTGTTCAAGATATGACAGATATATGACAACAAAGTTGGTCTAGATATTACAGATATGATACCAGTATTCAAAAAATGAAAGATATATAACAACAACGGAGGTCGAGAGAAAAACACATATGATAACTATGGTTTGAGATATGGCAGGTGTATTACAGCAACGGGGGTCAAGATATCACATATCATGATGACCAAAATTAAAGATATGAAAAATATATTATAAATAATATATATAAACAACTGGGGCCGAGATATAATAGATATAATATATCGAGATGACCATGATTCAAAATATGACAGATGTGTCACAAAAAAAGAGTCGAGATATAACAGATATTACCACTATGGTTAAAGTTATGTCAGATATATGACATCAACGGGGGTCGAGATATAACAGATATGAAGAATCAAAGCGACATATGAAAGAAATGAGGACCATGGGTCAGGATATATGTATTTAACCTCATGATAAAAATTATAAATAAATGACAACAACGTCGATTAATGATATATATGAAAACGTGGTTCAAGATATGCCAGATGTTGGCGAAGAGAAATGATAAGTGATTTAATCTAAAAAACAAAACGACAAATGACAAAACGGTGTCGATACAGAAGAATTAAACATGGATCAAGGATATAACAAATGCCGGACTTTAATAACAATTTTGGCTTTAATGTAAATATGACCAGTCCTAACTTTTATCAAAACTTAGTAAAATATTACCTCTGCTGAGCGCTTTATTGGTGTGTGTTTTCATTTTCATGGTTCAATAAATTTACATTTAAATCAACTGTTGCATTTTCTTCATTTCAAATTTCCTGATTGAGATATCATTATTACACTAAAAATGTTAAGAGTAACGCCGCAATAAACATTTGAGCGGACATCATCTGTATGTGCGTCTGTTTCTAGTGTTTCACTAAAAAGTCGACTAACATACCATAGATCTATTATATTTTATCAATAACGAATAAAATAGAAAAAAAAGACTTGTGTTTGTTTTCCTTGAATATAGATATATCTCACATTGGAGTGAAAACAAATGCAAACATTTCCTTCCTCGGAGAGATATATATCCCTGATTATCAATTATATTCGCTCAAAACTAACAACTATCCTCTATATTTAACTGACAAAAATAACCATCAATGATGATTTAGTCACGTTTTTATTTATTTTTTTATTTATTTATTTATTTGGATGGAGGAAAGGCGTTTTTGACTTTATTATATCATGTGGTAAAACATATTACATTATCTGTCATTTCATTCAAACTATTGTGAGAATAATTTTAAAATATTTTCCTGGACACTTTTAACATAAATTTATATAAAATAATAATCATAATCTTTATTTAGAGAATGTAACATAAAGTTTTCAAAATAAGAGAAGAACACGTATACTTATTTTCAGACCTATGTTTGTTATTGCAAGACAGTTTTAAACAAATTAGGTAGATATTAGAAAACATAATATTGGAGACTACTTTTCCATGTACATGTACCAGCTTATTGCAACAAGTATGTTGGTATATAAACAGCAAGTTGTTTTTGTCACCGTAGTATGCAAAGCTGAAGTTTGGACAAAGTTTGACCATCTAGAGGAGAAATGGAGTGTGAAGAACTATGGCGATGGATGGATTTCCGTATTTGGGGAAATGTCTAAGAACCGTACCGAGCAGGGAGTAACGTATGGTAAATTTGACGGTTCTGGCGGTATGGAGGTGTGGCGTTATGATCATACCGCATTCCGTGAGGTTACCCTGGAAATCACATTCCAACGTAAGTTTCTTATATTTCCTTTTCTCGCTTTCATAGCATTATAAGTACTTAAATTATATGTTACCTTATGTTAAACAATTTCAGATAGAACTGTATCAACGGATTGTTTTAATGGCATAGATGGATTTATATACTGTATAAGTGGATATGTCCGCGTGTCGAAAAGTTAGCGAATTTAAAATTCCAGACATTTCGCGTGAGGAAATATTAGTAAATCATGGCCGGGTAGAATATAATGACAGGTTGGATGATAATTACGATAGAGGAAATGCTAGCAATTTTCATCAGTAAGCGAAATTCGCAAATATTTTTGCGTCGCTTACTTAACCACTTATACAGTATATACATCACAAGGTTAGCTTTTAAAAAAGCTAGTAGCGACTCGCTTCGTAATTTTTTTCCAGGGGTGTGTTTAAATGTAAAAATGACAGTTCTGTTAGCTGAAGAGACTTTAGCGAACATCAAAATAAAAGTGACATATAAAGTTATGGAAACCAGTTCTCTCAGTTTAACAAAGAGGAATATAAGTATATGATATATATGAAGATGCATGTAAACAGATAGAATGAAGTCCCTATGTCTATGCGCATTTACTATATGGCCTGTTGACCTTGACCAAAAAAAATGTTAGATAGATAGAATTCATAAAGATGTCTCTCTATACGAAGTTAAGTTGTAATATGTTATTTAGTATTGGAATGAGTGACAGACACAAGTCCTATACAGGAATATATTACTGAAGAACTCTCTTGGGTGTGGGCGAATTTAGATTCATGGGGCATGATTAACGTTTGATTTGTACAAGTTCTCAAGTCTCGTAAATCCCGGTCAAAAAAGACCGGGAGAGACCAGAAGCGACTGCACCGGAGAATAGTATATCCCAGTAAATCAATCGTAACAACTCGGCAATCTCCGTCAAGTTCGGAGATTGACAATTCTTGAAGTCGCCCGAGGTGATCCGATTGCCCAGTAAATACTAATCTGGTTCCCTGTCTTATTATTTTTAGAAGTTCGCAGGGGACCAGTCTACAGTAAATACATACACTAAATACCGGAAAGGATAAAATGACCGGAAAAAAGAAAAAAAAATGCACAGAACCAGATGTACATTTATGTTAATTAACCAAACGAAAACTTACTACAGAGAAAACAGGTGAAATCGCGAAATCAAAAGTCAGTGTAAATATGATTTATTGAAAAGAATTCATGAAAACAAACAATTTAATCATCATTATATCTTTGCGCTCAAAGCAATACTTGCTGCTTTTTAAAAATGGCGTGAAAATTGAAGGTTTTTTGACGCTATGTAAGATTAAATTTGATTGGCTAAATAATTTTGGATTCCAGCCCTGACAGATAAATTTTGTAGAAAGCTGGAAGCCAAGCTTCGATTAAATTTTTGGATGGATTCGGAGTTTTAGGTTGTTTCTAAGTAAAATCCTAACGTAATACCGGCTCGCCGTGGCGAGCCGGCAATATGGTGTTTATTAAATGTTATTAATATAATTTTTGTTTTTCGTTTTGCCCAGCGGTTGCAAGTGGTAGCAGCAAGCAGATTCTGGTGTCTAACTGTATGTCTGTCGATAACGGCAAAGCTTCTTTTGAAGTTAGTTTGAATCCAAGAACTTCAAATATTGAGTTTAGAGGAACGTCTAAGTTTGATGCAGTTTTCATAGAACTACCCTATGATGTAAGTCGTTTAATCTGTTATATAAGTATACTCTAAATCTCTTTTGTGTGTTTATTGTCTTCTTAACTTAACATCGGATTTAAGTTTCATAATCAAAACATTTTATTCACCATGTACATCGTTAAGTAAAATCTCTAATGGACCCATGTTTAAAAGGAAACATGTAGTTTTCCATAATAGTTATTTGTTAGCTAGATGAGATGAGGTAAAACAACATAAGATATTGTTTATCATTGCGACATGTGTTTGGTTATATAACAATAACATTAAATATAAGGACAAGAAAAGACACCCGTGTCCATTGGGCCTGTAGGTCACTATATGTGAATTATGGAACATCTAAGAAATATAATCATGATTTAGCAAACTATTTTTGTATGAGCTAAATAAAAGAAGAGTAACACATTATCAAACTTAATGGATTATAAATTTATTTACAGAGGCAAGGCTGGAACACGTTCAAGCTATTTTTCGATGGTAAACATATTGTTGGACTTGTAGAAAGTGGCAACAATACTTCTATTAGCTCGAAAAATCTTAGAGGTAAAATATGAACCAGTTTTATTTGATAATTTTTATAGAAATATACTAGACTTTTGATAAAAAAAAATAGATAAATACTGACTTTACGTTATATTTCAATCACAGTGACTTAAGATAACACCTATATAGTTTGTTATACATCTGGAACTATAATATTATCAATTCTGAAGCATATCATGTTACATAATAAAACATTATATTTATTTTGATTGAACGCATATTCTGTTTCTATTATACAACTTATATCAAAGTTTTAAGAATTGTATGACTTTTATATGTATAAAGAATATCTGTATTATTATTTCAGGTAAAATTACCGCTGGAATTGGAGCTTTGAAGTTTGGTCCATGCCTAGATGACTTTAGTATGCCGAAACATGATGGATTCACAGGGTTTATCTCAGAGGTAAATATAACTCTTCTTAAAGCAGAGTTCTCCGACAATTTTTATATTGATATGACATTACAATATTTGAGAAATACTGAAAAGATATTTTATTTCCCAGTGCTACCATAATATATATGCTTGATAGAATTTTAAAAGGCATGTTCAAAATGTTTAGTAAACAATTTACTAAGTTGGACTATATTCACATTTTATTTTAACCATTAGAACTACTAATTGCAACACCATATAAAATATTAACATGACAAAACACAAAACATACAATGTCAATATCATATACACCAAACAATACATTTTCTTGCAAAGCAGACTGGCGTGTCCGTGAGTTTTACACATACCGGAAATTTCACCATGGGACGCGTGTCATACAACAACGTTATTTTATCAATACAGACCATTAACAATACACACCACATACAATACACACCTCATACAGTACACACCACATACATTACACGCCATATACATTACACAACTAAAACAATACACACCTCATGCAATACACACCACATACAATACACACCACATATATTACACGCCACATACAGTACACGCCACATACAATACACGCCACATACAGTACACGCCACATACAGTACACGCCACATACCGTTCACGCCACATACAGTACACGCCACATACAGTACACGCCACATACAGTTCATACATACACACCACAAATAATACACACCACATCCATTACACACCTCATATAATACACACCTCATACAATATCTTACTACACAATAATGAATTTCCATGTGCAAAAACTGTACTTACTGCTTATCATAGTTTTATTAAAACAATACTTTAAATAGTTTTACGCGAGTCATAAGTTGACTGTAATTTTCTATTTTTAGGTTATTTTCTCGAAATGTATTGACGAAAATGGACGAGCTGTCATACAGAAACATGTTGTACCAGACATACCAGAATATAAAAGATCAAAGAACATAAATCAACCCTAAATCATGACTCAACATCTTCATTTAAATGTTCTCAGATAATTCATATATACACATGACAGAATAGCTTACTGTATATACATCGTCTGATTGAACATTTATCTATTTGCTTGTTTCATTTAGATTTATAGGTGTTTTAAAATGTGTCTTACCAACAACGGAAAGGGCGGAGAAAATTCGATTGATAAATTGATATAATTATATCTATGTTAATACAGATGCATTGTTAAAACATTTTTATCTGAAAAAGGAGTTACAACGCTATTATGTTTGCGTTCATTTTTTTAAGTAATTTACTCTAACATTGCACAATTTATACTGATCGAGTCTATGCATATTTATACAATTTGAAAATAAAATGTGAATGAGAAAATGAATTGACATATATACAACTATTTTAATGTTAATATACATGTATATGTGTTTAGATAAAAACAGATTGGGGTGTACGTAAAGTAGGAGAAAGTTGCACTGTAAAAAGTCTTGATATTATAAAAACGATGCCAGTAAAGTCAATATTATTGTTCTAATGCTTTAGTGTGGATGTGTTCCAAAATTAAATGCCTTAATACAAATTACTGCGAGTTTTTGTTTTTATTCATCTTCTTTATTTTGTTATTTATTTTTTACTGTTTTTGCGTTATAAGCTATCACAGTAACATTTCTTGTAAAATGTACCAGGATATCTGTTCATAAAGAACATGACATGAAAGTGCGATTCCAACGGGTTGTCCAATGTGGAAGTCTCAGACTTCTTACCACTTAGCAATCACTGATAAACTTTGGGGTTAGAAACGTATCATTCCTGCAATGTTATTCCATATATCACGTCAACAACTTCTATTTTACTATTAACATAACTGTTTATTTTCATGTTATTCCATATATCCCGTCAACAACTTGTATATTACACTTTAAACATAACTGGTTAGTTTATTTACTAACACTTAGGCGACCTTTTAGATATGATATATATGTGTATATAAGACATTGCATCAAAGCAAGCTCTTTAAAATCATTTACTAAATAACAACTACATATACATACATATATGATAGTAATTCAAAGATCCTTCAATGTATTTATCGTCCTTAAAGTTAACGATCTACCAACTTCTGACCTAACCACTAACGACCAAACAACTGACAACCTCGTAACTGTCGACCGAGCGACTGCCGACCTAGTAAATGTCAAACTAGCAGTTCCCAGTGTATTTCAATTGCCGACCTAGCAACTATCTACCTAGCAAAATTAATGATAACCTAACAATTTCCAGTATATATCAAGTGCCTACATTGCAAATGTCGACCTAGCAACTAACTACCTTAGCAATTTCCAGTATATTTTAACTGTCGACCTAGCTACCAAGTCGAAAATCAATGTAAACAAGAAACGAGCTGGAAGGATGTGCAGGATGACGAATTAATATATACTGTCTTCCGGAAATACTGTCGTGACTCGCCGCCAATGTTGTAGTGAAGTGTGGTATAAGATAAGAAATATATCCTATCACTTCGGTAATTAAATATGTATAGTGTTCCTCCAGCGTTCGTTAATTTCATGGATATTGGCTGAATGTTACTGTGCCTATAACATAAACACAAAGCTATCAGTGATTCCTTTTTCTCAATTAGTTATTTACTACTGTATTCTCCATAACTTTTGTAGAAAACAGAAGTAAACAACTTAATAAAGAAAATCAAGGACGGTAATAACCATACTCTTTCTATATTTGAGCCGCGTCAAGACAAAACTGACATAATGGGTTTGCGACCAGCATGGATCCAGACCAGCCTGCGCATCCGCGCAGTTTGATCAGGATCCATGCTGTTCGCTATCAGTTTCTCTATTTGTAATAGAGTTTATAAGCGAACAGCATGGATCCTGATCAGACTGCGTGGATGCGCAGGCTGGTCTGGATCCATGCTGGTCGCAAACCCATTATGTTGGTTTTGTCGTGACGCGGCTCATATATAAATTACATATAGATTACGTTCTATTCCGACAAAGAATTTATTGTCACGCCGACAAAGCAAACACTGTAAAAGATAGCATGGCGAATTTCCAGCATTACGGGTTGAGGAAGACCTCGTGTGATTAGAAATCATTCACTTTAAGTAACTCGGCCACTGAAACTGACCCGTTTTTTTTATTTAAAAAATGCAAACTAAGAGAACTTTAATCAACAGTGTAACACAAAGTTTCTTTCATTTTGTTGTTGATGTTGTTGTTGTTGTGTTTTAACCAGATATCATTTGTGTACTGTAAGCACTGGATACAGGAAAGTAAAAATATTTTGAAATGAAACAAAAATCAAATAAGTTTGAATATTAAAATTTTTCAACTATTTAAACAAATGTGAAATTAACTTAAAAAAAGAAATATAATCTTGTATATTTATATGTGCATATTCTGTTATTAATTATAACAACTTGACAAAGAGTAAACTCATATATCAAACATCTAAAATTTACATAATAAGAAAATGTTAACAAAAGCGTCATTAATTTACTTTTCAAGTTTCGAGAAACAACAATCCCTTGAGGGGAGTTATTATTTGCCTGTCATTTGTCACAATTACTTGATTCTTGATTAATTAACGTTAATTACACGTAAAAATATAGAATATTCTTACTTGGAGTAGTTTATAGATTATAAATGAGATAAATTTTCACACAGAAGGGGTATGTTGATCTTATGATATATCTTAATATATTTTATAACAAATGGTAGATTAAGTTTGTAACAATTTATCAAATGTGTCAACGTTTTATCAACGTTTGTTCTGCACGTTTAGGATGAGGTTATTTACGTGCACGTAGTTAGCTAGGGTTGACGTTATTACGTAATGATAAAGTTTAAATATTTTATTATAATGACTGATACGTTATTAAAAATTTGTTTTTATAACTTGATGCATATATTTATATACTATTTACGTTTTATTATGATAAAGTTTATTTATTTTTTCACATATTTTCTATTATTTCAACTATGAAATACAATAACAGTCACTGTACAAAAAAAATCATTTTTGATATTAATAAAACAGTACCGTAAGCAACATTTTTACTTCAATGGTAAAGAAATGTTGGATGCCTGAAGAAAGTAGGATTAAATGTGAAATAATTTATTATAAAAAAACAAAATGTAAATAAAGTAGCTTCTGACTTTCACACAAAATACTAAGTCACTTTTATTGTATTGACTGTGAAAAAGCAACAGAAGAAAATATGGTTCAGGGTAATTTCCCAATGAATGATATTTTGGAAACTGCAGCAAACAGTAAAACGCTTTTGAGAAATAAAAATGAAAGCATTTCTGGGGGCATAATGGGCCTTTAATTACAATAAAAATATGTTAATTTAACGCAAAATGTCCTTGTGTAAAAAGTTTTAATAACCTCGACTGAAACAGGATCTTGGTTATTTTGAAAACCATAGATATTTCGATATATATTATATTTTTCCCCCTATCCGCAACGATGCTATTCCCAATATCAAACACCGAAGAAAAAAACATCTGTTAATTCAAATGATGTCCAAATAGGGTGCTTTCAGTCCCGGACTCACGTACCGGCTTGCGGTTACAATTAACGGTAACTTTATAAATCATTTAATACTTATAAATAGTCACAATATTGGATGTTTTAATAATCGCCCTTTTTTTCTTGCACGAAAGTACGTGTCAGACAGGTGTGGTATTAATCATTTTTGCAATAAACTGTTGTTACATAAATGTTTTAACCCATTATTGTATCTTGATATTTTTGAAACCCTAATCCTTTACTCATTACCCAATCTTTGAAACAAGTCTCCAACACGTTAGCATTTGAAAAGTTCCGAGAGTTATTCACGTTGCTATGTGGCTACTTTCAGAGATAATGTACTTGGTTAACATCGCCACAATTTGTGTAGCCTTCCTGGGCAGCATAATATGTCAAGTTACAAATCAAGGACAAGACGCAGGACAAAATTTTCCGACGGAGGGAAGAGGTTTCTTGACAGACGGCATACTTTCATCTGTCGAACGCAGTGTTCCATTGCCCGACGGAAGACTTTCTGCAATGGAACCAAGTGTACCTTTGCCAGACGGAAGGCTTTCAGCGTTGGATCGGAGTGTACCCTTGCCCGACGGAAGGCTTTCTGCAATTGAACACAGTGTTTCAGGAGTGGATCGCAGTATTTCATTGCCCGACGGAAGGCTTTCAGGAGTAGATCGCAGTGTTTCATTGCCCGACGGAAGGCTTTCAGGAGTGGATCGCAGTGTACCCTTGCCCGACGGAAGGCTTTCAGCTGTGGAACGGCAAGTTGGTACAGTTGACAGAATTAATTTAGCAGGAAATGACAGAGGCGTTGCGAGCAGTACTAATATTGCTCAAGGGATAATTAATGGCAGCAGAATTCTCAGTGATGGTCGTACCTCAGCTATTGCCAGGGTGTTTTCAAGTCATAGGGGTTTGTACAGTCATTCAAGCTTTTAACAAAATCAAATAAATACATTTGATAAATCAACTATTTTTATTAAATTCTCCTTAAAATTGTTAAGAAATTTTAATGTTAACACAGAGTCAAATGCTGAAAATCTTGAATATCTGTTTATTAGATTACATGTTTGAGTTAGATAAAATGTTAATATTGCTTTTATTGTGAACCAAGAAACATTAAGACAATCTAAATTATATGAAAATCATTCATTTTTTTTCAGAAGACTACCAGTTAGTTCATACGGGTGAGTTAAATTCATTTTATATTTCATGAAATCAAAGTTGTAACAAAACTCCCATCACCACCACACACAAATGACCTACTCGTACTCTGGTGAACATTTCTTGTCATTTATACTGCTGGGCTCAAAATAATACAAGTGTTTAACGACATAAAGAACGGGTTATGGTTATCGCTAATTGATAGCTGCGATATTCCACAGGATTATGTTTTTATGTTGTATTCACATATATTTTTTTTAAAAATCTATGATGTATGGAAATTTAATTACCAAATACTTTTCATATTACAGAGTGTGAAAGGGCAGCTTGTTCTTACCCAAGTTTGTGTTACATTCCCCACCCTACAGATTGTTTTAAGTTTATCATGTGTCAACCTCTGGAGAACGGGAGAATTATGTCGCAGGTATGAATTTAATAGCTTCTATACCTAATTTCAAACCGGTCTTTTCTTTATTTTCCTGTAAAAAATGGTTTGGACATTTTGTTAATGCAGTAAAATTGTTCATTGATGTTTCAAACATTATTGATAGAGTAACTAGATAAATATAGTATAACTGCAACCAGACTCAAGAACAACTAGCAACAGCTATACATTCCCACAGTCAAATACATACAGCAAGTCAGAAAATTATTATAATGAGTAACGACGTCAAAACACATGTAAAACAATTGCAGGCGATGCCTTGTGCCTTTGGAACGAAATGGAAACAAGGATTCGAGCCAGCTTGTGACAGATATAACCTTGTAGATTGTCCTAATGGTAAAATTTTCTACCACTTACTTATTTCATATCTATTTAAGTTCAGCATGTAAAGGTCATGTTAATAAAAATCATACAGCTATTAAAGATTTAAAATGAAACAAAAGAAAAATGCTTGATAACAAAGTATGTTCATTAACTTTTTAACACTAGATAATATATATCAAATAATGTATATATTTTGGTTTACATAATTATTGTTCAATCGATCTCTATATAATTTTTATGTAACTCATAACTTTTAGCAAGAAATAATATTGTAGCATTTTTATCATTATTTCTTTTACTTTTTAGCGTCATAAAACTTAAAAAATATGTTATGAAATGCTGAAATAACAAGTTGATTTATAAATTTGCAAAATTAAAAAAAAAAAAGTTGTATCGCCACATTTTTATACGCTGGCTATATGTATTTCAACGTCTTTTCATAATTGTAGACAAATGTAAGAATCCAATGGTGAAGTCTTACTCCCACCATGATTCTAACTGCCGCACCCACTGGACGTGTGTGAACGGCAAATCAAGACCTGCATGCTGCGCCAGATACCATTCGTATGATGTTAACACGAACAAGTGTGTCAGTGATATCACCTGTGATGCTGCGTGTCCCCTTCTTAATGACGGTCAGTTGTCGGTTGTACTGATATTTTTGTGTGTTAATCAAGTAGCCAGCATTTCATCTGCCTGAACCGTAAAATTGTCTAACTGTTTAAAGCTATATTTAATAAATAAGATGACTGTTATAGATTTTTGTAAAAGTAAAAGATTATGTAATGCATTTTAGATCTAGAAGCAAAATATGCGTACATATATTTAACCCTTATAAAATCTATGCCTTTTGACTTTTCACACAAAAAATGAATAATAAAAAGTGATAATGTAGTGTTTCGATAAAGTTTAGTTTAACTAGATCAGATGCTTTTGTTTAATTATTATTCGTGTACATTGAATATTTTTACAGCAACATGTGGTGCTCCCGGAGTACGTCTGGCAAATTTTGCAGACGGCAACTGCCGGACACATTGGGACTGTGAACATGGTCACCCACACCCTGTATGTTGTCCCGACGGTCAAGGTTTTGATGTGTTCACATCCCGGTGTGTTCCTGACCGGAACTGCATACATGAGTGTCCAAAAGAATATTCACGTAAGAACTCTAGTTTACAAAAGTTAAGAACAATGGTGATGCTAATGTTATGGCCTATAAAAGCTATATACAGGCCCAAATCTCACTGTATCTGCCATGTTCTAGTATGTGATAGCTAAAACTTTTAACAGAATTGAAATTCTCTTTTTTCAGCATAAAAGTTGTCACAGGGTAGGAAATGTAAAATAATTATAATTACTTTTCCGTAGCGCCGAAGATCTTTTTTCGATATAATCGAATATTGCTCAAGGACCTTGCCGAATATTGCTTAAGCCGGTGCTAGGGGGCGCGGACGGTAGTTTGCACTTGACAATACCGTCCTTAAGCAGGCTCAATCAAACCAGTCTGCAACATTTTTAATTTTGCCTTTTTTGACTTTCTTTATTAATTCTATTTCTGTCTATTTTATCGTTTTCCATGCATATCATAGGTTTAATAGCAAAATTTTGATACATTTAATTTACTACTTCAAATAAGCTTACAACTAACTGATACGTGTTTATATTATATCAAGGATCCTGCTCTATACCTGGAACACAATCATATGATCTGGTAGACAAGAACTGTCGAACATACATGAAGTGTAACAAAAAAGGTGAGCTAACAATACAAATCATTATTCTTGTGACATTGTAATCATACACGCATTTACTGTTGAATGAAAACGATTCTTGGACATAAACACTTAATAATCATGAGGTTCCATAAGATCTAAGAACGGAGGACAAATTGAACAACAGAATGGACAAAATAACGAGTCTGCAGTAATAAACATAGTTGTTGAACCTAAAATGTTACAGTATACAATAGTAAGGAAAACCAACATGAATGAGTTGCTACAAGACTTTACTAACACGAGTTCACAAACAAAGTTACATGTGCAGTGCAATAGTTAAACACTGAGTAACCTGCTTATTACTTTTTAATAGAATAATAAGTTTAATAAATACTAAATATTGTAGAACGTGGGTTAAGTAGAGAGGGAAGTTAGGATATTTACTCTATGTTAAACAGTTATGAATTTTTAAAGAATTTCTAATTCAATGAAAGTTCTATTAATAGTTTTTATGAAAAGGAATCATCCGCCAATTCTTAGAAATACGCACACAAAGAAAGTAACTGCACAATTATAGCTATAACAATGTTGTCAGTAAATAAAAATGTAAATAAAAGTGAATGTTACATACATTTGTAATGAAATATTATTATAGATAACGAGGGATTATATTTTTACTGTTACTCACAAAACTGTGTGTTATTTACTTTATTACCCCGGGCAAATATTGTAATGATCTGAAAATTTCAACCAAATCTAACTGTAACAAAATTGAACCATGAGTAACAATAACTTATCTGTCCTTACCTCGCAAGTTGTCAGTGTACATGAGACGTTTTTACTTTTCTTTTATTCTTTAAGCAAATGACGATACATTCAATATGCTGTGTTACAATTAGAAATCAAAACACCAACCCATAGATACGGTTATGATCTGTGAAATCTGATCCTATCAAACAATTTTCTTTATATGGTTTTTGCAAACTCTTGCGATGCGGTCATTTCATATTTTATGAAAATAAACCACGTGTCCAGATTTTATACTGTTAAAAAGTACTGTTAGTAATAGTACAAATTTCTTAGTCACATGGTACACTTGCATTAACAGTATAGGAATAACTCCCGGTGGCCTATGGGAAATTAACATTGGGGTAATAATATTTTATAACGAACTATTCTTCTGACATTCTGTTGAATATAATTTATAAATAAGAAACATCGCATTGATTGTACTTTTGAACAGTTGGTTTGTTTTCTTTAACGACGCACAAACTAAGTATAGGTCATATGGCGCCGAAACAGGAAAGATGATTTAGGCTAACCTAGTGCGTTACAAATTTCAAAGCAATACCAAGGGTCTAAACCATCTCACATGCTGGAGCTAAGAGTAGCATAGACTACAGTTATTTGAACACATTTAGTCGCCTCTTAAGAGCATGCAGGAATAAATGGTGGCTGCAATTCTTATGCCACAAGAGGCATTTTTGAGCATTAAATATTAAAACGTGTTATTTCAGGACAAGCTGACCCTACATGCTGTTTAAATGGTCTAATGTATGACGTCACTCAAAGAAGATGCATTTCTGGTGTGGGTTCAACATGTATCAATGCAAAATGTCCGTTTGGCTACTTTGAAGGTAATTAATAAATCTATGTTATATATATTAAATGTTTGTCTGAAAGGAAATACAAATGTATAGTAAAGTTGTTGACGAGTTTTATATGACAACACAGTGCTTGTTTACTGCATTCCGTTACGGTTTGGATGGCGTAGACGTGTCTGTCCATCGTTTGCCACTTTTGCGGTTTAAGTATATTTTTGTAAAAAAAATCATTTAGCAAATATTTATATGGTTTATTTACATTGACATGTTTTTTCCACTTGAAATGACATGAAACTAATTAATGGCAAGTTGTAAATTAAGGAAACATTATGAACGTAATATCAAGTTAATTCATATATTGATGGTTGTATAAAGTCTTATTTCTATCAGATAATTTCTATCAAATAATATTTCAGCATTAATTAACCCTATAATCAATATTAGATATAATTCCTCTCAGTCTCTTACACATAACAAAGTGAAAATAAAACTTTTGCTCGGGCTCTTAATTTATATCAATATTACAGTGCAATTAAACTAAAACATAATTTGATCTGATGAATCACTCCTCTTCAATAAATCAAAGTTATTTTGACAGTAAAACGAGGTTATGTTATATGATGATTTTTGTTTGGATACATATTCAATCTTGTCTATAATATTGATTTATTTTCCGACAGAATGTCGTCTGGAGGCAGTTCCTGGTAATGCATATGTCTACAAGAATCTTGATGCTTATGGTGGAATGGAAATGCCATGTCCTGTAGGAACAATATTTAATGCGACCGGATGTCAATGCTCCCCGGACCCTATCCTGCTTGAACCAAGCCCTAGACCTACTTGTAAACACAATTTCTATATCGATATTACTTAAACGTTGTATATTTATAATTCTAACACTATCGGACTTTTTTCTATATAAACAAAGAAGGCCTGAAGCGTGCATTATTCTACAACAATGCACTCGCCGTTCTTATTATCTCCCTGTGTATTTTCACATTGAGGGCGCCATTTTGTTTAAAAACAAAAAACAATTTTTTGTCGAATTTTGTTGTGAAAACTATCTAGAATGAAAGAAAATGGTCTAACTAAGAAAATGAATCCGAACACCAATATCTTTAATTTAGTCGTTAACGCTGTAAAGACGTTTAAAGAGTTGTTTACGTGACGTCACAATGTAGCGCCAAACAGCACGTGCAAAACAATCAAATCAAGTACGCTATTTTAATGTAGCAAACGAGTTAAGTTTTACATTTAGATCTATTTCACTTTTGATAATTTGTATTTCGCTTGAAAAATTATAGAGTGAAATAAAATAAACAAACAAAGTTTTATCAACGTTTTCAAAATTCGTTATTCTCAAAATGTTTCTACACACGGAAGATTTATCGACAGTTTTTTTCAACCCACTGGAACAGCTTTTAAAGAACGTTTCTATTGGAAACTCTGAGGCAAAAACAAATTTAACCACCAAACATAAAGTCCAACATTATAATAATAATTATATTTTTTCTTGACGTGTTAGAATGGAAATAGATATTAATTCTTCGTGCATTATTGTACAATAATGCACGTTTTTCGTTCAAATGCTTTGTAATTAATCACTCAGGCCTATCGGCCTTCGTGATTATATTACTACGCATTTGAACTCAAACCGTGCATTATTCTACATTCTAACACTATCGGAATTTTTTCTATATAGACAAAGAAGGCCGGAAGCGTGCATTATTCTACAACAATGCACTCGCCGTTCTTATTATCTCCCTGTGTATTTTCACATTGAAGGCGCCATTTTGTTTAAAAAATCTGATAAATTAAAACAATTTTTTTCGAATTTTGTTGTGAAAACTATCTAGAATGAAAGAAAATGGTCTAACTAAGAAAAATAATCCGAACACCAATATCTTTAATTCAGTCGTTAACGCTGTACAGACGTTTAAAGTGTTGTTTACGTGACGTCACAATGTAGCGCCAAACAGCACGTGCAAAACAATCAAATCAAGTTCGCTATTTAATGTCGCAAACGAGTTTAGTTTTACATTTATTTCACTTTTAATAATTTGTATTTCGCTTGGAAAATTATAAACTGAAATAAATAAACAAACAAAGTTGTATCAACGTTTTCAAAATTCGTTATTTTCAAAATGTTTCTACAAACGGTAGATTTAACAGTTTTTTTTCAACCCACTGGAACGGCCTCTAAAGAACGTTTCTATTGGAAACTCTGAGGCGAAAACAAATTCAACCACCAAACATAAAGTCCAACGTTATAATAAAAATTATATTTTTTCTTGACGTATTAGAATGGAAATAGATATCAATTCTTCGTGCATTATTGTATAATAATGCACGTTTTTCGTTCAAATGCTTTGTAATTAATCACTCAGGCCTATCGGCCTTCGTGATTATATTACTACGCATTTGAACTCAAACCGTGCATTATTCTACAACAATGCACTCAGAATTGATATCTATTTCCTAAACAATGCACTCAGAATTGATATCTATTTCCTAATTACAAGTTCGCTGCTAAATGTAAATAATATTAGCTAATGCATCAATTTTGTGTGCATTAATATACGCAGAATGATTTATAATCTGCAGTTTGCATTTTGGGGCATCCATCTATATTTGTCATTTAAATAAACCTTGAATTTTGTGTGGATATCATAAAATTCTACCCTAACAGTTGTGGCACATGTTTATTTAATTCATTGATTTCACTACAAATAACGTTCTGTGATAGGAACAGTTTTCGGTCAGTAGTGAGCAGTTTATGTCCAAATATTTTAGTTGTTAAGTTAGTTATACAGAATTATTTCAGTACGAATGTTTGATAAGCTTTAAGCTTGCAGTCTTTTTTGGAATTAACTAGTAATGAGCGAGGTTGTAATGAAACAGCGGCTTAATTGCCATTAACAGTGATAGCGATCCTTATAAAAGCCAGTCTAACAGGTCATGCCGCCAACTTGTTAAGTTACAATGACAAGGAGACATTATGTTGTTACTTATTTACCGAATATGCATAGATCCCTGACCTATCTAATTCTTATTATCAGATTAGTGGATATAAAATTTCAACACAACCTATTTGTTAACAAAAGAGTCAATGTTTGTAGTTAAATCTATTGTTATTCAATTAAACAGTCATAGTAGGGATCTATCAATTACGTTCTTTATCACAAACCCTATACCATATTTAAGAAAGCGGATATTTCAAGAATGGTCACACATCGTAATTTCTGTCACAAGTTTTCATAGAATAAAAACGAAATATAACCACTATAAGCAAGTGTTTTTGGGTAATGCATGCAAATCGGTGTTTTTATTTGACAAAAGCTAAACTAAACTTGTATATTTCTCTTCCACCCAACCTGCCAATCTCTCAGTTGAGCGTTATAGTCAGGGGTTTAAGACATGTATTTTGGATGACTTGACCAGTTATAAAACAATGTTTAATTATGGATTTGAAACAAAATGCCCCTTCAAAACTTCGTACAAGGTTTATCATTATTGTTTCTAACTTATAAATAAATGTTTTACTAATTATTTTATGTCACATTTTTCAGTTTGCACTATAGACATAGTGGCGAAATTTCCTGACCTTAAAAACAAGGGTAGTGCTGTTGCCGCCTTGTTAATGATAGGAAAATATGGACAGGGTGAGACTGGTGTTGGCAACATGATTAATTTCTGGGACGGCGGTGCTGGTATTAATATACCATTCTATGGTTCACAAGTACTTAATAAACTCTATCTCGAGGTATGTACCCTGCAGTTAACATTTTTTTAAACAGAGTTACATCTTTAATTAGAGTTCAGATTGTTTTTATTTGTTTAGTTAAAAATGCTTTTGTATAAAGCATGTATAACTTTGTTGAAAATATGATATATAATGGAAATAGGAGACTAAGATTATTTTTCTTTATAATATAAAAAATGGCATTATGTCTATGCAGTCACTTAAGACATTTTTATTGTGTTGTTCAGTTTTGGAATGACGATTAGCTATAATATAATTTGTGTGAAAGTGTACCATAAATGCACTTTTTCAGAAAGATTTCAGCGTTTCATTATTTATTTTTTGATATTCTTAAAAGTATCTTATCTTTAAATAATTTTTTTCTTTTATTTTTAAGGCTCGTTTACAACCGACAGCAGGTTCACAATTTAAACAAGTTTTCGCAACAAGTTGTAACTACGTTGGTATGTTTTTACAGACATTGTATAAATTATAAATGTAAATTTATTTGATAACTACTGATGATATACAATATTTTAGAAAAAATGAAGGACGAATTATATCATAAACTATACTTTAATCAAATGACGGATTAATATTTTATTGGATTTTATATTAACGTTTATCCTTTTGGATCCAAAAGTGGTTACTGATAAGCCTTTGCCGCCATTATAAGGCCATCCAGACAATTGTGCAGCCTAAGCTGTTGGCTGAGCAACTACATACTTTTATTCTTGATATCCTTATACTTGATAATAGGATGTTCCAAAATGGAAGTGGACAAGTTCATTTAAGAAATTCAGTAGGTTATGAGGAAACTTGTTAAAGAGTAAACTAGTGAGTGTTTACCTAAACAACAAACCATCCTAGTAGATTATATGAGAGCAAAGTAAATCATGACTTTACATGTATATGATTTTATAATTAATATTCTTATCTCTATGTTTATATAGACAGAGTGCCGACATTCGAGGTGAACTTTGATCAGTTTCAAGGTACAGGTGGGACACTTACAATACTAGCAAGAACTGATGGTTTACCAGGGTTTGCAGAGATTTCCTTCCCTTATAATGTACGTAATTTCCCAGCATTATGTTTAACTTATAAGAATCGTACTTCATTTATTGTATTTTATCCTATAGTTTTAACAAATTTAATAAAATTCGTCTTTTGTTATCATTGATGCCTTGATATACAATGTCTGAGTGATTACCTATACCTATTTTACCACCTATTATGATTAAAATAGGGAATATAATGTACATAACGTGAATGATTTTTAGATTTACGATATATAAATGCGTCAGTATGTGCCAATTAACATATGACCGTTTTAAAATTGTGATCATATTATTATTGTTGAATGAAAACACAATACCAAAACTTATTGTCCAAACTTTGTGAACCACTTAATGTATGTCTGACCCAATAACCTGGTGCAAATTTTCAAGTCCTTCACACACCCCGTGTTTGCAGTATAATAGTTTGTATTGTCCAAAATAACCAAAAAATGAATTCACTCAAGTTTGGCGAAGAAACGAACAAAAATGGATACCTATTTTTATTCCGAGTATATTACTTTATTATCCTTTGCAGACTTTTTACATACACATGTATTTTAAGTGATTCACTTGATCATTGTAAAAACCATAATTTTAGGGGTTATGGACCTCATTGGATCTTCTTTAAACTCTTTTGATTGTCTGACGGAAAGTTAAAATGATATGGTATACCCCTGCCTTTTCGTAACGCAGATACCGTGTATCACTTTACGATACGTGATGTATTCGCTTATTCTATGGTTACAAATGTTATTTTTGTTTACTGTTTCAGTTCAACGATGAATTTATATTAAGGGTGATATATGATGGTCAGAGAATTGGTGCATTCCTTGATAGTACGGTGCCGAACATGTCAAATAGTGCTGCTCGTTCATTATCAGGTAACATGTGAACATAAAATAAAAAAAAAATATTGATTGTAACTACTTATGTGAAAATTAGGGTGTATATTTGCATAGTTAATTAACAAAAGTATCACTTTATTTGGGATTTTGTGTAATTTCCTTTTGATAATGTATTCTGTTTTTATGGTTGTGGTTTATTTTCGTCTATTTTATTACTTTGTCCTTTGCATAACATCATAATCTATCAATCGGACTTTAATTCTCTTTATTTTTATTGGCCATCTTAAACAGGCGTGTAGGATACACGTAAAGTTTGTAAGAACAAGTTGATGCGTATTTAATGGTCGAATTACAATTCTGACAAATTCTGATCTTATCCCATCATTATTTAGTTGTTTATTATTATATGAACAATAGATTATTTCAATTATACGCTGTATTAAATATTTATAACTTGCAAATAAAGTCGATTTCTAAGATAATTCAAACCAATGTTATCATTTATTGTTTTCAGGATTTATACCAATACATAGAAGTGGACTGAGATTTGCTCATTGTAGAAATAGAGACAATATGTCCGGTTTTATTGGGCACGTGTCCGAAGTAAGTGATTCCTTCTTCGTGTGCTTTGTCATCTTCGGTTTCCCCACGGTATATACTACATTCAACAACCTATACATGTACGTATATCAGTCCGTGGCACTCAGTGGGGCACCGTATAGAATTGGAGATAATCTAGTATGTACGGAATATATACCATGGGTAACCGACGATGACAAACCACATGATTTATACATATGTTCAATGTCATTTTCTGCTTGTTATATTAAGGGAATCTAGAATAATGTATAGGATATTCAACTGAGTTTACATTCAAAAGGCATTTATAAGCGACCAACATAGTGACTTCACTAACTACATTTTCAATCATTGCTAAATGTATGGACAACTTTGTACGAGGTATATATCATTATAAGAACCTAAATGCGAGGTTCTGCTATATCAACATACATATATTTCCAAGTAATAAGTTAGATCTTCATTATGTTGTTAGTACTCTTTATTTATTCTCAAGAACTAGTTGCATCCAAACAGTAAATGAACAAGAATTGAGGACAAGTAGAAAGAAATAATTATTTATAATATGAGCCGTGTCACGACAAAACCAACATAGTGCGTTTGCGACCAGCATGGATCCAGACCAGCCTACGCATCCGCGCAGTCTGATAAGGATCCATGCTATTCGCTTACCAACTCTATTACAAGTAGAGAAACTGATAGCGAACAGCATCGGATGCGCAGGCTGGTCTGGATCCATGCTGGTCGCAAACGCACATTGTTGGTTTTGTCGTGATGCGGTTCAATTATAGTGAACGCTAGGTAATTGGTTAACGTAGTGAGTTATTAAATATGTAATTAGCTTGCACATTGGGTGTTTTCTGAAACTTTTCCATTGTTCTTTTTTTTCAGATCAAGTTTGGTAAATGTTTGACCAGAGAGATGCACGAAGCTTTAAATTCCATTCCTGCCGTAGTTTAAAACACTTTGCTAACATAAGCAGACTATATGCACACCTTTTGTACAAATACGTTATTTAAATATCGACATGCGAGTGCAATTATTGGAACATATTAATGTGTAACATTTTAAAACAAAGGATATGGACGTCAGTGAACGCTAGAAGTTGATCTTGTAAACTTTATGTTTGTGTTGATGTAAATGTATATGGTTTCCTTTTATGCATTGCGATTCTTTTTTCTATTCTTTTTAACGATTTGTACATAATGTTTTTATTATAATGTATTAATTGTGAATATATTAACTTGAAAACAAGTTTGGGACAATTATTGTCAATGTATTAACCCAAACCAAGCTCAAACAAAAAATGATCAAACCAGTCTGCACATCCGTACAGTTGGTAGCTTAATTTTTCTATTGTGTTCATGAAATCTATGAACCCTTGAAAGAACCGTTCCAAACTGGGACAAGTCAAGAACAGAAATATAGAAGATATTATATAAAGGTCAAATAACATTATTGTAGTAAAACTATTATTTAGGAAAATAGGAAATACAATACTATAGATCTTGTCCCATTTTATATTTACAATAAACATATAATAATTATATATATTAAATATATATCAACATAATGTATCACAATTCTTAACAAACTCATTAAATAAAACACTTAAAACATTTTAACTACATCAGTCAATAGACAGAAAGTAGAATCTACAGAAAAAATCAAACACATCTCAATAAATAACAGTAACTTACAGCGAACATCACATGATGGTATCTTATTTTACACTTATCTTAAAAAAAAAACAATAAACAATGTTTTACACGAGAAAGTTTTTTCTTATTTTCTAAGAAAATCATGTTAACATGTATTTGTTTTTATTTTACATGAATACATCTTCATACAGGGCAAAAATATTATTACTTTACTGTTACAAGACCACAGAGCTGTGTTATACAAGTGTCTGACAAGACAACTTTTGTATGAGTGTTGTATTATATCATTGTGTTGTATATGTTGTAGACAGTGTTATTTTGTCCCAAAATGTTGTACACAGCATTGTTATTTTCTCTTGAACCGGACATCTTTTCTTATTAATTTTTACCAGTGTTCGTCATTGGTAATTTGTAAATTTACCTGCTTAGATGCTTAGAATTAAAAGCAAATATTTAACATACACGTAAAATACATTTAAAAAAAATCTATTATGCTTAAATTTTATAGCAACTATGAAGATTGTATTAACACTTCCTCCATGTTACCATGGCAATAGAACCTATATTAATATGCTAATAAAAATGTCTAGTAAATGATAGCAATAAATTACAATATCTGTTTACAAAATATTCAAACAAAAGTTGAATAGACCATGTCTCTAAATTCATATAAAACAACAACCAGGATTTATATAAACATCTGTGTAGCCACCCAATGCATCTATATTTTAGTTGTGTGTCTTTATCGCAAGTATTTCAAAACATGTTACTTTATCAATACTCTGTGAAGTATTTAGCATCAATTTTTTATCATTTGCATATACACTTGTAATCATTTCATCTGGGACAAAATCAATCTCATTTTCATTGTTATAGCTTTACACACAACCAAGTTGATAATTGTAACACTTAAAATATAACTGATTATCTCTATCTTTACATGAAAGAGTCTTATAAAATCAAAAATTAAGGAAAACCTATTGAACACTCCTATTAAATTTGTTATGGAGAAAATTCTATAAAATGATAACATATAGTGCCAAACAGGACTGATAGTTACATGTGGTTAACAAAGGGTGTGTGACGGTAACAGCTCATGTAGGCACAAATCTCTGTGTTCAAGCGAGCTAAATACAACAGGGTATCTAACTTATCTAAACTACGAATATCAGTAACAACAGAAAAGAAATACAGAACAATGTTATGTTGACAATACATATACAAAACATAAATCAATTTGCATAAGTAAATAGTATACATAAACAATGGATTGCACAATGAACAATAAAGAATAAGTATGAACATACACATATTAACATTGCACGTTTGTTTATAACCTTCCAGGTTAAATGTTACTCTAAGTTCAGGATGTTTCACATCAAGGCCAAACAAGGATTTCTCTATCCTTTAACTATCACTGAATGAAATCTTTAATATCTACATAATCTCACAACAAGTTCATTGCAAAACTACCACATATAGTAAAATCATTTTATGTAAAAAAAACCCAGCAGACATAGAGAAGCAAATTTTTACAACTATCATATATATGATGTGATGACACTACAACAATTTTATCACACAAAAAGTTTTCTATACTAAACATCACATGATTAGTATCATACCATCTTCGATTGTAATTATAAAGAGTAGATAAGTCATGCTTACAAACGCATGTTTAACAATCTAAAATTACATGTATAACACTTTAATGTGATTGTTCTCAAACCACTTGTCCCTCACTGTAGGTTTTAATCTCACTAAGAACTTTGAACTTTGAATGTGAGGTTTAATCTATTATAATAGTTCAATGACAATTGTCAAATCATATTTTATCATCTAAGTACAACCTTGACCTTTGACTTCCTGATGTAATATATTTTCTTCATCTCTTACCCAGCATTTGTGAAATAATCTGAATATCCTTTGATGAATAAACAATAACAGTCCGGATGTACATATTTACATATTCATGTATATAGATCTTCATAATAAATTAACTAAAGTAAGAACTTGACATATGTAGCAAGGACAAAAATCTTGTAAAACAAAAAATTACCTTCTTGTGCTGGTTACAGAATATACCTAAATGACATATTGACAGTGCAATTTTATTAAGCACATTTATTTACCAGAGCATAACTGGGGAATAACTGCCCATTAAAAATTCTTCTGATATCATTTTCACAATAAAGATGAACTTCCATGATCAATACTAGTATACATTTTCACTATTGATATTATTTCATAGTAATTATCATGTATTGATTATCAGGTAGTATTCAGGACTCCATCTATAATCTTGAAATCATTTTTACTATCTTGCCCTGGAACATTAGGATTGTATCTTGCCCTGGAACATTAGGATTGTATCTTGCCCTGGAACATTAGGATTGTATCTTGCCCTGGAACATTAGGATTGTACTTCTCCTGAATCTTTTGTTTCTTTATCATTTGAAGACTTCCAGTTAGAGAACCATGAAGACAATGAAGACTTGGCTTGAGTTAATGCCCCTCCTGTATATATATAAACAAATCTATTTATAACAAATCTATTTATAACAAATCTATTTATAACAAATCTATATACATGTTTAACAAATCTATTTAGATATATGGCAACCACAGACCTACATTGTTAACTACAATAAATATTAAATTGCTTCACATGATGTGGTTGTTCAAACCTTTTTTATATTTCTCTAATTCTCCCATTTTCAAATTGGTTGCCTCTCGGTATATAACAATAACCCGATAAAATGACATAAATTTAGCGGTCCCCTGAATATCGTTATATGCTGAGTTTACTTTATGTGTATGTTAATATAAAACAAAGTTATAACAACACATACCAACAGCTTTGCCAGTCTGGACGACATATTTACCAGTTGTTGACACAGCTGCATTGATTTTCTTCCCACCTTCTGTGTTGTTCATAGTGCTAGAAACAAGAAGAGCATCATGAGATAATGCTAGAAAAAGGCCAGAGTGCATCAAAAGTACAAGAAACAAAGGGGACACAATTAGATAATGTTTAAACGGCAGAGAGGGGGTGGACACAATTGGGTAGTGCCTGAAACATAGAGAAATGTTACAGACAAGTATCTTAAGAATTTATTTAAGTATATTTTATACCTTTTTTACCATAATGTGACTTGCAAGGAAAAGTTGTAAAATCTAACACATTATTCAACAATATTATGGTACTAGTCTACTTTAAAAACCATATATTAGTTTCAAAGTTAAGTTCTGCTTTTCTCAGAATGTTTATATAGAGCATTTTAGTAGTTGCTAAAAGCAAACTTAACTTAAAATCATGAGCAGGTCTCAATGTGTTGATGTTTTCTCACAAAAAATCATTTTTTTACATGTAGATACATGCTGAACTTAGCACGCAAGAAATTTTATCATATTTTGTGATGTTGATAATGTACATCTGACAAAACTCCACCATTAGAAACTTACTGTGAAAATCTATTTTTAATATCAGCCATGCTAAGATGACCTTGACAAGGGTGACCTGCTGGGATATCCTCAAATCTTTGATGTGCCAGGCTTGACCAAACCTTGTAGTTGTGAGTTGTTTTCCAACACTGTATGAATGACACTCCAAAATCTTCTATCAGTTTAGGATCTGTAAAAAATATACAGTATAAAAATATGAGAACATGTTGAAAAGATGAGAGAAAACTTTAAATGTTTGCATCAGCAATACATGTAGTTTATTTCACATTTACTTGCTGATGATTACTCAATGTTTATAACTTTAAGGATAAACATTTTATCAAATATAGTCACATAGAAATACATTAAGATACATAAACTATACAAACAACTTTCCTGTAGAATTTAAATAAAGATAAAAGGAAATAAACAAACCATCTGTTAGAACAGCAGCTAGCATCCCCTCTAGGTACAGTCTAAACTGAGCTCTTAGCCACTCATCATTTCCTTCCCATTCTGAAATATCATATGTGATTATTAAACTATGACTATAAATAGTTATCATACAAATTTAAAATTGACTAAAGAATAAGGAAGCATAATAAGAGCTTTCCCCTGGAGTATTCTTAAGCTAGAATTAGAGAAGGTATTAAAAAATTCTCAAAAGAAACATTAGCACTATTCTGTCAATGCTCAAGACAATTTGTTTGTTTGATGTTGAATTTTAAGTCACACCATAAACACCATATGGCAACTTTCCAGCTTTACTGGTACTGGCCTCAGGCCCCTTTGTGCACTATTTCAGGAAAAGCAGGCAGCGAAGAATATCCAGCAACCTTCTGTTACCTAACTGAATAGCTTCTTTACATGAAAGAATCCATTGTTCCTGATGGAATTCAGACCAACAAAAGTGAAGGGCAAATGATTTGACCATAACCATATATAGAGATATAAATTGTTGAAATAGGTCCATTGCCAGAAGATTAAAAGCAATATCCATAAGGGTATACTGGAAAACTCAGTACACAAGTATATACAGCAAAATGGAATTTAACATAATCTAATCATGACAAAAAGATCCTACTTTATTTAGCACTATAAGGTCCTGGTTGAAGACTTTTAAGCCTTGTATTACAATATTTGTCTACTCAAAATATCACAGAATGCTTGCTAGGTTACCTGTTCCTTCAAAATAGTTATCTTCTGTTCCCCCAGTGACACCCTTTACAAGTATATCAGTAAATCGAAGGTCTGCAGTTGTTAACACAAGTTGTTTCTGTAACTCTCTGTCATGCATGTCTACTTTGTACTCACTAACCTAAAATAAACAAAATAAAATCATGTATCAAAATTCACTGTAAATCAAAATGCACATGCAGGTTGTATTTACACATGGTCATGCTTGGCCGTATTCTTACAATACACAACTTGCTTGATGAGAAGTTAATTTTGAAGTTTCAACACTGATTTAAATCTTTAACTTCCATGTTTACCCTTAAAATTGATAAATTTCTTTAATATACTTGTCCAGTGTCCACATTCTATTTTTGAAATTGTCCATTATCAATTTTGGGGTTCTAAAGATGAAAATTAGTTTAAAGATGGCCTCATATAAAGTTTAGTGATGACCTCAAAGGTTAGTGATGAAAATTTGGTGATGATCTCATATAAAGTTTGAAGATGATCTCATATAAAGTTTGATGATGATCTCATATAAAGTTTGATGATGATCTCATATAGAGTTTGATGATGATCTCATATAAAGTGTGATGATGATCTCATATAAAGTTTGAAGATGATCTCATATAAAGTTTGAAGATGATCTCATATAAAGTTTGAAGATGATCTCATATAAAGTTTGATGATGATCTCATACAAAGTGTGATGATGATCTCATATAAAGTTTGATGATGATCTCATATAAAGTTTGATGATGATCTCATATAAAGTTTGATGATGATCTCATATAAAGTTTGATGATGATCTCATATAAAGTTTGATGATGATCTCATATAAAGTGTGATGATGATCTCATATAAAGTTTGATGCTGATCTCATATAAAGTTTGATGATGATCTCATATAAATATGGTGATGAAAATTTGATGATAATCGCATATAAAGTTTGAAGATGATCTCATATAAAGTTTGAAGATGATCTCATATAAATTTTGATGATGATCTCATATAAAGTTTGACGATGATCTCATATAAAGTTTGATGATGATCTCATACAAAGTGTGATGATGATCTCATATAAAGTTTAGTGATGAAAATTTTGTTGATGATCTCATATTAATTTTGGTATTGAACTATCAATAGATTCATAAGATTTTATTCAGCATGAAAATAAGGCAAGTACTTACATCAACAACAACATCAGTTAGGTGTCTTTTATGACGGAACAACATATTTGTAGCACCAATCACAAAACTTCGAATATTAACATCATTTAACAGGTCAAAGTACTGTAGGGACAAATATGGAAAACACACACACCCCTGAAAAAATAATGAGTATATTTATTCATTTTTGATTGGATACTATATCTGTGAAAGCAAGAACTAACTGTGGGTTGGATTAAGCAATTGTTTCATTAAGTCTTATTGGTCAATATATAAATACAACATTCCTATATCAACAGCAGTTCTTATATTTATCAGAAGCAATGAAAGATAATTATATTTGGAATCTCGAGATCCTTGATCTTTTTACACATTGGAGGAAGTTGAACTAACAAAACTGGTATAATTCAATTGAATAGATACCTTGGTGAAAATAGCCAATGGAAATCCTAGTTCATCTTGTTGTAGGACTGGAAGGGCAGATAATATTGGAGATGATGGCGTGCTGGATCCTCGTGATCCGGGTGTAGATGGTTCATTAGAATCTCTAGACACTGACTTACGAAGTTTACCTTTCAGACTAAATCCACCAAAAGCATTTGTCAGTCTGCTCTTTATGGCTGCAGCTTTAACACCTGTAAAAAACAAAATAACGATTCAACATAAATAGCTTAGCAGCAAAAAAATCAAAAACAAATAAGACCATGCTTGACAACAGAAATAACTGTGGAATACATAAAATATATGTTACAATTGTTTAAAGATGATTTCAAATTAACTTCTCTAACAGGGCAAAAGACCAAGGTCAATGTTAAAAGACATATACAAATTAGTCCAGGAAATGTGTGAGATACATGTTTTAAAATGTCATAATTATATAAAGTCATAATTTTAACAAGAGATGTTCCATTTGGAACCACGCTTCAAACATGTATGGAGATTGAAAAAATTAGGCCTCTACCAGACACAGAAACCTTACAAAGTACAGTAACAAACTCTAATAACAACATGAAAAATTGTTGCAAAAGTAAAAAAAAAATCACTTGCAGGTCAACTAAATGATGCTTGGCACAAAAGTTATATTTCAAATGATCTGTTCAAAGAGACTTTCCTACAAATAAAACTTACTAAAGACCCTTACATTATAAAGTGGCATTCTTTCATCACAATGATATCAATGCTAGATACTCTATCACAGCCAAAAAAAAGTTTGAAAGCATCAACATAATAAGCCTCTGAGAAAACTTTACACAACATCAAAGAATGTATCTTTCAATCAGACACACTTAAAAACATGCCAATTGTTTTTAAACAAAACCTACAATATGTATATAAAAACTTATTAATGCTGTCATAGACCTATTCTTATGATTGTGGCTATTTTTACTATAATGTTATATAAATACATTTATGTTAGAATGAACAATGTTGCATGTATATTAAAACTGATTTGTTATAATCTGTTTGTACTGCCTACAGTTATTACACATTAACAAATAGGAACATTCATCTGAATTTATTTTGCAAAGGTAAGATGAAAATGGCCATAAACTACTAATTAGTGACTTGTTGCTCCGAGTATAGCCCAGTCTATATTTTCTGATATTGCACCTGTGTAGTGAAGATCAATTTTATTCCCTTGCTTCAACTCTTCAACTCCAAGATATAAAGAGCCATTACCTCATTGATTGGTTCGTAACAAAATAAATAATAACTTGTATAACTATTAACACTGTTCCAATGAATGTAATGAACTAGGAATTTCTCTACAGGTTTAATGAAAGGAAATAAAACAATGCAGTATTTACCTGGACTAGATACATTACTTATATTCATGTCTTCTGTCTGTTTAGACATGAGATCATCAGTTCCTGCTTTACTTCCCTCAACCTCGGTCACCGGTAAATGTTCTAGTACAGATATCTCCTTGAATGATGAAGCAAGACCTGCCATTTCATCTAATCTATGATCTGTTTTATCAGTATCTATTGTAAGTGATAGTTTGTCATCCTCCCAGGAGAAACAATCTTCTCGATCAATCTGGTTTATACTTTCTGGAGAGTCTAGTTCATCAACTTTCTCACTAGATACTTTAGAGGTGATAATTTCCTTTTCTGAATGAATCAAGCTATTGGTTTGACCTAAATTTTTACCACGTTGTCCAGAGCTTGACACAGGCGTAATAAGTTCGAGTTTACCAGGATCAGGGGTTGGTATAGGACCTTCTGTTGGACTGGTGCTACTAAAATAGTCTTCTTTTAACTCTAATGAGCAATGCTCAATGTCAATCACAGAACCATTCTTTGGAATGTTTTTACCTGCCTGTAATGTAAAATTAAAATGTGAAATATTACAAGATTTGTGCCAGATATTTCTAAAATATCTAAATATCATATTTGAAGAATAAAACAACTGATGAAACACTTAAACACATATGAACTCATTGTGAATTCAGACGGCGCCTATGGAGTGGAGCATAATAATTAGAAAAGAGGAAACAATCCATTTCATGTTACTGGTAAATTATTAAACAACACCATTTCAATTTTGAAGTATAAAGAAATTATACACTTTTTACAGAGTCATAGGGCCATATGAGGCCCCAAATTGGCCCACAAAAGAGACACTGAAAATGTACTCTATATTAGGTTATTAATAATAAATAAACAAAAATTGTTGGCATTACATAAAGCTTATATTTGAACCAATCTACATGATGTTTATGATTAAATTTAAATAAATATATATGTTTTCTATGTTTACAGTTTATAATCTTGAACCAATGTTCCTACCTGTACAGCTTCATAATGTGCAAGACCTAACATAACATCTGTACTTCCTGTCATCACAACATGTTGCTGTGAACCACTAGCCTGTAAAACCTTCTCTTTGTCACTTTTCTCCAGTGAATGTCCATTAAGTTTAACTCTTCCCCCTTCACTATCACTCAACTGTCTACGAGCAGTTTCTTTTCCAGTATCACTTGTATTGCCATGAACTTTAACTTTACCGCCTGTTGTATCACTCATTTGTCTGTGAACTTTGACCTTCTCATTTGAATGTTTATGTTTTACAACCCCTAGATCACTGTTTCCAATCACTTTTTGAACTTTACCTAACCCATCCTTTGCATAATAATCATCAACATAATGAAAAGTTTCTTCATTTTCTGTACCAGAAGAGGTTTTCGTATTTACACAATTCCCATGAGTGCTAACCATCGTGTTTTTGTTACTATCATTGGCACTTTGTGTCACAGTAGAGTTTGGATGACTAGATAAATAAGTGTTTAAAGTATTATTATTTCGGAAAAGCTTTTCTCCCCCTCTGTCAATTGTCGGTGATTCTGGTTCGTTACTGTAGAACTGGTCAACTTCAGGGCGAGTATCTTCAGAATATCTGTTACAACATAGAAACAATATTTTTACTTCCCTATAACATCAAATTCTTTAAAAACAACTAACTCATCACCTTATCTTAATAATTTAATTCATTACTGCATCACACCAAACTTCTTTTACAATTTAATCATGTTCATCTTATTTTCTATATTTCCCTTTGCAATCTGAATTTATCTGATCAGATAGGACCATTGTATTAGTTAAAGGGAATAAATCTCTAATGAACTGGGTTTTCCATAATAAGACATTATTTTTGTATGCAGATTAATAATATCTGTCATATGTTGCGGTTTGGATCGGAAAATATCCGTCCTAAGGGAATCCACCCATTGGGCGGTAACAAAGTTTGCCGAGGGACGAATATTCCTATCTGTACCGCAAACATGCGAGATATTTTTTCTTGCATATTCTATCATATTTTAAAAATTATTTCCCTTAATGAAACAATTTTCCATGGAAGTTATTGTCATTTCATCTAAAACTGTTTTCTATTAAGTATGAAGTTACAATTTCATTCATAACGGCAAAATGACATCATACTTAGCATGCAGTTCCATTCGTAAATATGCCGAAATGACGTCATTTTAATGCGGTTAATTCAAAATGCGCTAAAATGACCCAATTGTATAGCATGCGACTCATCTGCCACTCCCTATGCCAGATGAAATTTAAAGCATGAGTAAAACTAATGGATATGCAAGAAACAATAGTAAATTCCTTATAAAACAACAGCTGTCAATAGAACAGAGTGTTTGACTATTCTCAATGCTTGATAGTAAAATTACAAGTGGGTGAGTACAATAGCTCTCCCTAATCTTCATAGTTGTCAAGCTAACAGGTGGGGAATGTGCAAAATCATCTCTCAATCTTTCCATAATCGCATTTAAAATTCTTGCTAGGAAGCATTTCAGTCTGTTTTCAAATTGTAACATATTAAATAATAGAGCAACCTTTTGTTAAGAATCTTTTAGGATATCACCAAAATAATATGAAAACATAACATTTTCATTTATTCGCTCAGGTACAGCTTTACATTCTTTAATGTTGGTTGAAATTTGAATTTACCATAAGAAATTTAGTGATTTAAGACATACACATGTACTGTAAAATAGGATATTTTTGCATAGCTAAATTATTACCAAATTAACATTTCTGACCATCTGGCTTGGTTAAATACTAGTGACTTTCTCCTTTTAGTTCAGTTATTATAATTCAAATGATAGTTCGCAAACTTTTTTTCTGTGTGGAAATCTCCAATTTGAGATATTGGCAGAATTTAAACTCTCTTGAAAAGTTTCAATTTTACTGTATGCAATGTATATGTTTCTTAAGTTCATTAACAAGCTTATTAATTTATATTGTTATTATTGCCAATATATTCATAAGGAGTTAAGGCCTAAATAGACGGTAGGAGTTTGAAGTACATCACCAATAAAAACTTAGATGTACAAGCAAATCTTTATGTGTGAAGGCTACTATTTTTTGAATTTGTACAACATAATACTAGTTTACAGGATAGGACATGTTCTATCTCTTAATTCTAGTACGATGACAGGAGACAGATTTCCCAATTATCCCCTGATAGTGTGTTTTAACAAATGAAATTCCAAAACAATTAAGGCTATAATGTAAACATAGTAGTAAACTCTTGGGGAGCCCCCCCCCCCCAAGTTGTGGTATGTTCGAATCCCATTTTACTCAGAGAATTATAATAGACTTTTTTTACTCATGCAAAAAAAATAATTTTTCATCGCAATATCAAAATACAGAACAGCAGACATTTTCACAAAAAATCTTACGACAATTTTTTATCGTAAGTGAAATCTTACGATGAAACTCCTTTTCACAAAAAATCTTAAGAAAATCTTAAGTGCAAAATCTGTCGTAACTTTACGATAGGTCTTCCCCGTTCGTAAGTGTAATTTTTTCTCTCTTAAGGGTAAAATATCATGTATCTCTTACCTAAACTGAATAAAACAAACAAAAAGTTGGAGGACAAATAGATATTAAGCAAACAGTATGCTACAAATAACACAAATTGAGCTATAATTATTTTTCAACATAAACATTTGTGACGTCATGACTTGATGACGTCACGATGGAGAGGGTTATGAATAGTTTAAATGTGAACTATATTGTAGTATTATTGAAAACTTATAATTTGTACAATTGGTGAGTTAGATTTCATTGCCAGCATGTACTAGTGGTGCCTTTTTATTTATTAATAACATAGTAAACCTTCTTTCTGAATCTTTTACATATATATAATAATCTTCAATCAAGATATGAATTATATCAGTTTGAATCATTTTATTGTTCTTATTGAAATTTGATTGTGTACTAATAGATATTTCAAGCTCTTGATTACTTGATTTTAAAACCGGAATCAAATATAGAGCATGCACATCACTATCAAATGAACGTTGCTAGGGATGTTTTTGTCGTAAGATTTATCGTAAGTGAATTTTTTATCTTAAGATAAAATTTTAACTTACGAGTGGCTTTGTGAAAATGACTTAAGATTTAACTTACGATTATCGTAAGTGAAAAACTTAAGATAAATCGTAAGTTTTTTTGTGAAAATGTCTGCTGGCTTTAGGATGTTCATTTATTTTATTCATTTCAGAACATTGCATTTCCTAAATGCTCTGCCCATGCTATCTTCAGTCTACCTCTTAACCAATCTTCATAATTGGTCAATACCAATAATTATACATATTTCAGTTATAATAGTGAATCTATTCAGGTATAATTGTTTTGGAGGGAAACACGGTGATTCATACAATATAGAATTACGGTCTGAATGCAAGTGTTGTATAGCTTTCAAAAGTGTACACCATATCTCTAATTAGTGTTGTACAGCTAAAACCTACCGTCTGTTGAGGGATTTAGTTGTTATTGTTCTATTCCATCAACTTTAACAAACATTATTAAACTACAGTGGTAACATATCAACTTACCTGATTTCAAGGAAATCTTCGGAATCACAGTCAATATTGGTAGTAGCTATGGTTGGTGATATCTGTTTATGTACACCATATGCTGTACTCTCTACTAAACCATGCTCTATCATACCTACAAGTATATTATATATACATGATGACCAACCAAACACTTAACCATCCAAACATACATGACATTACCAGACTTATAATTTTATTTACGGTAAAACTTTGGTGAACAAAATTTACATAAACTTACAGTCTTTTCAACAAGACTACAAGAGATGAAAATATCTTTATTAATTAACAAAGAATAACTCCCTGCACATCTGGACTGGTATAGATAGAATAGACAGAAAACATAATATGGTGCCTCTGAACTTTTCTACTAGTAAACATAAAGTAAACATATAAAACATTGTAAATGTACCTGGATAAAGGGAGAGAACAGATAAAATTGTGTTTCCTAACTTTTCCACTGGTGACCCTGTAAACAACACCTGAAAAAAAAACATCATGTTTAATTCAGAATACAGACTTATTTAATTTTAAGATCTTTCAACTTGACTCATTTTTTTACATACTGACATTAACAAGTAACGCAGACAACATATTTTTCTAACTAATGAGTGCTAATTAAGTCACACCAACACTTTGAAGGTCATTCACTTTTACTGTCCAGCTTTAGAGGTGGAGGAGACCTCAGGTGTATCTCTGTACATTATTTCAGGCATAAGTTCACACCTTAGTAAAATCACCAATCTCTGTAAGTCAACTGGATAGCTTCCTTGTATAAAAGAATCTAAATTAACTGACAGGATTCTAATCCTCAGAAGTGAAAGGCAAATGAGCCGTGCCATGACAAAACCAACATAATGGGTTTGCGACCAGCATGGATCCAGACCAGGCTGCGCATCCGTGCAGTCTAATCAGGATCAATGCTGTTTGCTTACAAACTCTATTACAAGTAGAGTAACTGATAGCGAACAGCATGGATCCTGAGCAGACTGCGTAGATGCAGAGACTGGTCTGGATCCATGCTGGTCGCAAACCCACTATGTTGGTTTTGTCTTGGCGAGGCTCAAATGGTTCAAGTTCTCAGCCATGAACATCCTCTAGTAAATGAGTGAATGTCTTTTATATATACATGAATGCAAATTAGACTTGAATTGTTGTAAAATGTTAACATTAAAATATTACCCTTCTTTCCAGCATAATGAGTTTGAACAAAACTAGAACTTTGTGTTTAAATGTCTGTACTAAATCCTTCACATCCATCCCAAGGTATACCTGTAATATATCAACAATAAACATAATTCAATGACAGTTTTTTCACCACATTATAGTACTCCAAAGATAAATTTGTATTTTGGTCACATGGTTTCTAAAGAAGTACCAGATGCTCTAGTATTGGCAGCAAGGGTGGTGGGTTTTTTTTATATCTCATATGAAAATAGTTTCTTTTAAGTACATACTTTAACAATGACAAGAGCTGTAGGTAGGACAGTGTGCTTGACTAATCTCAGTGCTTGATAGTAAAACTAGAGCTACATGCATGTAAATGTAGAATTTTCTAAGTTCAAAAAGGGCCATAATTCTGTCAAAGTACATGTTATGGACCTTTGATAATGACCTCCTATTATTCTCTCAAATAAGTGTGTAAAGTTTCAACTCATTCCCTGCAGTCATCCTTCAGTTATAAACTAAACATACTTATTGTAATTATGCCATTACAATTATGACAGACCTCGCTTTATGGTTAATATAATAACTTATATCTATGAAACAAAAGGATAACTTATAAATAAATAGACAATAATCACCTAGCATTTGTAAACATGAAAACATTCAGTTGTTACATCAATACAGACTGATTACAAGATTAAAATATCAAATTCAAAAATATTTTAAAAAATCAAATCTTCTTTTCATTTCTATTTACTCAAATGGCCCTCTATTTGTAGACTTTAGAAGTATATATTATGTCCTTAGTTTGAGGAAATAATAAGTGATAATCTATTTTCCCTGAGGTAGCAAAGTCACTGTTCTAACATTGAATAATTGCATGATATTTGTGGTTGATATTTGTGGTTGTATACTTGTATAAGTTCAGTTAGCTTCCGCTTAATCCACTAATCTATATATCAGAAACTTTACAAAGGAAGAAATTAAATATGCTTACAGTATGAATTATTGATGGATATAATGTAAACAGGTATATGATGTAGTGAGATAGTATCAGTAATTGTGACAGCGTAACTTGAGGGAATGCTCATCTATGAATATCTTATTCTGACAGCCACAATATGGTGAAGATCTCTCTATTGACTATCAAACAAGAACTGTCCTTGTGAGAACTATTATAAGTACTTGTTAGTGGAATACAAACAGCTCCTAAAAAGCTCTACTAGATAGGGCAAAATAAGAAAAGGTCTAAAAAAACTATAACTGATAGTCTGATACATTAAGTCAGTGTACTGATAGAAACAAAAAGGGTCTTATTAAGATTCATTATTTGAGAAAAATGTGCTAAAATTTTAAAAAAAGTAAAATGTTTAAAGATTCAATTAATAATTTACACAATATATGCGATTAAGGGCTGATTTTGCGGTATTTATCGCCATATTTCTACTGCGTTACTAGTAAGGGCTGATTTTGCTTATTTTGACCTCTTTTTGGTAATTTATGTGGATTGCAAGAGCTGTTTGCAATGTGTAAATTATTTTCTTTGTTCATTTCACAATATTTTACATTTAAATACATTTTTTAAATTTTCCTTGAAAATTAACATCAATCTGGAGGCATGCTGCTTTAAGATTAAACCATTTTATACTGTAACAAAACTTATTTTGTCTAGAAGATACCTAATGTATGGTTTACCTGAGATCCTCCATCTAGGAGGCTTTCTGTAAGTGAAGCATTAAGATTGTTGTATGTCTCTTCCAAAAGTGACACTCTACTAAAGTCCAACTCTTGAAAATAAGCATGTGTGATCAGCTCCAGTTTGGCTTGTATCAATCCATATAATGGCTGAAATTAGACACACACTTTATATACTTTATGGCATGATATATGTGCATGGTTTTCTATGGAAAATATAAAACATCTAGATATACTTTATATGATAAAATTACCTTGTCTTTAAATACATAACACTTCATCTTGTGAGGTGATGGCATCTGCCATTTATTGTTTTAATATGAGCAAAAGTGTTATCTGTTATTCTATTGGTAAATTTGAGGCTCTATTCTTAAATACAAAACAATATATTGTTCTTTACATAATTATAGCATTGAAATTTCAACATGTCAACAAAGGTAAGATATACATGAATCATTAAAATACATGCACATTTTCCAAGTCAAGCTGTCACCATGTAATAGAGTCTTTCTATGATATACATGTAATTATAATTGGCACATAACATAGTTAATACCGTAATTCATTGAAATGACCTGTCTTTATCACAGACATGTCAGAGCAAACATTTTAAAACTGAATATAAAAGACAAAGGAAACTTAATACATAAATTATACTTGTTGCATCTAATTTTGCATTAAATTCAATCTCACAGAAATTTTTTTAGTTGAACAATACACTGCCATACCTACCCAAATTTGATTGACCTAGGTTTTAAATCAAAACAAAGTTCTTCAAATTTGTAAAGTATCTACTTCATTTTAACAACATTTTTTTATCAAATCAAATCATCAAAACTAGAAGTGTAGGAATAAATTGTCAGTACTGAGATATTTGATGCAAACAGTGTACATGATGTCACTTATTTATAACAACTAACATACATTGTATATTATTTCCTTATATAATGATAGATATTGAATCCAGATATATATTCGTTATATTGTTTCTGTCATTTTTGGCAACAAATATTTACTTACCAAGTTACTCAACACACAAACACTTTTCTGTACTGTACTGCGAGTAATATCATCTGTCTTTATTTTCAACTCCTAACAAATAAATCAAATGTTTCTATATAGATTATTTACTTTCATAGACCTAACATTATATGTATATCTCATACAAGAAACAATACAATATTTCTCAGAGTTAGATAAAAACTGTTATACATAATGAAAAATAAATTTTACAAATAAATCTTACAAATACATTTTATGATTTTGATCATTCTCAGTGCTTTACAGTCAAATACTAACCAAGTGGCCCGGTGTTTACGCGCCAGACTAGTAAATTAAGGATTTCTGACCGCATAGGTTCAAACCCTGTCAGGGGAAAGCCTCTGTTTCCTTGAGCAAAAAACTTTACACTCATTGACAAGTACTGGTTCGGTCCAGGAACGAATTCAAGAGTGTTTCAATAAGCTTATAGCTTCTAAAATAAATTTGTATTAACTAAATAGTGAATAAAAGGGAAACAAACAGTGATATAAGTTATTATTTCCTTCATACATATATTTGTACCAAGAAATAACTAGAAATGTATCCATACAGGATACTTTTTAGTCAGTCTACATGATGGGTTATTCCTACTTTGATTATATTACACGGGAAATACTCTCACCTTTGCATCAATCTGCCTGTAGCATGCAACACCATACACTGTCCTATGTGTACCTTCTCTTGCTGGTAGATGGAAGTATATAGTATCTATAAACAAATAAATTGTCCATATCAGATCAAATTAGTCGGATGTCAATTAAAAATTACTACTTTTACATAAATCTGTATTATAACAATGGCAGAGTGACTGGATGATGCAAGAAACTGTATTGTTACTGTATTTACTAGCTTACATGTATATAACTAGTACTAGTAGACACTTTCTTGACATAACTATTTTAACTTTAAGGGTTATACTATTGCCCATATTGAAATGTCTTTCCAACATAACTCTCATCTTTACTGTCATGTTTAAAGGATATTGTATGATCAATCTTACTTAGAAACAAAGTCACTTAACAAAGCAGCTTCTATGTAACTATTACATAAAAACTTACACAAAAAGTTTAATTTCAAAATGTAAGCTTTACATATATGTAGTGTTATTTCACCTGACATGGAAGCAAAAGACCTCATCTGTATAACAAATTAAAAATTGAAATTTCCCATGATCAAAGTTTCTCACCTTTTATATAATTATGTGCCCCATCAGGTACTGCCAGTGATGGCAGGTTTTTCCACTCAGGAGGGCATTCATTACTGTTAACTTCACCTCCTGCTTTAAGGGGAGGATATGAGTATTCAACCTAAAAACAAATTCAACAAAATAAAACTTCTCATGAAACACTATTATTACCTACTACTGAGGCTACTAAAACACTATTATTACCCACTAAAGCAGGCTTGGACTCAACATTTAAAGTTGTAATCTAGCAATACAGCAGACATAACAGACACTGATCTTCTCTTCAGTTCTTAATGTTGAATTAATTGTAACCAAAATTTAGTATATCCGAAATAATGTATATTCATATCAAAAGGTTGATTGTTATTTATATTTTCATTTCAAATGACATTTGTACAGATCTAATTTTAAGTAAATTGATAAAAATATAAAGTAACAAACTTTTAAATGTTTAATTATTTAAAGAAACTCAAAATACCTTTTTTGGCAGTAAATATAAATATGTAATATCTGTAACATCATAAATCTTAATTAATATAAGTACATGGTGGCATCAAGCAGTGTTTCTATTTAGTTCCAAAATTTAGAAGTCAGAGACTGCAAAATGTCTGACACTGCAGGAAGTCATATTATATAGGTAAAGAAGGAAAAACATTACACTTTGGAAGTCACAAGCCCAAACCAATGAGTAAATGACCCCCTAACTTCCACTAACGGAAGCCCTGATCATGACTCAGCTAAAATATTTAGGAATCAGAGTGAACTAGGGACAATATTTCAGCAGCAGATACGCAAATGAGACCAAATTAAGACCGTCCCTAACAATAAGTTGAGTAGACCTCAACAACATATGATAAATTTATCATTTTGATGATTCTGACGATCTAACTTACATGTTTACCACCTGCATTAAATTTTTATGCATTAATCATACACTACACACACACTGTCATGCACTCATGTACTGTAAAAAATGAATAAAACTAAGAACATTGTCTGATTTTTCACTTCAGGGGCTGAATGATCTTTGTTTCTGTTAAATTTTAAGTCATAAGTAAGGCTAATGACTGTTCTTGACCATTATATGATATATCACAATATCATCATGAAGGTTATTAATAACATTAGATAAATGCAAAGAGTAAATTTATAGTTTAATAAGTTAATATACTGGTAGGGGACCACCAACCGGACATTTTTTTAACATTTTTCCATACAGATTTCATAATTTTAAAGCTAAAGATCTGAAAATTTGACACAGTACAGCTAGGAGAGTATCAAAATTAAATAAAATGTGCACACTACAGTACCATGTGTCCATACAGATAAGTCCATGATGCTGATTTAATTCAATAAAACTTTTATAAAAGCTTTGGTGTTTTAATTTTTTGTTTTTAACATGATATGAAATATTTCAGTTAAGTTTTGGATATTTTATTCACTCTCCATATGATTAAAGCTATTATAAAAGGTCAAGTATTGCACTCCTGACGTCCAAATTTCAAAGTCAACATTCTTGAAAAAGACATAAAAATATTACTGTTTACGAAATTTGAAATAAATTTAATTACTTAATTATAGAAAAAACATGCAGTTATTGATGATATAACAGTGACTGGTAGATCAACAACCACTGAACAAATATAAAAAGCTAAATCAGGCATTTACAGGGCCGTCTGGGTTAGGTGGTCTCCAACCAGTATGTATTTAATATTTACTTAGTATCTTTAAAAGATGTTCCCTGCTGACTGAAAAATGTCACCAGGTCACAAGGTGAGAAAATTATGCAGCCTGAGTCCTGACCGAGACTCAAAACCACAGGACCTTCAGAAAACCATTTCGCAGCTCTGCCAACTGAGCTATCTGGCCGCTTACACATCTTCTCAATCTCCTGTAGTGAACAGTTATGAACCGTGACATGCTATAGTGAAATTTGTCTCTGAATTTCTCAGGGTTAGACACCCAGAAATTGAGAATTCATGTGAAAATTATTCGAGTCAAGAAGTTTTATGATATCTGGACGTTACATGTAGGACAGGTAGTCCTTCATTGAAAGACATCGCATTTTCTTTTTTTTACATTTTGACGTTTATCGGAAAATGCGAAGTCTTTCCATAATTGGCTAATTTCCCATAGCACAAATCGACACGCTTCTCGAGTCGATTTGAATTTACCGGTAAATCACAACTTAAATGTTTTTTATCACAAAAAGCAATTGATTGCATAAAAGACGGAAGCATATTTTCCCAAAAACTGTAAAAATATGCAATAATTACTCACGATAAGTAGTTAATTTATCCATATATTTTAGAGGACAGTTTGCGGTGACCCCCATATTGGAAATTCCCGGTCATGCTGTGACGTCATTCAAAAAACAATAGTACGAAATTAGTCTGAACGAAAACATTTTCTGTTGTGAATTAAGACGCTGACAGGTGCACGCAGTAAAAATTTCGTCTAAAAAATATGGTTCCAGTATTTACCGCATTGCGTAGTGCACACAATATGGATGCTGTTTACACAATTTTTACACGGGATTTGTTTTAAATTGTTTAAAATTTGAATAAGTTGATTTTGATAAGGAAAAAACACATTTGTGGTAGGATTATGATTATTTGAAACAGTTTACATCGGAAGTTTGAATGATTGTGCATGTTTATTGTTTTTCATTTTGCTATGGATTTTTAAATAGATATCTTTAGACGTTAAAGCGGATTTGACCCATGTAAAAAGTAGCTTCAAATCCGCGGTTACGTCTAAATATTTGGACTGGTAGGACAGGCTTCTGTATGGTTCATTCATGGAGTCATAGGTGCCATTTGTGTTACGATGATGCATGTTACTAAAAGATTACAAGGGCGGCGATTCTTAACAGAAGAGAGGGTCATGGTCTGACCAGGTGCCCGTATCCCTCAGTGTCCCAGGTCAAATAATTTTATGCGTGCAGATAGACCTGTCCGTAAAATTAAATAAACCATATAGTCGAACCTGACAGCCTTTCTTGTGATGAAATCCAATCACCACAACATGTAGGACAGGCTTTGAGCCAGTGCTCAACAGTGACGACATTGTTAGAACATGTTTCGATCACGAAATTATCATCATTTGAGGATACAAGTTTACTATGGATCACTTCCGCAAAGATCAAAGTTCTGATGAAACCGACCGGTTAATTGGCCAAAACTTCCACTGAATATCCAATCAAAACCTTCCAGACAAAACTTCCTTTTAAACCTAACGACAAAGAATGATGCAAAAGGTGGCGGGTAAAAGAGGGTTGGGTTCCACTCTATTCACCTAAAAAGAACTTGCGAAGACAAAAACAAATAACTGCAATCTTGATGTTGTAAAGGATTGTGTGCCGGCGATATGGAAATTTTGTCTGCGCATCTGAGATTTTTCGTATTGGGGACACCTTGTACGTTTATAAATCACAATTATAGATTCTAAGTAAACTATATAGAACTTTAATGTAATTTTAATATTTTAATATTCAAATGGCCAAATTTCGACTTGCAATGTTTTTGAAAGATTATATCTTGGCAACTGATTTAATTAAATTAATTAAAGCCTGCCTAATTCTGATCATGAAAAACTAAACACATAGAACCATTAGAATATCCTATTTTCAACATATTCCAAAATAAAGGAAAGTAAATAATTTTTTAAAAGGCTATTAATTATTATTCTCAATTTGCATTACTTATTTCACGATTTTAAAATATCTTTACACATAAGATTTAACCTTCAAATCTTTATTTTCCGTGTCCATTTCTCCGTATGTCCATATTTAGACTATGATATTTTCAGTATTCTACCTAATAAAATCAAATATGTACAATATATGTTAGGAATATTAATATTACCAATACCAACTTTTCATATACTAATATTTGCTTTAGATATATAAAACAGTACATTATTTGTTAGTTTTGAAAATAATAAATCTTATATAATATATAATTCTTATAATCAAGAAAATATTATTGCTTTTAGATGATTTCTATAATTTCAAAATATTACTTTATTCATCACATACTAATGCAAATTCAAAAAATGCATTTTTTATCGTATTTTAATGTTATGTTTTAAATTTTACACTCTGTTGCACCCGTTGCGCCCGTTGCACCAAAAAAAATCTTCATTGTGTATTTTAGTGATAACTGAAGTATCATCCGCCGATATCCTTAATGAAATCGAGGGGAGTGGCTGTATAAAGAAAGAATGATAATATTACAAGAGAAAAAAATATGTTGGTCAAACGAGGCAACAATTAATTAAGTGTCTAAACGCATGAATAGCCATAGGTTTCATATCAACATTTTTTTTCAGATCCGTTTATATTGTCTACAAATGTCGCTACAAACTTTGATAAAACTAATATTTTCAATTTATGCCTTTAGAGATTGTCTCCTATGATATGGAACGCTTATTACAAAAATCATACTGGATCCATAAGCTTAACGTACACATCATCTCCTAATGGTATGAACGCAAAAGTTTTGTACAATGTATAACTTTGTCATCTTTCAAGCATATTATTGAGCCAGTACATACAGAGACTAAAGAAGAAGACTAAACGTCAAAAGCTGAAGAAAAGCGTTTGTTTTTATTGAACTGATTATATAATATTACAAGAGGACATATTTACCAAATAATGAAAGTTAGATCTAATAAGTCCCTGCACTGGAACTCATTTCCTCATCGCTTTATAGACGATTGCAATAATCTACCAGAAGACATTGTCAATATTTGTTCATAGGCTATATATAGATCAACATATACATGATAGAGATTCCGACAAGCCAGAATCTTTATCTTCAAGATCAATGTGAGTAAAAGTGAGCGTGAGTAAGCATGGACGTCGAGGAAATCTACTAGGGTGCATGGTGCATTAATACGCAGTGAAGGCGTGAAAGGCAGTGATCGAGGCTTCTTGATTGGCACAAACTTCCCTTATCTGGACGTACTAACTTACATTATCATTATTTCTTAGGTTACCGTTCAGGTGCTCAATGAACACTGTGCTCTCCTGCCCTATCCGCCTCCTGCTCATTGTAGGTTCAAACAATATTAACTTCTTCCATATTTTCAAAACAAAAGTACAAAAATCAGGATTGAGTAGAGAGTTGAAAGATTACATGAAGTAATTAACTCTTGAGTTTCCTTTAAGTTACGTACACACCTCTCTTGAATGTTAAAAAAAAGCAATATTCGCTGCCAGTAAGAAGTCTGTCCCAAAAGTTCGCATAAAGTTCCATTATGAAAATAAAGCGCACTTTTTGCATTTTTTTATAAACTATATGTACGAGTATTTATTATAGAAACATGGATTTCTATTAAAATGCGCATTATTATTCTATTCATATTTTCTTATTTTCTATTCTAATCGAAATTTTGTCGACCAACGCAATTAAAACAGTTTACGAAAAAAATCAGCATTAACACGTAGCAATTTTTTGTCGGCTGTATCTGATAACAAACAAGAAAATATATGTTTTCTTCAAACGTGAATTCCTTAACCAGTTCACGGCTTTAATAACAAAATATTTAAAGCTTAGACTAGTTGCATAGAAAAAAAGAAAAAAAAAGGCCGGTAAAGTTCTGTCACGTAACATCAAATATTTACAAACTTCACGGAATTGTTCTTACAGACTGGCGTTAAAGGACATAATGGTTGAAGATTGTGGCGCCGTTAAATGTCGCAACGCCGCTAAATGTCGCACTTGCCGCTAAATGTCGCACCATTGCCGCTAAATATCGCAACCGCCGCTAAATGTCGCAAAATCATTTGCCGTTAAATGTCGCAATGTTAACGCTAAATGTCGCACGAATTTCCCTTACCGTTAAATGTCGCAACACTACCGTTAAATGTCGCAAGATGTAAATCCATGTTAAAATCATGATTAAAGTAGTATTATATTACTTTTTAACATTCTCATAGTTATTTTTATTGTAATTGCCATCTTTGTTTTACTTGTTTTCTTTTATGAACCTAAATATCGAGGTTTTGAGCTGCTATATAATGTAATCTTTAAGTATTTTCTTTTGTTTCCCATTTTCATTTGTAACCCTGATTGACAACAGATTAAAGGTATTACGGTATTGTCGCTCTCAGAATTTGGTTTAAGTAATTTCATTTATTTTCCCAAACACTACCGAATTTACTTTAAATGTGGTTTATTTGTTTACTATGATCATATGATGCAATATCAAAGGGCAGATAATCCTAGATATAGTTTGCAAAGTTATTCCCCTTATTTCTCTAAGATGTTTTCGCTCTGATTAACCTTTTGGTTACGGCTAATTTCAAACATATTCACTTTAAACTTAAATACTTATTTCATATAAAAGTACTAATGCATTTCTAAAGGACAGATGATCCTGACAGGTATTTTTGCTAAATTATCTCCCTTTTTATATCCCCCCCCCCAAAATACATATTAAATATTCACTTCAAACGTGAAGGCAAATTTTTTTATTTTATCAGAAACGGCAAATACGTGAAAAACATAGTATGAAATGCACGGTCAATACGAAAATCGAAAACAAAAAATATCATGTAGTACTCCTTGATCATGTAGTATTCGATCCGCAGTCGGGCGTTAGATATGACCGAATTTTACGATTAACACATATAATATGCACCGGAATTTTTGTTAGCAGCCAGCCCGCATAGCTCAATCGGTTAGAGCGCGAGACTTGTAATCTCGACCTTGTGGGTTCGATTCCCGGACTGGCAAACTAAAATTACTAATCAGTCTTTCGGATATCACTTTTAATCGAGGTCCCATGTATGGGTGCTTCTAGGGGAAGCTTCTGGAATTGGGGCATCTTTCTGTACCTGTAATTGCACTATCTCCAAAATCTAAAATGACTAATACACTTCTGGAGGACTCGCCCATATGGGCAACCGGTGGCGAGTATAAATAAACGCAAATACACACACAGTCAGCAGATGTCAAAGTTAGAATGAGTTCACAAGATTTAGTACATTTTACGATTTGTCAAACACTATTTACGCTTTGACATTGTGGCAAGTGATATTTTACTCGCCAAGTCGCTTTATCCTATGAAAGATTCTCAGTAAATACCATATAATAAGAATACAAATAATGGGTTAAGCTCATATTGGCCTTTCTAGTTGGCTGAAGACAGCTAGCCGTATTGGCCAGAGAATTTAGGCTTTTTATATCATTGCTTTGCTGTAATGAAAATCTTAATCTGTAAGCTTCATTTTAAATATTTCAATGAAATTAAATCTGACATCTAGCGAAAAACACAAGACATGAATAATACATATGTAACGAAGATCAGTGAGTTGGCCAATAACGGATCACTAATGAAACTTCTAGTGTTTATGAACGTATGATTTTTAAATTCTTAAATAAATATATGTAGATTTGAAGTATTTTTATTCCTCTTTTACTGTATACTTCTTGTGAATTTGTATTTTGAATGCATCATTGTGCATTTACCTTTTTCAATCATCTGGTAAACATGCCAATAACGGGTCAAATCAGCCATTAGCGGATCACGTGACAAACGAATGGGGGATTGTCTCAAAACACGAATTTTCTGTCAAATTCGTCCTGAACAAAGAAAATATTGCACAAATATATGTTACCCCTGAATATCAGAGTGTAAAGGGTACCACTAAGTAAAGAATTCAAGAGGCAACTGAATGATTATGGTTAACATAGTAATGTTATGATTGTAATAATGGTGAACTAGATAACTGCTCTCAATGATTTGTGTAGGCAACAACCACAAGACAAATGGTTGACATTAAATGCATATTCATTTTTTTTCAGGATTACAGGGGACAAAGCAGCTCATGAAAACACCTTCTATGTAAAACTTGATTAAAGTAACTGTAACCTTAATGTGTTGTTGTTGTTGTGAAACAAAAGCTAAAAGTGCAATACCTAGAAATTTTCATGTTCTTCTATGTGGTCAGTATGATTAGGATATACTAAATGTAAGAATAACAAACAAAATTTTCAACATATACTGCTTTACTCCTCCTTAGAAAAATCTGCAATAAAAACGAACAAAATCATAACAAAATACATGTACTAGTGTAAAACAATTCTGACTATCATTCATAAAAGGCAATGTAATAATAAATCTAATTGTGCAGACAAATGGATATGAACTTC